TAAAATTCTTTTTCTTTTTGCTGTTCAGCTTAAGTGCTTTCTACTACTGTGTCTTCCAGATCATGGATCCGTTCTGCATCCTTTAATCTGCTGTTGATTTTCTCTAACATATTTTGAAATTTTGGTTATTCTTCAGTTCTGATTGGTTCTTTGTTATATTTTCCATCTCTTTGAAGTTCTTTCTAGGCTCATCCACCCTTCTCTCAAGTCCAGTGAATATCTTTATGACCATTACTTTGAATTCTTTATCAGCTAGATTGCTTATCTCCATTTCATGTAGTTCTTTTTCTGTAGTTTTATCTTGTTCTTTTGTTTGGAACATATCCTATGTTTCATTTTGTCTCTCTGTGTTTATTTCTATGTTTTACACAGTTCAGCTACATCTTCTGTTTTTGAAAGTGGTAGCCTTATGTAGAAGGCATCCTATGATGCCTTGTAACACAAAACACTCTGGTCTCCAGAATAAGGAGCTCAAAGGGTATCCCTTGTGTGGTTTGTGTGTGCCCTCCTGTTGTGACCAAGCCTCAGCTCTTTGAGTGCACTGGTGAACAGGTGTCCATTCCCCTGCATGGCTGACTGAGAAGCCCTGCTGCAGCCCCAGCAGGTGTGCCAATGGGTGGGGCCAGCCCTCATCCCAGCTGACAGAAATGATCAGCTGCATCTGCTGCTGGTGCATTTGTGGGCAGGGTCTACTCCTGGCACAGCTAGCTGAGAGGCCCAGCTGTAGCTACTCCATGTACACTGGTGTGTGGGATTAGCTTTCCCATCCTTTGGATGGGACACTAGTCCCTGCGGAGGCCACCTGCAGTGTTGTGGGACAGTAGTTACTTTGGAGGGAAGCCAGTCATGACTGAGGCTGCCTGTAGGTGAGACAGGGCCAGGGTGGTTTGGAGGGGTTGTATGCTGAGGTAAGCAGGGTGTGGCAGGCTTACGGGGGCAAGTGCTGGTATCAAGGTAAATGGAGAGTGTCAAAACTGGTTCTGCAACCATTAGGCTGAAGGAGGAGAAGAAAAAGGGCACCTGTCAGCATTCGTGTTTCCAGAGAAAGCTCCCACAGATCCCTGGCCCTCCGGCACATGTCCTGAAATTGTCCATCAATCTCCTTCATGTATAACTCGGGTGTATTTCAAACTACTGCTTCTGCAATGGGTCACTGCTGAGAAGCATCTGTGAGAGATGGTGATTCAGGATAATTCTACTCTGCCATATTCCTTCTCTCACATTTTCTTCATCTATTCATCCATCAGTGGACATTTAGATTGTTTCCATTTCTTGACTATTGTAAATAAGGCTGCAGTGAACATAGGGGTGCATAAATCTTTTTGAATTAGTGGTTTTTTTTTTAATTTTTTAATGTTTTATTTATTTCTAGGAGAGAGAGAGAGAGAGAGAGCGTGAGCAGGGGAGGGTCAGAGAGAGAGGGAGTCACAGACCCTGAAACAGGCTCCAGGCTCTGAGCTGGCAATCAGCACAGAGCCTGACGCGGGGCTCGAACCCACGAACTGTGAGATCATGACCTAAGCGAAAGTCGGACGCTTAACCGACTAAGCCACCCAGGCACCCCTGAATTAGTGTTTTAAATTTTATCAAATACTCAAGAGTGAAATTGCTGGATTATATGGTAATGTATTTTTAATTTTTGAGTTGTGTTAATTATAAGCAACACCCTTTCACTTGGGTGACATGCTGTTTCCTGATGGCTACAGAGCAAGTATCCAAAGCAATTTTTTATTTTATTTATTTATTTTTAAATGCTCATTTATTTTGAGAGAGTGTGAGCAAGGAAAAGGGCAGAGAAAGAGGGTGAGAGAGAGAATCCCAAGCAGGCTCTGTGCTGTCAACACAGAGCCCAATGTGGGGTTTGAACCCACAAACCATGAGATTATGACCTGAGCTGAAATCAAGAATTGGACACTTACCTGACTGAGCCACCCAGGCACCCCGAAAACAGTTTTTAAGGTGGAAGGTAAATAGGAAATACCTCATTCTAAACTTTGTATTTATAGATTAGTTTTAAATTTGGTTTCACCAGAGCACCTGGGTGGCTCAGTTGATAAAGCATCCGACTTTGGCTCAGGTCATGATCTCACAGTTCGTGGGTTCAAGCCCCGAGTTGAGCTCTGTGCTGACAGCCAGCTCAAAGCCTGGAGCCTGTTTCAGATTCTGTATCTCCCTCTCTCTCTGACCTCCCCTGCTCACGCTGTCTCTCTGTCTCTCAGAAATAAATAAAACATTAAAAAATAAATAAAATAAAATAAAATAAATTTGGTTTCACCAAAATTAATACTAATGAGAAATGGTATAAAATTCATGAAAGCTGATTGTTCATTAGGATAGAGTTCCTGTCCTTGGCTGTATTTTGCTTGGAGGAGGGAAAGGGATCATGTGTCTCTTGAAGCCAATAAATTTCAAGGTCAATCTTCTCTAAACAATACAGAAAACACAATGTTTTGATATTAAGATGCTGACTTTATAGTAAGCCTGCTCACCACACCCCTTTTCTTAAAAAAAAAAAAAAAAATTGCAACAAGAATGACCAGAATGACAGATCTGGGATCTGTTAATCTTTCCAAGTTCATTGCCAATTTAGTGCTTCTTAAATCTTTTTATTTTTTAATTTCTTATTAAACATTTTTATTATTGAGAGAGAGAGACAGAGCCTGAGTGTGGGAGGGGCAGAGAGATGGGGAGACAGAATCTGAAGGAGGCTTCAGGCTCTGAGCTGTCAGTACAGAGCCCAACACAGGGCTCAAGCTTACAAATGGTGAGATCAGGACCTGAGCTGAAGTCAGATACTTAACTGACTGAGCCACCTAGGTGCCCCTTAAATCTTTTTGAAGAAAAAGTCATGAGAATGTCTTGTAATTTTTCATTTTAAGTCCAATTTTATGTGTTTAGTTCTAGGGGCTTTTATCCTATTCTGCAAGATGTAAGCTACATTTCATTCCAACATAAAGTAACTTTTATAAAATGTTCTAATATTCTTATTTATGAAAAGAGGCTTTAAGAAAAAGTAAATGGAATGTCTATGTTAGTTAAAAAAATTAGTGTTGTGAAAGGATGACCTGTGGTGGTTTTTTTAATGTTTGTTTATTTTTTGAAAGAGAGAGACAGAGTGAAAGTGGAGAAGGGGCAGAGAGAGAGAGAGAGAGAGAGAATATTGGAAGCAGGCTTCAGGCTCTGAGCTATCAGGACAGAGCCTCATGCAGGGCTGGAACTCATGAACCATGAGATGATAACCTGAGCCACCCAGGCATCCCTCCTTAATAGTTAGGAAAGATAGGTTGTTAAAATTTTGGTCTTTGTGAAAGCCAGAGAGTACTCTTTGAACTAGTTACTTCACATCCTCTTGAACCACACCATGGTTCTTTTACCCTTTGTCTCTTTTCTCCCATTTGATTTTATTTTTTCACCTTCTTACTACGTGTGAGCCAAAGTCTGTAATAACTTCACTGCTCAATTATCTGAAAACCTCTTTATCTTACTCTTGAATAGCCTTGCTTGTCTGGGTCTAATAAGGCATACATGAAAGCCAGTAGTAGTGAAAGACTGGCAAATGTCTGGAAGACTTTCTCAGGTTGGTTTGAGATTTAGCAGAGATTAAGCACTGAGTCCCAGAAACCAGTAATGCAGTTTAGAAACTGTAGGATTGAGCTTCAATTTGACTAGGGCCTGCTGAATAGTGATTATATTGTCATTGTGATGAATTGTATTGTCCTCGGTCAATTTGGGTGGTCAGGAAGAATTATCAATTACAGTGTCTCTGCTCACTGGAATGAAAATAAAAATTTTAGTTTTTCCAATGACTACCTCCACTTCTAAAATTGTTAAATATCCCTTTCTATTTTACCTTGTTAGGGACCCTTTGGACAATACTCTGGAAGAAGGTGAGGAATTTTTTTGGCCATTTACTGTTTACGTAGCCTCCTTCACTTGTAGACATGTGGACATACTACACTATCACTAGGACAGCATAGTACCAAAGGCCTCCTTTTGGGATTGTCTGGTTCTTTGTGATGTTGGTGATCTCTGCTGATGCGGTGGTTTCCTGGTCTCCATGAATTTGGTTTGAATGTGTTTCATTAGTGTGGTCTTACCCTGAAGGGAGGGGATATTTAAAAGCTAGATCAAGTGAGTTTGGTTGCCCCTCTGAGTCTGAATTTTCTTTATAAGTTTAATTAAAAAACTTTGAAGGATGATAATAACACAATCTGATTGCTAGTTTAGGAAGAAAACTCCACTAAGATAGAGCTGGTCTAGACAGGAGCAATAGTGGAGGCGGAGACCAGTTAGGAGGCTGATGGAGAAGTCTAGATGACAGATGATTGCAGCTAAGATTAGAACACTGGTGAAGCAGCTGGATTCAAGCTATATTTTAAATGCTGAGCCAGTAGAACTTACTCGTGGATTGGATACGAGTGTGAAAGAAAACAGTGAAGGCCCAGAGGTGTATCCAGAATCTACAAGGAAACCATTAAAACCACTGCCAAAGGTGAGAGAACATGTTGGTGCTCAACTGGGGCCAAGGATGAGAATAGGAAGCAAATGATGTAATGAGAGGGTAGCAACTTCAAAAAAGAAGACACAGTGGAATAATGGTGCAAAGCAAAGGTGCATCCTTCCTCTCTGACCCCATGAATCACTATGGGACCCATTTCCACTTCCCTATGAATTGGGAATATGTCTGGTTTGAGGAAAGTGGTATCATCCAGTGTAAACAGGTGTCAGGTAGGATGGAGTAGAGAAAGGGCTGAAGGAAGATAAAAAATCTAGAGAGATTTACTCGTAATTGAATGATATTGAAGGCACACAAGTATAGAGGCTGTAAGTAAGGCTGGATGATGTGAGTGTGTTGGAAGAGATAGCATGAGGAGTCCCCCAATCTTAGCACTGTTAGGTAAAAGTTGTCATGAAAAAGGGGCTGAAGGCACATGTTAACGATAAGGGGTGATAATTACTGAGCAGGAAAATTTGCTTTAAAGGCCAAATAATATACTTACCAATGCCAAGCCTCTGTCTGGAATGTTAGCATCATGGTTACACACATCCTCTGTGATGGGAGGGGACGGGTCAGGGCCCTGCCTCTGTTTTACACTTTAACTTGATGGGCCATTTCTAATTTCTACATTTACTGTTGAGTAATTGTGACATCAGAAGAAAATCATCCAATCATGGTTTTCTGCTTTTCTTTTCAAATATCTTCCCACTTTTATTAGTCTTGTACCCTTTTCTCACTATCTGTACTACTTTTTCTCACTTCTCACTTGCTTCGTAGGTTATGGTATACTGTATAATGTACTGATATTGTAACATCTTATTTTAAGTTTGAATCTGATTTTTGGTGATCCCCCCCTCCCCCAGGATTTTAAAAATATTCAACTAGGATGTATCTCTTGTCACAAATCTCAGCCATCATATCAGTCAGTCTTTTTTTTTTTTTTTTTTTCCCAAAAGTGAACCTTGCTGTCTGGATGACCAGATATCCTGTTACCTTGAGGCATCATTAATGGCATAAAGTATATATCTGTACAGTAAGCATCTAGGTGATCACTCTCATATGAAAGATAAGGCAACATCTTTAGACAAAACATGAAATGTGTGACACAGCTAAACATTGTTCCTTCTCTATCAAATCTTAATTATTGGGATGTTAAGGACTTTACATTTACCACCTTATTAGTACATATGACACTTTGTTTTCAAATCCTACTGTGACTCCTTTGACGGGATTTGAACTTTGACATTATAAGATTGTCTCTTTTAGGATGTGAGATGAGGGAGGGGAGAAAAGATTATATAAGAGCCATTTAACTTAATAATGAATTTGTATCTGTATTGACGAAAGGCCAAAGATTTGCTGAAGCAGCTAACCAGACTTTTAAACAATGGATTGGCAAGAAAAAGATGGCAGATCCCACCTATTGAGGCAGCGACGACGTTCAGGGTTAAGGTAATACTGCTTCTTAGAACTCTTCACATTTAATTACCTATTTAATATTTGCCTTCTCCTTGTATCATCGACTTTCTAAGGGCCAGGATCATATCCTCAATTTTTCACAATGTCTGGCATGCTACAACGTTTTGAGTGTTGGTTGAATACATAATTTTAATTTGGGAATATTAATCATGTTGGGAAATTGTGCCAGTGAATACACTGATTTCTTGTATTAGTAAACTTTAATTAGCTATAAGAATTGAGGTAGGAGTACAAAAACAAATTTCTCAAATAAGTCCCTATGGTAATTAGTTTCTACCTTCTCTGTCACCAACTAATCTTTTCCTAGAGATAAGAATGATGTAATCAATAGCCAGTGGTCCCATGGGTGGCAGACAGAAAAAGCCATGGGCCTAGAGAGAAATTTTATAAGTCCTTAAAAGGTATACATGTAGTATATCTTTGTGTATACTGACACATAAAATGTTTGATATTGTTTGTGACCTAGTGAAGACCCTTGTCACCCAACTGTTAAAATAGAGTCTGGATATATATTAAAATTCCAATACTTTTTAGTGATGAAAATAATCATGGATGTTCTAGGAAAATATGAGGTGTATGGTTACTTCATTGGCTATTATTTCTGTGTTAATAACTTCATTCTAGTTAGCCACATATGCTGCTGTTGTGGGGAACTTGTTATGAAAATATCTTTTTGCAGATGTTAATCTCTCAAACAGAAAAGCTGGAAGCATCAGTTAAGGTCAAGGGCTTGAAGACTTGGCTCTTTCTTTTTTTTCTTTTCTTTAATGTTTTATTTATTTTGGGGAGAGAGAGAAAGAGAGAGAGAGAGACAGCGACAGCGACAGCGTGAGCAGGGGAGGGTCAGAGAGAGAGGCATACACAGAATCTGAAGTAGGCTCCAGGCTTTGAGCTGTCTGTCCCCTCATAGCCCAATGAAGGACTGGAACCCACAACCCCTGTGAGATTATGAACTAAGCCACCGAGGTGCCCCCACAAATGACAAATTCTTTTTGTGGCAAAGTAATAGCTCATGATATATTTATACCACATCTTTATCCATCCTTTATGAATGGACACTTGGATTGTGCACATACCATGGCTATTGTGAATAATGCTACAATAAACATAAGGGTGCATGTATCTTTTCAAATTAGTGTTTGCGTATTCTTTGGGCAAATACCTAGCATTGAAATTATTGGATCATATGGTATTTCTATTTTTATTTTTTTGGGAAACCTCCATATTGTTTTTCATAGTGGCTGTATCAATTTACATTCCCACCAAAGGTGAACAAGGGTTTCCTTTTCTCCACACCTTTGACAATACTTGTTATGTCTTTTGTTTTTTATTTTAGCCATTCTGACAAGTGTGAGAATCATGTGGTTCTGATTTGCATTTCCCTGATGATAAGTGATTGTCAGCATTTTTTCACATGTCTGTTGGCCATCTGTATGTTGTCTTTGGAGAAATGTCTATTCAGGTCCTCCGTCCATTCTTAGATCATTTGTGGGCCTTTTTTTTTTTTTTTTTTTTTTTGGTGTTGAGTTACAAATATTTTGAGATCGGTTAGTTGACTAAAGATATTTGGTTCAAAGTTAACTCTCAGGGATTCTACAAAAGTTTCAAGGAAAAAGTCTATCCGGTATATCCATCAGCAATTACATTGCAACAAAAATGGATTTAGACTCTTCTGACCACTTGCAGGGACTAAAAAGAGGTGTCTTAATTAAGATCATCAGTGAATCTAACAATTCACCTCCAAAAGAAGATTGGAGGCATAACTGTAGATGTACTGTCTCCATTATTTACTCAGTAGGCATGTTTGATTTGGCTGCAAAACTGTTTTTGATTGGATACAGGGAATTCAGTCATGAATTGCTAAAGATTTTCCTTTAGGAGGAGATGGATGGATGGGGCGCCTGGGTGGCTTAGTCGGTTAAGCGTCCGACTTTCGCTTGGGTCGTGATCTCGCGGTTCGTGGGTTTGAGCCCCGCGTCCGGCTCTGTGCTGACTGCCAGCTCAGAGCCTGGAGCCTGTGTCTGTCTGTGACTCCCTCTCTCTCTGACCCTCCCCTGCTCGTGCTGTCTCTCTCTCTCTCCCCTAGAAATAAATAAAACATTAAAAAAAAAAAAAGAAGAGGAGATGGATGGATGCAGAAGCCCTATTTACAAAGATCACCATTTTGCAAACCTTCTAAACACTTTTAAAGAGAAATGGTGTATAACTGATAGAAAAGGGAGGGCAGAGAGGATGCCATTTGTTGAGAACCTCCTGTTCATTATGGTGCTAGGAACTTACAGTGGTTAATCCTATTCATTTGAACCTACAGTATTTTAGTAAGGTAGGGAAAAACTCCAGTACAGAAAAAGAAACTGAGAATTATGGAAATTTGGGGCCTTGCTTAGATAATGGAGGACAAAAGAACTCCGTCTCCTCAGTTTTGACATTGATGCGTGTGTTAAGGAACTAATGGGTTATAGTGGAGCAGTCTGGATCAGAAATGCTTCCCAAGTGTAACCAGTTAGAACGTAGGACAGAATGTGGCAGCAGGATGATCAACAGGGAAGGAAAAGCAGTACTTCTCTGCACTTGCTGCTGAACTTCAGCAATTGAATGGGGATGGCAAAGACACAAGAAAGGAGTGTGAAAATTAATAAAGAGAAAGCTCACGAAAATGGAGTGGGGAGGCCAGAAGGGGGAGCTCTCATGCCGTACTACTCATCTCCAGTTGCAGACCCTAACAAGGAAAGACTTAACCTTTCTAGTCCTATTACGTGACCTAGCAGGAAGGAGAAAAGTCATCCCCTCCCCAACAGCTCAGCCAATGAGATACTGTCACAATCCAGCCAATGAAAAGCCACTATACTTCAGACTCTTAGTTTACTCCAACAGACTGTCTGATTATAACAGCTATCACTCTCCATCCCCCCTTTACCCACCCCTAGGAAAGAACATTCTTCTTTATTCTCTGGGAGTTGCATGTCCTGAACTGGAATTCTCTACAACTCCCGAATAACCCGTATTTGTTAGTGAAATAACTGACAGCTTAATTTTTAAGGCTAACATTCCTTGGTGAGCAGATATGGGATCCCGAGAAGACCCCCCAAAAACTGCAGAGCAGTTGAGCAAACAGGCGCCAGACCCCAAAGAGCCAATTGAGCTCACTGCTTTGTTGCCGACCCTGGAGTTGGAGGGTAAGTTTTCTCCTGGATTTGGTCTCTGCTCTCTCTGTGTTTGTAATGATCTCTACAGGCTTCGTTTGGAATCTCTTTTGAGGCCTTGCCCTTTCTGAGAGTACTTGTTCAGCTTTTGGTCCGACTCCTCTTTGGAACCAGGCTGTGTCTTTTGGAACTCTGCTGGTCTTTGGCGAGACTTCTTTTTGGATCCAGGAAGTTCCTATTGCAACTGTGCTATTTAGGAATTTTTCTTTTTGCTGTAGGGAACACTTCTTAAAAAAAAAAAAAGATCCTAGCCATCAAAATGCTTTGAGGAGGCCCGCCCTTCTGGAATGCCAGCTGGTTTTATGTTTAAAAACTGTGGTCTCTCCTCATATGCATTTCTAACTAAATGGACTAATTAATCAAAAGTAATTTACAACTTTAATGACAATTATGGGGGAACTTCTGATTTCTGCAGTTAGAAAATCACAGCTAAAAAACCCAAACCAAACCCGAATGGGATGCCTATTTCGTTGGTACCTTGCAGCTTCCAAATGTTTTTTAGGATCCTAAGGCTGCTTCTTTGTGAAAGACTATTTCTGAGTTAACTGAGGCAAACAATGGAATCAAAATAGCTTCTGAGGACTCCCCCACGTTTGTGTCCAGACACCTGGCATCCACCTTGTGCACGGGCTCTTCCTTCAGTAGTGTTTTCCTTTATTCCTTTGTGCCAGCCTTTCCTCCTATATATATGCCCCATCTCCCTTCTAATACTTTTGCTTAACTTCCTTTTTCCTCTGAATCCCTTCTCAGCCCTTCCTCTCCTGAATGTATTAAAATCCACCCCTATAAATTTAAGTTTCCTGAGGATCTAAATGAACTACAAATTTCTTATGTTCCCTGGACGAAGACCTGAATGTTAAGCCATAGTTTCCTAAAGTGACTGAAGACCCCTTTAGGTTTGCTGAAGAATTTAGCATAGTTATTCAAATGTACAACTTGGCTTTTCAGATTTCTATCAGTCTACATGCCTGTCGGTGAGGGCCAGGCCAAATATTGGATAAAATTAACTCAATGGGAACATCCTGAAGGGGATATAGAAAAATAAGCCCGTAACTTTTGGCAAAATGCTTGAACGTTCACTGGAAATCTCCACCAAACAATTACAGTAGCTTTTCGTAAATCTGTTGATGACAACAAAATTCAGGTTTGTACACAAAAACATGGTGAACCTGTTCATATCTATTACAATCAACTCTAAAATGTCTTTAAAGGAAGTTCTGGTCTTTGTTTAGATGTTGAATCCACCTGGGTAGCATTTAATTGTTTATTAATAGACTGAAAGAGGATCTTTCCCTTTAAGTTAAAAGAACCTTGATGGAATGGGGAACTCTGTCCACTCCAGATTTAGTCAGTTTGGCAAACTAACTTGTTCATATCCCAGATGTGTCACCTAAAAGAAAGAAGGCTACAGTTCCAGTTTTTAGTTTTGGAAATCAAAGGCTCTTTCACAGAACCCAAACACTCCTAGTTTCTGGCAGCATTGCAAAGGGCCAGGACATTGGACCAAAGGACTTATTACACATTTAAGCATTCCAGGTGCCATCAGCCCCCCTAGCCAGCCTTTCCAATGTCCTCTTCATTCCCAATGACGGTACTTAGAGGAACTACAGGGGCTCCTCTTAATTGGCTTGGAGAAAACACTCTCCACACTGGGAATGTGGGAACTCTCCACACTCTTTGTCCTTATTGACACCAGAGCAACACTCCCAGTGCTTACCCCCACTGCTCTAAAGCAGCCTCTGTCTCAGAGTACTAAAACAGTTAAAATAGGTGGGGGTCTTTAATAAACATCAACAAACATCTGCCTGTCTGTCTCTCCTTTTATCTAGGCCTTTTGTGAGATACACAGTTTTCTTCTTAGTTCCTCCACCCCTATTCATTTATTGGGCCAAGATTTCTTAGAAATAATTATGCTGGAATTACTTTCTCCCAAAAGGAGGAAATCTAGAATTTGACAATAGTAATCTAAATAACCAACCTGGGAAATTAAATGACTCTTTGACATCTTTTATTTGCTCTGTCTCTGATGTCCCTATAGCATAGTCTGGAGACCATGATCCATCCTCTTTATGGACAAAATCTCCAAATGACAATGGTGGAGTCCAGTGTACTTCCCATCAAGATTTAAATGAATCCTTCAAAACTTCTCAGAGTTAATATTTATTAATCAACTTAACAGCTCCATAATATAAGATTGCAAGGCTGAGAGCCTCATTATTCCCTGCACTAATCCCTATAATAACCCTATTTTACCTGTGAGAGAACCCAATGGTAGAGGTTGGAGATTAGCCCAGGGCCTGTGAATAATAATCATTGTTGCCCCTTGGCACGTTGTTACTCCTGACACACATTCCTACTGAAAGCAAAATTTTCACCATACTTGCAGAGCATTTTTTAGTATTCCTGTTAATAAGGATAACCACTATCTTTTTGCTTTCACTTGGGAAGAATGGAAATACACCTGGACAGTAATGTCGCAGGGTTACACAGTCTTTTCACAAGCCTTAAGGGCTGATTTGGATGATATAAACTTTTCTATAGGTTCTATTTATTATGATGCATAGGTGATTTACTTTTCTGCTCCCCTTCTCACACCTCTTCACAGGAAGACAGCATCCATCTGTTAAAACTTTTGGCCTCAAAGGGGCACAAAGTCTCCAAAGAAAAAATGCAGTTTGTTCAAACTCAGGTTCGATACTTAGGGTACCTTATCTCAGAACAAGGACTACATTTGGATCCAGGTAGGCTTCATGGCATCCTGAACTTCCCAAAACCTAAAACTGGTGCTATTTATGAAGTTTTCTCAGACTGACTGTCTACTATTGAAATTGGATTCCAAACTTCTCTCTTAGGGCTCAACTTCTGTATTTTTTAATTTGAAAATGACACTTTTATTTGGAAAGATCATGATGACATAGCTTTTGGGACCTTAAAGAAAAGCCTAATAAAGCCCGCTGTCCTCAGACATCCTACTTATCAACTTCCTTTTTTCCTCTTCGTATGTGAGAGAGAAACAATTGACCATAGAATACTCACCCAAAAATATGAGAAGTACTATCAACCAATAGGGCATGATAACTAACAGTTGGACCCTGTATAATGGGGATAACCCCCTTGCCTTAGTCATTCCTGCCATTGCCCTTTTATTTAAGGCCATGGGAGAAATAATGACAGTGTCCTCTAACCACCCTGTATCCCATGTAGCAGAAGCCCTTCTGAATTCTCATCACACTCAACACTTCAGTTAGTTGTCTCACTTCCTAGGACATTCTCCTGCTAACTCCTCCTTAGGTGACCCTTCTCCTGCAATACCCTTAGTCCTGCTATTCTCCCCATCGTGGAGGAAATTCCTCCTGACTGCTTAATGATGATAGATCACCTTTTGATTCCCTGTGACAATTTATAGGAAACTCTTCTAATCCATGCAGATTTTTCATGGTTTACTAATGGTTCTTATTTAAAGGATGAAAATGATAAATATCGTGTTGGGTATGCTGTTGCAACTCCTTTGGAAGTCATTGAGTGAGCTCTTTTACTTTTGGCTGATTTGGCCTAACAGTCTGAGTCATATGCGTTTACCCTTAGGCAAGGGTAAAACCACATTTATACTGATATTGTGCCTTTGGGGAGCTCATGACTTTGGAATGTTATGAAAACAATGAAGTTTCCTTACCAACAATGGGAATAAAACAAAAAATGGATTCCATGTTTAAAATTTATTAGATGCCATACTTTTTGTAGGCAGCTCTGGCTATCAGTAAGCTTCCTGGGCCTTCCTGACTGGACTCCTAGAGCCCAAAGGAAACTGCCTCACTGATATTCCCATCAAAATGCAGTTCTCAAGGAAACCAAGACCCAAACCTCTGTCATGGTTGAAAGGGATGTTCTCTTAAATGATGATTTGGAAATATGGACAAGAGATATCCAATAATTGTCCCCAGAGAGGGAAAAATATTGTAAATCTAATAGATGTTGATTGAATTAAAATAAAAAATAACTCTGGTGTAGACCTAACAATCCTGCCTTGCCAGAAGTCCTAGAATTCTCACTACTAACTATTGTGAGTACATGTGTTAAACCATTGGTCTGCTGACAGACTAATAGTGTTTGGGAACATTGGTGGAGAAATATTAAAAAGGCTGCAAAAACTACCTACCTTGCTTGTCTCACCTGCCCAAAGTATAATCCAAGAAAACCTGTTCACACAAATGTTCCTACAGCTTCCCTGTCTCATGGATATAAATGTGTTTTAATTATGGTTTATTTTCTCACTGGATCAAAGCTTTTCCCTTGTAGATAGCCCAGTGCTTATTTTGTGGCTAAAAGTCTGTTAGAAAAGATCATCCCTCCCTGGGGAACCTCTCTTGACCTTCATAATGATTCGGGAGCTCATTTTACCAGTCAGGTGCTTCAACAAGTCTGTGCTGTTTGGCCAGTTTTACAACTTCCATTTTGCATACCATCTTCAGTCCTCCGGGTTAGTCAAATGCACTCATAGCACTAGTTGGCAAAGTTTGTACAAACCCTCCAAATACCTTGAAAGCATTGCTGTTGGTCCTCTAAATCTCAGATCCCCTATCTTTGGGACTCAGAGACCCTCATCCTTTGAAGCACAGTGATGAGATGGTCATCGGATGTCCTGTGTACTTTGCCCCTGCCTCCTCTGACTCACAGTTGATAAAAGGAGATCTACTTTAATATTGCAAAGGCCTAATTACTTCTATTAAACATAACCATGCTTTGGTAGAGCAATCTTTTCACCATGTACTCCTGGGAGACCTCAGGTATTCTGCAACCTGGAGATTTCATCTATTGGAATACACCCCTCCAGCAAGAGGCTCTTCAGACTGACTGGAAAAGCCCTTATCAAAAACTGCTAACCAACCCTTGGGCCACTAAACTCCAGGGAACAGATTCTTGGATTCATGTGACATATGCAAAAAACACACCAAACACTGACTGGAACTGCACACCAGCTGGTGACCTGAAAGTAAAGATTTCCTGGAGTTGAAGCAGACAACATCTGACAAGACAGCTTTCTCAAGATGCTCAGACCAGGCCTGTCGTCATTTTTCTCACCGTTTGCTGCTGCTCAATCTCTCATGGAAAGAAAATGCTCTGTCTGCCTTTTGCAAACTCTTGCAAAAGGGGGAAACCTGTTCTTCCATTCATGGCCTTTTGGAAACCGTCTTATCATGATCCCTTGAGCTTTCTCTGATGGATTATTAAGGTTCAGAATTCACAAAAGTCTTTCATCTGAACTACTGACTCGTGATTCTAACCCACATTTGTGGTTTCTGATTTTACAACTTTATGTCTGTATTACTGATGACATATTTGCTTCCAGTTTGTTTTAGAACATCTTCGAAGTTTTGCAAAAAGTTCATCAGCTACGGCTTCATATTTATACCTGCACTGTATCTTTCCAGATGCATTCAGTTAATTCTTTCAGTGTGCTCTTGCTGTACCCACTAATATCCTTTCATGGTTGTTTTAAGCAGGGGCCTTCCTTCTAGGAGACCTCCATGACTCCAGGTTTGCCTTCATATGGAGAACCTTGCTCCCCTAAGATGGAATAAGAGCCAATAAACCTTTTAGTTGGCTACTCTCTGACCTACAGTCCTGGTTGAGAGTGATCATACAATTTGGAATTGTCACATTACTGCTTTTGCTTTGTATAGTTGTTTTAAGGGTTGCATTTTGTTCCCTGTCCAACTTTTGCATAAACGATGTACTAAAAAATGTGATGTTGGCTCAGTGCTTCAGAGATGATTTCCGGTGCATATGCCCTTGAGAAGATACGGACTTGAATGGGAAGTGCTTGAGCACTCTCCCTCCAAATTTCTGTTACCACTTGGCCTTTAGTGTCTTCTGACAGGCATGTACTTTCCCTCAGACATGGGACATGACAACCAGGAAAGGTCCTTCTTGTCCCCAAGGGACAAAACCACTAAATATGGAAAACCTGACTCTTGATCAGTGATGCTTTTGAGGAAAGATCTTGATCAAAGAGAAGAATGTAAAAGTTAATAGAGGTAAACTTCACTAAAATGGAATGGGGAGGCCAGAAAAGGGAAGCTCTTACACCTTACCACTCCTCAGCAATTGCAGATACCAAGAAGAGATGTACTTGTAAGGGGATACCCCAGCAGAAGCAAGGAAGGTTTTCTCCTCCCCCAGCAACTACTCAGCCAATGAGAGACCGTCATAACTCAGCCAATGAAAAGCCACTACACTTAAAACTCGTAGTTTACTCCAAAGGACTTGTTTAAAACAGCCCGCCCAAGTGCTCCCACCCCTCCATAAAAGAGCATTACTCCCCTTGGTTCTCCTGGCTTGCCTAAGGTTTTGCTGTAGCGTGGCTTGTTTGGAATTGTAATTTTGTGCTATTTTGGACCCATTTTTGTTGACAGATTAACAGTTTTATTTTTAAGGTTGACAGTTGAGTTCTTGAGGAAACATTTTCCCTGCAGCCACCCCCTCCCCATCCCCCCACAGCCGACTGTCCCGGTTTCTACAGGATCAACTGAATGGAAGTTTCCTGCCAACGGGGAGCCTCTGTCTCCTCCCCTTGCGGGACTGCCTCTTTCCCCTTAAGGCCCCCTGAGGACCAGACGTGCCACGAGTTGTTGGGGCCTGGTTTGGAGGGCGGAGGCAGTGGGCGGGCGCTTACCGCCTCCCCCTGGGTGCTCTCTGTTGGTCCGCAGGCTCGAGGCCAGCTCTGGCCAGCCCCCCAAGCTCGGTCCTCAGGGAGCCATGGCGACGTCCAGGGGCCGACTCTACCTTTGGATGTGCTTGGCTGCGGTGCTGGCATCTTTCCTGGCAGGATTTATGGTGGGTAAGTACGAGCCCCGGGTCCCCAGCGCGGGGCTGGCGCTTCTGGCTCTAGTGCTGGGAGGAGGAGGAGACTGCTGCAAGCCGGGAGGCCCTGGCAGGGCTCCGTGCACTCCCGCTGCGTCGGCCCCGCGGAGTTCAGCCCGCTGCAACCCCAGGGGGATGCGTTTTGACCTTCGTCATACAGTGTGACTGAAATCCACATTTATTAAAGGTTTAGCGAGTTCAGGATACTGTTAAGAGCTGTTAGGAAGACAGGTCAGAGCTGTCACTATCCATAGTGATGAAGACGACGGTGTCATTTACAAGCATGCTTAACAAGTCAAAACTAGCAAGGAATGTGGGCAGCGCGCTGCAAAAACTGCCCTTCCTTCCTCACTTATTAAATAAATAGTCGTGGAACGTTCCTTGGGTGTCAGGCACTGTGCTAGAAACTAGACCACCCGGAGGAGAATGAGAAAGATAGGCTCCGTGCCTTGATGCAGAACATGTAGGAAAAAGAATATCTCTCCTACATAAAACTAGTTTTAACCCATCCAAGATTACGTTGCAGAGCAGAATTTGAAGGATTTCTGCATTTAATATGAACATTTTTGTAAAGCCCACCATGAACTGTTTCTTATGGAAGGACTATTTTTTGGCTTCTAATTTTTATAAAAGCTAAAAGCAATTATATATGCATGTAACATGTATATATGTATACTCTCCCTGCCCCCTCCCCCCCAGGCTGGTTTATTAAGCCTTTCAAAGAAACTACCACTTCACTGGGCTATCGTCAAAGTATGCGGTGGAACCTGGTATCTGAGATGAAAGCTGAAAATATTAAATCATTTCTTCGGTAAGTTTGTCTTGATATTTGGTCTTAAAAATGTTTATTGCAGAGTTAGTGTATTACAACTGGTTATTTTCAGGTGGGTAAACTGTGAAATTACATGGTATCACATTAATTTACGGTAGTTTAAAATGTCCCTTTAAACCACTCAGGGTACAATGTATTTGAATGTTGCAGGAGCGGGTCTTTCTTCCCTAACTTCATCTACAGAAAAAGTATCTGGTTGCTTTATTCCCAGATGTTTCAACTTCGTGTAACTTTAGACCAGCTGAATGTTATTTCTGCCTCATGCTTGGGCTTAATCAGCAGTTTTAATGAACATCACATTCTGTCAGGAAGACTTAGATGGTTGTAAACTCAGATTTAAAGGAGGGGAGATATAAGTTGCAGATTCTTTCTGCCACAAATTAAACGTTTGTTCCACGTTGCAAATAGAAGTCACACAGTTCGGACAAAATGAGAGCAAAAGGATCAGTGCAAATCCACCAGCCTTTAAGCATGAAAAAGAGTGACATTTGGGGGAGTGGTGATGAACTCCTTGAAGGCAGTCACTGTAACATTTGAGTGTCATTAAATAAACAAAAACAAAAACTTGCTTTATTGAAGTATAATTTACATAAAATGAACTGCATCATATAAAGCCTAAAACTTGAGAACATTGACCGATGTGTTATATTCCCAACATACCACTTCTTCAGTTGAGATTCAGAAATTTTTACATCACGCCCTTTCTTGACCTTTAGCCCTAGGGAATCATGGATCACTTTTTTTTTTTTTTAAGTTTATTTATTCTGAGAGAGTGCATGAGTGGGAAGGGGCAGAGGAAGAGAGAGCCCCAATCTGATGAGAGGCTCGAACTCACTGAACCGTGAAGTCATAACCTGAGCTGAAATCAGGGATCTGACACTTAGCCAGCTGAGCCCCCAGGGGCCCCCCCCCGTCACTGATCAGTTTTATGTCACAATGGCTTCCTTTGCATTTTCTAGAGTTTTATATACATGGAATCATACAGTATGTGCTCTTGTGTGTGTGCCTGCTTTCATTCAGCATAATAATTTTGGAATTCATCCAGGTTGTTGCATGTATCAGTTCATTGCTTTTTTATGGCAGAGTAGTATGCCATTGTGTCCATATACTATAATGTGTAGTGCTGAATACTTGGGTTGCTTGTAGTTTTTGATTATTATGAACAAAGCTGCCATGAGCATAGTTTACAAGTTTTGTGTGGATGTATATTTTCATTTCTCTTAAAATGGCTGTATTGGATGATAAGCATATGTTTAACTTTTTAGGAACATTCCAAATAGATTTCAAAACTAGTTGTAACGTTTTACATTCCTACCTGTTATGTGTGAGTGTTCCAGGTCTTTTATATCCTGGTCAGCACTTAGTATTGTCATTTTAATGTTAACCATGCTAATGGATATGTAGTGGTATCTTATTGGGGTTTCAATTTGCATCTTCCATATGCCTAGTGATGTTAAGCATTATTTCCTATGCTTACTAGACATTTGCATATCTTCTGCAAAGTTTCTGCTCACATAGTTTCCTATTTTAAGTTGTTTTCTTATTATTGAGTTGTAGGAGTTCTTTATGTATTCTGGGTACAATTCCTTTGTCAGACCTGTACTGTGAATATTTTCTTCTGTTATATGCCTGGCCTTTTTTTGTTTTCTTCATGGAGTTTTTGAAGGGCAGAAAATTTTAATTTTGGTGAAGTCCAGCTGACCAGTGTTTGGTTTTCTTTTTCATATTCTGTGAACTGTCTAACTTTGCCTATGAGAAGTTGTGAAGATTTTCTTCTATGTTTTCTTTCAGAAGTTTTATAATTTTAGCTTGTATACTTAGGTCAATAGTCTACTTCATGTTAATTTTTGTGTATGGTATGATGTAAGAGTTGACCATTTTTAAAATACAAATATTTAGTTATTCCTGCAACATTTGTTGAAAAAAAATTTATTTCTGCCTTGAATTGCCTTGGCATCTTTGTCCAAAGTCACTTGACCGTATATGTGAGGCCTGGTTTTGGATTTACGTTTTCTTCTATTGATCTATATATCTCAACACTACACAGTGCTGGTTAATAATACACAGTGTAGTGTAATAATAAGTCTGAAAATGAGATTGAGTTAATCCTACAAATTTTTCTTTTTAAAAATTGCTTTGACTGTTTTAAGCCTTTTGTATTTCCAAATTAATTTTCTATCTTTTTTAACTTTTTGATGTTTATGAGAGAGCACGCAAGAGGAGCACGTGTGTGCGTGCATGAGACAGGGAGGGGCAGAGCGAGAGAGGGACACAGAATCTGAAGCAGGCTCCTGATTCCGGCTGTCAGCACAGAGAGAGCCCAATGAAGGCCTCGAACACGCAAACTGAAATCATGACCTGAGCTGACGTCAGACACTCAACCAACTGAGCCACCCAGATGCCCCCAAGTTAATTTTAGAATCAACTTCTGAATTCCTACAAAAAAAAAAAAAAAAACTGCTGGAATTTTTATTAAAATTTTACTTTTAATAAAATTGCATCAACTCTATAGATGAATTTGGAAGAGAAGTGTGTTTTTAAAAATATTCTTTCATTCTCTTTGTTGTAGGAATGTACTACAGTTTAACTTTTCACCTGTGGAGAGATATTTATGTTCAGTTTTTTGATATTATGATTAATGCTGCTGTTAACATTGGTGTATAGGTTTTATATGATCATAGGTTTTCATTTCTCTTGCGTAAATCCCCTTGCTCGGTTGTATGGTAGACACATTTTAGTTTAGAAGAATTTGCCTAACTGCTCTTTAGGGTGGCTGTATCATTTTATCTTTTCCATTGATATTATTATTATTTTTATTTTTACCCATTCTGACAGGTATATGGTGAAACCTCATTGTAGTTTTACCTGCAGTTCTCTAATAGTTAATGGTATTGAATAACTTTTTCTTTGTTTATTCATCATTTGTGTAGTCTCTTCAGTGAAATTTCTATTCATGTCTGAATTATTTTCTATTAGAATAGGTTTTTTTGGTTGCTGTTGTTTTGTTTTTATGCTGTTGAGCTTTGAGAATTCTTTATATTTTCTAAAAACATTTTTTTAATGTTTATTTCTGAGAGAGAGAGAGACAGAGTGTGAGCAGGGGAGGGACAGAAAGAGAGGGAGACAGAATCTGAATCAGGCTGCAGGATCCAAGCTGTCAGCATGAACCATGAGGTCATGACCTGAGCCGAAACTGGAGCTTAACGACTAAGCCACACAGGCACCCCTAGAATTCTTGTATTTTCTAGAATTTCTAGTCTTTTGTTAGCTTTGTGGCATTCAGATATTTTACCCTCTCTCTTATTTGTCTCTTCTTGTTTTAACAGAGTCATTTGTAGTTAAGGTTTTAATTAATGAGGTCAAATTTATCAGTTCCGGTTATGGATCATGCATTTAGGGTCATATCTAAGAACTCTTTGACTGGCCCTAGATCCTTTTTGTCCTCTTTTCTCTGCCCCCAAATTTTATACTTTACATTTTACATTAAATTTGTGATTCATGTGGAGTTAACTTTTGCATAAGATGTAAAGTGTGGCTGAGGTGCATTCTTGTGTCTATGGATGGCCAGTTGCTCTAGCACCATTTGTTGAAAGGCTGTTCTTCCACTTAATTGCTTTGCACCTTTGTCAAAAATTAGTTGGGCTTATTTGTGTGGGTCTATTTCTGGGTTCTCTATTCTCTATTAATCTGTGTGTCTACTTTCTGCTAGTACCACGTGGTCTTGATTATTGAAGCTATATAATAAGCCTCAGCAATGCGTACAATAACTCTTCCCACTTTGTTTTTCTAAACAATTGTTTTAGCTATTCTGTATCCTTTTCCCCTTTATATAAAATAGAGAATAAACACACTTATATCTACAAAAAGCCTTGCTGGGATTTTGATTATAATTGCACTAATCTTATAGAGCAGTTTGCGGTTTTGACATTTTCCCTATGCCCAGTCTTCTAATCCATAAACATGGCAAGTCCCTCCGATTATTTAGGTCTTCTTTGATTACTTTTCCCAACATTTTGTAATTTTCAGGGTGAAGATCCTAGATCTGTACTGTTAGATTTATATCCAAGGATTTCATTTTCTTTGGAGCAATTTTAAGTCATATTGTGTTAAATTTAAGTCTCCACATAATTTGTTGTTAATACATAGAAATACTGTTGATTTTTATGTTGAAAATGGCCTGTTAAAACCCATGTGTTTGGAAGGTTTTTGTAGATTAATTGGGATTTTCTTTGTATACAATTATGCCATCTTTAAATAGGGACAATTTTATTTTTACCACTCCAAACCATATGCCTTTTACATGTGGATTTTTGTTTGTTTTGTCCTTATTGTGCTGACTAGAAGAATTCCAGTAGTATCTTGAATAAGAGTGAGAACAAACATATTTTTATTAGTGTGTTTCTAGTCTTTGGAGGAAAGCCTTCAGAGTTTCATAATGAAGTGTGATGTTGTCTATAGATTTGTTGTAGATGCTCTTTATCAAGTTAAGGAAACTCCCCTCTATTCCACGATTGCTAGTAATTTTGTTTTTGTTTTATTGTGAATAGATATTGATACTGTCAAAAGGTTGTTTTTCTGCATCAACTTATATGGTCATGATTATTTTTCTTTATCTGGTTAGGAATCTGGTTATTATTTTACTTCTTTACTGCCCTTGGCAAGGTGGGGATCAAATTATATCAAGAAGGGAGTCACAGTCTTCAGGAATGTGAAAATGTATATTTTTTCCTATTAATTGTGTAAATTTTTGCTTTATATATTATGAATTTCATTGATTAGACATAGACACCTTAAGGTTGCTATGTCTTTAAGATAGAACTACCCTTTTATCTTTATGAAATATTTTTCTTTGGTCACCACTATTTTTAAGTCCATTTTATTTGGTATAAATATTACTCCATCCACCTTCTTATAATTAAATTTACATGGTATATCTTCTTCCATCTACTTTTAATCTGTTATTTTCTTTAGAATTCAAATGTACCTTCAGTAGAGATCACTTAATTGCAATTTGATGTTTAATACATTTTGATAATCTTAATTAAAGTGTATCCTCTAGGCAGCAGATAGTAGCAACTTGCTATTATATTCCTTCTGGTAATATATCCCTTTTAATTTTAGTATTTAGTCCATTAACATATAATGTAACTATCGATATGGTTAAAACTTAGGTCTATTAATTTATTGTTTTTCTGTTTTCTCTGTTTTCCTTCACTTCTCATTTTCTGGCCTTTTTTGGTAGTGGGAAGAATAGTTAAAATTTTATTTCATTTCAGTTTATCTTTTGGCTACCCATCCTTGCATTGGGATCTGTAACTCTTCACTCAATTATTATTTTTTTCAATAGTTCATTTTTGAGACAGAGACAGAACATGAGCAGGGAAGGGGCAGAGAGAGAGGGAGACACACAATCTGAAACAGGCTCCAGGCTCTGAGCTGCCAGCACAGAACCCGATTCAGGGCTCGAACCCATGAATGGTGAAATCATGACCTGAGCTGAAATCGGACATTTGACCGACTGAGCTGGTTAGGCGCCCCCACTCAATTATTTTTTTAATTTTTATTTTATTTGAGAGAGAGAAAGAGAAAGAGTGGGCTCTATGCACAGCCCAACCTGGGGCTCAGTCCCACAACTCTGGGATCAGGACCTGAGCCTAAATCAAGAGACGCTCAACCAACTGAGCCACACAGGCACCCCACTTCTTAGTTATTTTGGTACAACTTAACATATAATATGGAAAACTCAGATTTCTATATTTCCATTTACCCTTTCCTCTATCATCTTTTATCTTGTAGCTGTCAAAAGTATCCTATATACACTGCAATGTAAACCTCACAAAACAGTTATTAATTTTCTTTGAACACTTATATGTATTGAAATCCACTTAAGAGTTGGAGTATGTAGGTGGCTCAGGCAGTTGATCATTGGACTATTGATTTCAGCTGGGGTCATGACCCTATAGTCGTGGAATCAAGCCCTGTATTGGGCTCCACACTGAGCTCTGAGCTTAGAGCCTGTTTGAGATTCTCTCTCCCTCTGCTCTTCTTCCCCACTTCTGTGCTTTCTCTCTAAGATAAAACAGTTAAAATAGTATTTTGTATCTTATTTCTAATGATCTTCATTTATTTCTGAAAAATTTTGGTTATCCTATGGTATTTCTAGGTAGTCTGAATAACTTTCTGAAGCATTTACTGTAATATGGGGTCTGGTGATAATATATATTCTCTAATTTTTTTCTATGTATAAAATCCTTATTTTATCTTAATTCTTGAAGCATAACTTTCCCTGGATATATATTTCTAAGATGACCCCTTTCAGAACTTTAAATGTTTTTCATTGTCTTTTGTCTGGTATTGGCATCTTATGGGAACTTTACAATCACTTATATAACATGTGTCCTTTTCTCTTTAATTTTGAGCAGTTTTACCATGTGCCTAGTTTTCCTCAAATTTATTGTTTATGGCTCTCTGAGATTCTTGACTTTCTTTACTTCTGTCTTTCACTGATTTAGGAAGGTTTTAATGATTATTTCTTAAAGTTTTCTGTAGATTCTCTTTTCCCCTTCTGAGACTCCGCTTAAACCCTAGAATCAGATAAAGTGTGTACACTGTATTGTATTTCCTCCTTATCTATCCTGTGATTTAATGAGGTCATGAAGTTCCATCTTAATCTCTATGGATGAACTAGAGCGAGCTGTAGTAATGAGGAATGAAAACAGCTATACTGTTCTTGTGAAATTTCAGCTGATTTATGATTGAGGTGCATTAGAGATAGGAAGCAAATTCAAAATGTCTGTTGAGGTGCTTGTTTAGAAATAAAGGAAAAGAAGTAAGTAGTTAAAATGCATGTCATTTAAAGTCTTTATTTTTCTTGCAGTACAATATAATAGCAAAACCTCTTATCAGTTAAGACAGAATGCTTATATTTAAATTGTGTAAGTTAAAAGATGAGGCATAATGTAAACACTATTGAACTCTGTTAAGCATATTATGAAGTTTTTGAAAGAAGTCGCCTAGAAAGTTAGATGTCACAAGCAAACTTAGTAATATTTTTGACCATTAAAATTTATGTCTGTTTAATCTCTATTTTCTTTTAATATGTAGTATAGTATAAAGTGATAAGTTATGTATAAATAGTTTATATGATTATATTTTTGGAGTTGGCTTTTCTTTCCTTTACATCCAACTGAATATAGAAAGTACACATGAAGAATGATGACAAGAATAGAAATAGAATGAAATACATTGAATTAAGAACTCAACACTCTAATGAATGAGAAGTTTTGACAATTTTGACAGCACCCAGAAGGTGTAGTAGGTGGTGACTTTTGGCATGAACTATAAAAGAGTCATGGTTTTTTTTAAAGGAAAAATATTTGAAAGAGCCAAGGGAGAGTAAGAAGAATTAGTAGCAGATCCTCTAGCCTTGAGATATGTGGGGGCATGGGAAATAAAACAGCTTGCAGGTGAGCAGGGTCCTCTGAGGAAACCGGTTAAGGCAAGGAAGTCACACAAACATTCAGAGAAGGGGCTGAGGATACAGAATTGTTCATCATAGATGTAGAGGGTTTATGATCAGTGACGGAGCCTAGGAGGGAAAGGTGATCAAGATTGGGTTAAGGGTTCTAATGTAGTAAGAACAATTTGGTTTCTCTCCATCCACTTTCTTGTTGTCAGTGTCTTGACTGTTGAGTGTTCCTCATCCTTCATGTATTTAGTAAGGGTTACTTCCTTCCAGCCCAGGAATATCTTAATCAGTCCATAATCCAATCATTAAAACTCTTCCCTTGGCAGTGATTCGTTTAAGAGGTATATACCCTATTATGATGAAAGAGAAGAAAGTTTAGCTGAGATCTTGTATAAAAAGTTTTCCTCTGTTAAAAGAAACACAGAAGAGGAATTAGATATTCCTGTTTGTGCTTGTTTCTACTGAGCACTACAGTATGAATATATGATGCCTGGAACTGTACTCATCTTGGGGACCATCTTGGGAGAAATTTTGAAATTAACTAAAGGATGTTACACACTGCTGCCCTTTTTGTTTTGTGTATTTTTGCACTTCTGTATTTTATTTCAGTGAATTCTGTAAAAGATGGATGGCAAAAGTTCATGGCTAATCCTCCATCTTAATTTAAAGAAACACATTTTTTTCTTAGTTATAATGATAGTATCTGCACAGCGTAGAAAATAAATCAATAATAAATTATATAAAGTAAAAAATAAATATATTGAACCTCACTGTTTTCATGCATATAAAATAACTGCTTTCAAATAAAGAAAAAATAAAATAGCTTCTTTCTATAAACACAACAATGCTTTTTGAGACAAATATTTTAAGAGTAAATGTCTGTAACTGGTAGTTTTCATTTACTAATAAAGGAAAGCTTCACAGAGGAGACGATGCTGGAGGAGTCCTAATGGATGATGAGTAGCTTGCAGGTGGGAAAGGGGAATAAAGAAAGTGGTGGCAGCAGGATATTCAGGTAGATGGGACAGTGTTTATGTCTGAGAGAAGATCTTGTGCAAGGGGGACAGGTGGTCACTGCAGAAGGAAAATGAGTCTGCCAAATGCTGTATGGTGGAGAGTTTTATACCAAGTGGGGTGGGAAAGGTGGAAGGGTGGATCAGGTGAAAAAGGGCTCCATAGGCCATATTTGAATGTGATAATGCACAGCGTAGGAGGCCGTACGAGGAGTTCACGCAGTGGAATGATGTGAGAGGAATTTCAAATTATTACTGTTTCTCAAAGTGAGACAACTATGACTTTCATATTTTCTTTATTTAATGTTTATTTTTCATTTTTGAGAGAGAGAGAGAGCACACACGTGTGAGTCAGGGAAGGACAGAGAGAGAGAGAGGGAGACACAGAATCCAAAGCAGGCTGCAGTCTCTGAACGGTCACCACAGAACCTGACTCGGGGCTCGAACTCATGAATGGTGAGACTATGACCTGAGCCAAAGTTGGGTACTTAACTGACTGGGCCACCCAGGTGTCCCATGATTTTCATATTTTAGCCCCAGCATTTAATGGCTACCAAATGGTGAGCAAGTTATTTACTCTCTCAGCTTCCTCATTTGTAAAATGAGGACAATGGAAGAAGAGTTGTGAAGATTCAATGAGGTAACCCAGGTGAAAGTTCCTGGTCATATTCCTGACATATAGTAAGTTTTCTGTAAATCTCAATTTTCCTTTACTGACTATCATTTTTTTTTTTTTTTTGGTTGTCTTATGTTGACTAAAAAGCCAATTTACAAAAGCATTATTTTACTGAAACTTTTAAAAATATGATTTACCCTCATGTAAAATAAACCAGTATAAAAACTACTTTTTTGGGGTTACTTAAATGCTACAACCATTTACACTCAGAACCAAGAGGACATTGCCCAAATTCAGTTCAACAGCCTGTATTGCATAATTGCTGGATAACAGGCAGGAACTAAGCAGTAGACAATATAAAAATAAAAAAGCATGGACTTTAACTAGAAGTTAAACAAGAAGGAGCACCATTGGTATAGAGGCATGACCTTCCAAGGTGCCTTCTGATAGCTGCATACATGTATTTACCAGGGAATGTGTTCTTTTCTGGGGAAGCATGTTGTAAAAATCATAGTGACACACAAATAATTTTTTATTGGCACACCTAGAAATTAGTATCACTACCTGATTTTTAAAATCTCTAATGTAAAAATGATAATTTAATATGTAAAGGGTGAATGATCCCTCTAGAATAGTCCTTAGGCACATTGTCTGAATATGGTCTTTAACTCCCACTTGTATTGTATTTTCATTGTAGTTCTTTTACAAAGCTCCCTCATCTGGCAGGAACAGAACAAAATCTACTTCTTGCCAAGAAAATCCAAACCCAGTGGAAGAAATTTGGACTGGATTCAGCCAAGTTGGTTCACTATGATGTTCTCCTATCCTACCCTAATGAGACCAATGCCAACTATATATCAATCATGGATGAACATGGAATTGAGGTGATGTGGAATTGTTGGTACTTTCTGTATTTTATGACCCCACTTGTTTATGTGAGTTGGGATGTCGGATCAAGTAAAAATAGAAATTTGCTAATAGTGCGGTGAAACTCATAATTTTTAGAAAAGTTGATAAAGTTGCAAACTAATTATTCAGTGTCTACTGTGTGTTAGGCACGGTGCGAAGTCTTGAAGCCAGAATGAAGACTAAGAACATGGTCTCTTTGTTTTAAGTAAGGGAAGGCAGACATTGGAACCCATCATTTTAAATTAATATGCTAGGAAGACTATGATTTTGGTTCTCACACAGAAAAGGTTCGCTTAGCCCAGAAATGGACGTAGAGAAGGCTTCCTGAAAGAAAGCCTTCCTGATATGTGAGCCGTGAAAGACCGTAAGGGGGTAACCACATGAAAAAGCAAGATAAAAGAATTCTAGGCAGAAGAGAAAATTAAGGCAAAGGTTTGGAGACCTGTACTAGCTTAGTATCATTGAGGAACTTAAAATTTTTCTGTATTTCAAAAATGTACAAAGTGGGCCACTCTAAGAGATAAACCAGGATATTTGTTTTGGGGCAGGTCATAGAAGGGCTTATACATTGTCGTAAGGGCTTAGAATTTAACTTCAGTCAGTGGAAACCATTTGCAAGTCCTAAGCAATGGAAGGGATGTGGCTAGAGAGGCATTTTTTAGGTAGTTCAGGCTGTCTGCAGATGAGACCTAGACCTTGAAGAAATTCAAAATGGAGTCTGAAGTTAATCTGAAAGATGATGATGCCCTGAATCAGGATGTTAGCAGGAATGAGGAAGAGGGATGATCTAAGAAATAGGAAGCAATATTAGTGGGAATTGATTTGTGATTGACTGGAGGCAGGAGGTGAGGACAGAGTTCAGGATGATTCCTAGGTGTCTGGAATCAGCTGGCTACTGATGCTGCTGGTAATCACAGGGGATGCTGAACCGGAAGTAAGACTGTGGTGAGAGGCGATAAATTCAAAGTTTTGACATCCTGAGTTTGGATATCCAAGCTGAAATAACCATCTGGCCCTTAAAAAATACAAGTCTGGAAAGATGGATTATAATTATAAGTTATAATTTTATAACAATTATAAATATATTGGTTAAGGATAAAATTTTGAAGAGTCTATGAAATCATGGGAAGGGAGTATAAAATGAGGCAGACAGTGGACTGGGGATAAAACCCAGGAACTATTATTTACATGCAATTGAAAGAAAAGGGGTCCAACACAGAAAGTTAAAAAGAAGGAGGAGAATCATGAGGGTGCCACCTTCAAAGCTCTGTTTTTATATGGGAATTTCTAATCACCTGAGATGGCATGCATTTGCAGAGTTGCCACTATTTGAAGGTGATAATAATGACAAAGCTCTTATTGTTGCCAGTGGAATTTACCTGTTTAATTACTGAACCTAGTTTTGGAATGTTTAATCTTAAGTGTCTAGTTGGGGGCATTATTCTTTAATAACAATCTGGAATATTTCTCTCCAACTTTATATGTTTTGATTCTCACTAGATTTTCAATACATCATACCTTGAGCCACCACCACATGGATATGAGAATGTTACAAATATTGTTCCACCATATAATGCTTTCTCAGCCCAAGGCATGCCAGAGGTAAAATAAGACCTTTTTTTACTCAACTCTTTAAACCTCCCTTCGTTATTTAAAGCCTATGTTGAGGACCAAAACTAAGGAGATTGGGTGAATCATACATGAAGATCCATACTTTGTTTTTTTTTCTTTTTATAATTTTTTTTAATGTTTTATTTATTTCTGAGAGAGAGAGAGAGAGAGCAAGCAGGGAAGGGTCAGAGAGAGAGGGACAAGAGGAACACGCAGAATCTGAAACAGGCTCCAGGCTCTGAGCTGTCAGCACAGAGCCCAATGCGGGGCTCGAACCCACAAACCGTGAGATCATGACCTGAGCCGAAGTCAGACACTTAACCGACTGAGCCACCCAGGCGCCCCTGATGATCCATACTTTGGATTCAGTGCTATGAACACCCACTCTAAAAATAGTTTAAGCAAAAGAAAAAAAAATACATACAAATCAGAGCCTGATGAAGTGGATGCCACTCTGAAATGACAAGCTACTGAACATATCTTTAATTCAGTAACGTCAGTAGATGTTTTTACAAGCTCTTTTCTTTTGTTCATAGTCTTTGTTATAGATTTATAGATCTGATTTTATAGATTATACTACAGAAATTCTTAATACTGTGTTTGAACATTATGATTGGGATTTCTTTTTTCTTTTAAATTTACCCTTTATTTCACACATTCCCCATCCGTCTCCCCTCTGGCAACAATCAGTTTATGGTCTGTGTGCTTGTTTGTTCATTTTTGTTTAAATTCTGCATGTAAGTGAAATCATATGGTATTTATCTTTAACTTATTTCTCTTAGCATAATACCCTCTAGGTCTGTCTATGTTGTTGCAAATGGCAAGATCTCATTCATTTTTCTGGCTGAGTAATTTTTCATGGTGTGTGTGTGTGTGTGTGTGTGTGTGTTTTTTGTTTTTTTATTTTTATATTTGTGTTTTTGTTTATATATATATATACATACATATATATATACACACATATATATATCTTCTTTATCCATTCATTTGTCAGTGGACACTCAGGCTGCTTCCATACCTTGGCTCTTGTGAATAATGATTCAGTAAACATAAGGGTGCATGTATTTCTTTGAATTAGTGTTTTTGTTTTCTTTAGGTAAATACCCAGTAGTAGAATTACTGGATCATATGGTATTTCTATTTTTAATATTTTGAGGAACTTCCATGTTATTTTCTACAGTGGTTGTACCAATTTACATTCCCACCAACGGATGGGATTACATGAGGATTTCTTTTTTTCTCTTACTAACACTTGTTGTTTCTTTTCTTTTTGATACTAGCGAGTCCAATACATGTGAGGTAATATCTTATTATGGTTTTGATTTGCAATTCCCTGATGATTAGTAACGTTGAGAATGTTTTCATGTGTCTGCTGGCCATCTGTATGTGATCTTTGGTAAATTGTCTATTCAGTCTTTTGCCCATTTTAATCAGATTATGTATGTATGTATTTAATTTTTGGTATAGAGTTGTGTATGGTCTTTACATATTTTGGATATTAAACCCTTACTGGATATATCATTTGCAACTATCTTTCCCCTTTTTAGTTTTGTTTACAGTTTTCTTGACTGTGCAAAAGCTTTTTATTTTGAGGAAGTTTCAGTGGTTTATTTTTGCTTTTGTTTCCCTTGCCCAGGGGGATATATCTAGAAAAATGTTGTTAAGGCAGATACCAAAGAAATTACTCCCTACGTTTTCTTTTATGGGTTTTATGGTTTCAGGTCTCACATTTAGGTCTTTAATCTGTATTTAGTTTATTTTTGTATGGTATAAGAAACTATCTCAGCTTCATTCTTTTGCATATAGCTGTCCATTTTTCTAGCACCATTTATTAAAGAGATTGTATATTCTTGTTTCCTTTGTCATAGATTAATTGACTATATAAGTGTGGGTTTATTTCTGGCCTCTATTCTGGTCCATTGATCTGTATGTCTTTTTTTATACCAGTGCTATGCTGTTTTGATATAGTGTATCTTGAAATTTGGGATTATGATTCCTCCAGCTTTGTTCTTCTTCTCATGATTGCTTTGGTTATTTGAGGTCTTCTGTGGTTCCATACAAATTTTAGTATTATATTTTGTAGTCCTGTGACAAGGCTGTTGGTATTTTGAGAGGAATTACATTGAATCTGTAGATTGCTTAGGGTAGTATGGACATTTTAATATTTTTCCAGTTTATGAACATGGAATGTCTTTCCATTCTTTTGTGTCATCTTCAGTTTATTTTATCAATATTTTATGTTTTGGGGGTAAAAGTCTTCCAACTCCTTGGTTAAATTTATTCCTAGTTATTTAATTATTTTTGGTGCAGTTATAAACGGGATTGTTTAAAACATAGTTGGGATTTTTTTAAAAATGACCTTTACTGGGGCATCTGAGTGGCTCAGTTGGTTAAGCTTCTGACTTTGGCACAGGTCATGATCTCGCGATTTCCGAGTTCGAGCCCTGCATCAGGCTCTGTGCTGACAGCTCAAGCTGGGAGCCTGTCGCAGATTCTGTGTCTCCCTCTCTCTCTCTGCCCCTCTCTTACTCACACACACTCTCTTTCTCTCTCTCAAAAATAAATAAACATTAAAAAAATTAAAATATAAAATAAAATTTATTTCCTGTGGCTCAGGATATGCTGATAATCTCTTCAAAACAGAACACACTGGTTAAAGTTACATATTAGCCTTTTTTATTTTTAACTTTTCAAAGTATTGAAATATTTTCTAAAAACTTATGTGGAATTAACATGGATCTGTTTGTTAAGCCCAAACCACAAAAGTTAATGTTTCATGATGTGATATTGTGGAGCAAACTTATGCTTTGGTTTTCTCTTTAATTATAGCAGTACAACATATTTAAGACATTTTTTTTTTTCTTTTCCTTACAGGGAGATCTTATATATGTGAACTATGCTCGTACTGAAGACTTTTTCAAACTAGAAAGAGAGATGAACATCAACTGTAGTGGAAAGATTGTTATTGCAAGATATGGAAAAATCTTCAGAGGAAATAAAGTATTGTATCATTTGCTTTTCTATATGGAAGAGGATAGTATGTATCCTATAAATGTAAATGATGAGCTTGCATTATGTTTTCCAGAATTACCTCACTATACATATTAAAAGTTTTTTTTTTTTCCTATTGGCCATGGTTGCACAGGAAATCCTGGTTTTATGTTAACCTCACATATCTAGAAAGGGAAATTACTTTTATTATAAAAACAAAATTTGCTTTTTAAAATTTTTTGAAGGACATTTTATATAAACTGAAAAATGAAAGCTGTCCTGCAATACCCAGTTTCTTTATCCACACATGATCAATCTTAATAGCTTTTCTTAGACCTAAATCTGTGAAATATGAACATAAATATTTTTTTCTATATACTAATTTTATATATATTATACATATTTTTAACAAAGATGGCACCATACAGTATTTGTAGATTTATTTTTCACTCAGCTGTAATACATAGGTATTCCTCCAAGTTAACACATTGAGAGTTGTATAATGTGTGGTTAAGAGTCCAGGAATCTAGATCTATACAACATGGGTTCTAATCTAGTCTAGGCTCTTGGTTTTCTAGATCTTTTACTGTGGGCAACTTTCTCTGCCAATGTTTCCTCGTTGATCGATTTCCTCAAAGATTCCTCATAATTTCATATTTAAAGTGAGATTAGTAATAAAATAATACAACTAATCTAGAATCCTTATTAAGATTAAATTACTTTATGTTTGAAAGCCCTTACAATAGTAACTGTTACTTAGCTAATTCTATACAGCAGGCTTCTTATTAAATAAATATCTCATTATTTTGGATGGGTGCATAATACTTTGTTGACTTGATAAGCGGTTTAACCATTCCCGTGTTGACAGATGTTTGGCTTGAATTTATTACTATTACAAATAATTCCATTGCGAACATCTTTGTCCATATGTGCTTAAACATGTATGTGAAGACTTTTGTAGTATAGATTCCTGGAAATTGAATGGCTCAATCAATATATATGTTGTTTCAAAATTTTGAAAAGCATCATCAAATTGCCCTTCAAAAAAGTTGTGACAGATTATACTCCTGTTCATATTGTAAGAATGATTTCTGATTACTGGAATGTGTTTTAGTTAATCAAGAGTGATGGTTATCTATCTTTTGCTACAGTACTTTTTATAGTGAAGAACTGAGAATCTTGCCTGGAAAGATTTTCCGATTTGTGGTCAGTTTAGATTGTTAGAAAATGTTTACAGAACATAGTGGGCAATTTTTCACGCACTACAACTGTCCTGTATAGAACTTTAAATTAGTTCCACAAATATTTGTATGATGTGTCAGACTTAGGAGGGTGGATAGTTAAAAGTGAATAAGACATGGTCAGGTCCTTTTCTAAAACCACTCTCAGTCTAGCAGGGGAGAAAGATATTTTAAAGATATTTAAAATACTATGACCCATCCTTTAACAGAGATATGTTTAGGTAGAAGAGGTAGAAAGAAGGGAGACATTAATTTTGCAGTTTTAGGGACAATAGGAATGTTTTAAAGAAATCACTTGTTTGGAGGTGTATAGAGTAAATGAGAGTTGATCGCTCTCCCAGGAGGCAAACTGTATTCAAGGCATAAAGGACTGAATGTGTAACAGCATGACAAAAAGCAGTGTCTTAAGTTTCCTTACAGTATTAAATTTATTTTCTCTTACATGAACTAGTCTTCTAGTACTACATTGTGGACTGCATATTGTCCCTTCAGGTTAAAAATGCCATGTTAGCAGGAGCCATAGGAATCATCTTGTACTCTGATCCTGCTGACTACTTTGCCCCTGGGGTACAGCCTTATCCTAGAGGATGGAACCTTCCTGGAACTGCAGTGCAGAGAGGGAATGTGTTGAACTTGAATGGTGCTGGTGACCCGCTCACTCCTGGCTATCCAGCTAAAGGTAACGGCTGGGCCTGTCGTGTCCACCTCTTTTGACAAAAATATCACTGGCCCTTTTAGGAGACGTAAGAGCAAACATCTACAGGATAACCTTAAACTGTATGTAATTGTAATATTTGGGGTTACTTTCACTAGGAATTCAAAAACCTCTCCCTCGTATTACTTTTTTTTTAAGTTAAAAAATTTTTTGTTAATGTTTATTGATTTGGGGGAGAGAGAGGTGGGGCGTAAGGCAGAGAGAGAGGGAGACACACACAGAATCCAAAGCAGGCTTCAGGCTCTAAGCTGTCAACACAGAGCCTGCCATGGGGTTTAAGCCCATGAACCGTGAGATCATGACTCAAGCCGAAGTCAGTGCTCAACCAACTGAGCCACCCAGGTGCCCCTCCTTCATATTATTTTTGTTTCAAATTTTCAAGAGGTGTGGACATGAAGAGGGAAGGATCAGTTGAATTTCTCTCTACATTTTTTTTTTTTTTTTTTTTTTGAGAGACAGAGAGAGAGGCAGCATGAGCCAGGGGATGGGCAGAGAGACAGAGGAAGGCACAGAATCCAAATTAGGCTCCAGGCTCTGAGCTGTCAGCAGAGAGCCTGATACTCCTGATACTGGGATTAAACTCCCAAACCAAGAGATCATGACCTCGGCTGAAGTCGGCCGCTTAGCCTACTGAGCCACTCAGGTGCCTCAATTTCTCTCTACTTTTAATAGAGGTCCAGAAACACAGATTCCCCATGCCCAAAATAACATTGCTTTTACTAAACTAGAACTTTGGTTTTCTGAATTGCTTCATGATTTTCTTCTTCTTTATATCATACATTTGTGTTTTTTAAAAATACCAGTAAGTTTTTTGGTGTTGTTTAATATGTAAGATGTAAAATGTTTTGACACCTATGTAACTGCCTCCGCAATGAAGATAATGAACATATCCATTTTTCAAGGGTTTTCACTTATCTCTTTGTAATGCTTTCCTTCCAACCCTTCCTTATCCACTCCTTGCCAGTTCCTAGGCAACCACTGATCTGCTTTCTGTCACCATAATTATTTTGAGATCATCCATATTTACCTTTGTGTCAATAGTTCATTCGTTTTTATGCTATGTAATATTTCATTGAATAGATACACTACAGCTCGTGTCTTCATTTATTTGTTGATTGATGTTCAGATTGTTTTTAATTTGGGGACTCCTATATATAAAGTTGCTATGAACAATTGTTTAGAAGTCTATACATGTACATATGCTTTTAGTTCTCATGGATAAATCTATAGAAATGGAATGGGTGGAGAAACTTTGAAGAAATTTTCTTTCTTTCCTTTTTTTAAATGTTTTATTTATTTCTGAGAGACAAAGAGAGAGCGCGCGCGCGAAAGAGAGTGAGCAGGGAAGGGTCAGAGAGAGAGGGAAACACAGAAACAGGCTCCAGGCTCTGAGCTGGCTGTCAGCACACAGCCCGATGCGGGGCTCGAACCCACGAACCATGAGACCAAGACCCGAGGCAAAGTTGGACACCCAACCGACTGAGCCACCCAGGCACTCCTGAAGAAATTTTCAAATTGTTTTCCAAAGTGGTTGTACCATTTTACATCCTAGCATCATCATTGCGTGAGTGTACCAGTTACTATATCCTTGCTACATTTAGTTTGGTCAGTCTTTTTCATTTTACATTCTAATAGAGCTGGAAGTCCTTCAAGTTACATTTTCCCCCCCAAAGTTTTGGTGCCATTCTAGGTCCTTTCCATATGAATTTTAGAATAAGCTTATTTCCAGTGAAAACCTGGGAGTTTGAGATTGAATTAAATCTATATGTTACTTTGGGGAGAACTGGCATTGTAAAAGATATTGAATACTTTGATCTGTACCCATGATACAACTCTCCATTTACTTAGGTATTCTTTAATTTATCTCAGCATGTTTGTAGTTTTATTGTACAGATCTTGTCTTTCACATTTGCATTTTCTAGTTTCATGCCTCTTAAAAATTTTAAATTTCAGTGTCTATACACTTATCTGCTAGCAAATAAAAATGCTTTTTTATTTGTAAAGAAATACATTGATCTTGTTGCCTGCAAATGTGTTAAAGTTAGTTAAGTAGTTTTAGCAGATTTCTGTACATACTCTTAGTCTTTATGTAGATGATCATGTTTTCTGAGAATAAATTTTATTTCTTTGTTTCCAATCTGGATGCCTTTTACTTTTTAGTAAACTGGCTAGTACCTCTCCTACATGCTGAAGACAGTTGTTAGAGGGGACATCCGTCCCTTGTTCCTGCTTCAAGGAGAAAAAAATGTACTTTCCCTCTTAAGTCTGATATTGCTGTAGGTATTTTTTATAGATGCTTTTTGTCAGGTTGAGGAAATTTACTTCTACTGTGCTAAGAGCTTTTATCTTAGCACATTTACCTAGGAATGTACAATGGATTTTGTCAAATGTTTTTACTGAGTCTTGAGATGATAATAAATTTTATTCATTTTGTTAAGTTAACACTGATAAACTTTTGAATGTTAAGCCAACCCTGCCATCCTGGGAGAAACTCTACTTGAACACACTGCATTATCCTTTTGTTAAGAATATCTTTCATGATGGGGGCACCTGGGTGGCTCAGTCAGTTGGGCATCCGACTTCGGCTCAGGTCATGATTTTGCGGTTCGTGGGCTCAAGCCCCACATCGCGCTCTGTGCTGACAGCTAGCTCAGAGCCTGGAACCTGTTTTGGATTCTGTGTCTCCGTCTCTCTCTGACTCTCCCCTGGTCATGCTGTCTCTCTCTCTCTCTCTCTCTCTCTCAGAAATTAAAAAAAAAAAAATCTTTCATGATGGATATCAGCCTATAGATTTATTTTCTTGTATATTTCTATCTCATTTGGTATCGGAGTAATGTTGGCCTCATGGGAGGAGTTGGGAACTATTTCATTTTCCCTTTTTTAATAGGAGTTTATATAGAATGGGTTTGATTTTTGCCTATAAACGTTCAGTAGAATTCCCTAACAAATCTATCTGTGCCTGAAGTTTTGGGTATAGGAATGTTTTTAACTATAAATTCATTTTTTAAAAATAGATATGTGGCTATCCTTGAGTGAGCTTTGGTAGTTTGTCTCCCAAGGATTTTGTCCATTTCATCTAAATTGTTAAATTTAATAGAGTTCATAATCCTCTCCGTGTGTGTGTGTGTGTGTGTGTGTGTGTGTGTATGCATCCATGTGCAGGTATTCTGTTCTTTATTCCTGATTGTGACAATTTTTTTTTTTTTTCCCTGAACTGTCTTGCTAGAAGTCTGTCAGTTTTATTGATCTTCAAAGAACCAGCTTTGGATTTTATTCATAATTGCTACCATTTTTCGATTTCCTGTTTCTTATATTTCTGCTCTGATCTTTATTATGTCCCTTCCCTGCTTGTTTTTGCCTCATTCGCTCTTCTTTTCTAGTTTCTCAAGGTGGAATCTGATGTCATTTGATTTAAACCTTCCTTTGTTTCTAAGAAGGGTGTTGTAGTACTGTACAACTATTTTGGCTAAAAGCCAAAATACCGATGAGGTTGTAAGTCTGACAATACTTTACAGTCTTCCTTAAAGAGAATATTGTATTATTATTTGAATAAGATCTTTATTATTCCCAAGATCTCATAAGTTCCCTTGAATTCTTGTTTCAGTTATATCTAGTTTTAGAATTTGGGACATATTTTCCAGGCAATTGGTTAACTGGGGCTTCTTTAAGAAGGATTCAAGATATCCTTGAGGAAATAAAATATCCTTATAAAATTCAAGAGAATTACATGAAGTGCCAAAACAAATTTGGAAATGTATAGTCCCTATAGTTGATTTTACATTAAAATATAAATGATTTAATTTTTTACTGTTGAATAAAATAGGCCATGTTAGGCAAAACAATCATTGGCTTTGGGAAAACTTGAAGTTTTTGATATAATTTCAAGCATGTAGTAGATCTGCAATAGTAATAAAAGAAATTTCTTTATACCCTTTGCTCAGAATTCTCAGTTGTTCTCAATTTACCCACTTGGTTTCTGCAGAGTACACCTTTAGACTTGATGTCAAAGAAGGAGTGGGAATCCCCAAGATTCCTGTACATCCTATTGGGTATTATGATGCAGAAATATTATTACGGTATGTTTTTCTAATTGGATATGAAGTTAAGATGTATTCTACTAATGTGTCCATTTTCTCATCTAAAACCAATATAATCTAATTATGCTGAAAGTTAAGTTTGGTTGTACACCTGAAACCAATATTGTGTGTCTCTTATAAGTCAATACATTTTGTTTTAAATAAAAATTCAGGGAACAAAGTAGGAAAATGAGTTTTAAAAAAAGTGTCAAGATAGCTCTTGAAGTAGGAATAACAGAGCACATCAAGAAATGGCAAGAAACTATTAGTTTGCTATAGATGAAAGTCTTAAGTGCAAAACTGCCCACAGATAAAAATACTGATTGGAAAATTTTCAAATAGTTGGATTTTCTTAGATATTCATTTGATGTTTGTACTTGAATTGTATTTTGAAAATATTATATTGTCCACTACTTATTAGATTTGTGAACTTGGACCAGTTAGTCTTTCTCTGATTCAGTTTCCTTATCTGTGAAATGAGGATAATAATTGTTTCTCTGTGACAGAGGTATTAGGAGGAAGAGATGAGATCAATGCATCTGCATAAAGTATCTAGAATATAGTAAATAATTAATGTTTGCTATTCTTGCATTCTATTATTGATGTTCTTTTATAAACATCTAGACTTTTTTTTAAAGATGTCTGTACCAATACAATTAGTGATTGCTTTACAAGTACCTACTAAGTAATCAGCTTCTCTAGAAATTAATTTATTCTCCTTAACACAGTCATGAATTTCCTATTTTCAGTATTTCTTAAAATTTTTTTTAATGTTTATTTTTGAGAGAGGGTCAAAGCATAAGTAGGGGAGGGGCAGAGAGAGACAGAGAATCCAAAGTGGGCTCCAGGGTCCAAGCTGTCAGCACAGAGCCTGAGGTGGGTCTGGAACTCACATATCAAGAGATCATGACCTGGGCTGAAGTCAGTATTTTCAGTATTTCTTAATTCTAAGGTTTCACTAGTCAAAAGTAAGGAGGCTGATGCTTCTTATTTCTGATTTTTTTCCCTAAGCTCTCTTATCACAAACATATTAAATACTTTATCTCAATTATGGCTCTCTTGCTAAAATATTGGTTCTGCAAGTAGAAGGAATATTGGCAGTACCTAGCTCAATAAATAGTTGTTAAATGTATGAATGAAATATCTCATTGTCATCCTTCATTTCTTCTAAGAAACTGTGATGCTCAGCCTTTTTTTCTGTCATTTTCATTTTCTCTCCACAGTCACATGGGAGGAGCTGCTCCACCAGATGACAGCTGGAAGGGAAGTCTCAATGTGGGTTACAATATTGGGCCTGGCTTCACAGGGCACGATTCCTTCAGGTAATTGTGTATTACTTTAGTAGACTGGAAAACTTTTATTATGTTTAATAGAAAAAATGTCAAGATAACTGCTCCGCCAGGTAGATTTTGTTTGTCTTCTCTTTCTCATTTTTTCATAGTGAACAATTGATACTTACAGGGATGTCTGGGTGGCTCAGTCAGTTAAGTGTCCGATGTTTGATTTTTGGCTCAGGTCATGATCTCACAGTTTGAGGGAATGAGCCCCACATTGGTCACTGTGCTAAGCGTGGAGCCTGCTTGGGATTCTCTCTCTCCCTCTGTCTCTCTGCCCCTTCTCTACTCATGTATGCTCATGCTCTCTCTCTTGTAAAATAATTAATAAACATTTAAAAAATTAATAAAAAGTACTGACAGACTGATGTACTGAATTCTTCTAGTGATATAACATTTGTTTTATAAAGTCTTAAGACTAAATCTGAGTTTAGGGTTTAACATCTTAACCCAGTATTTCAAATGTATATAGCATTTTGAAAGTTACCTTAAGGGAAGGAATACAAGAGAGCCAAGGAGGGTAGCGTTTATTGTTCATTTACTGTGGTAGGGTAAGCACATAACTATGGTAAGGCTCAATGCATTATTGTCCTCATATGCACTCTTGAAGAGGAATGATCACAGAATATTTGTTCACTGAGCTTAAGTTCTACAGAAAGGTTAAGTTGAACACTGAATCAAGACAGGCAGGAAATGGCAGTTAGAGAGCTTGGGTAGAGTTGTGAAACAGTATGGCATGATTATAACTTGAAGTAGTTTGATTTGCCTGAAAAAGAAAGGGAAATGGAACACTGATAAATCAGAGAATATGTATATAGCGCTTTTTGATAAAAAAACAAAACACGTTACCAGAACAATGTGAAATTGGATTCTTAGTGTTTTTTAGTTGCTGTAAGAATTTTCTTCAGAACTTTTAAGGTATTAAAAGTTCAATATTTTATTTTACAGAAATGTTAGAAATACTTTATGGAATTGCTTATTTACCTCTATAACTTAGAGCAGAGTTACTTTAATATGAGAGTTTATTATCTAATTTATTAATACCCTGACAGCAGCAGGAAAACCTAACATGCACAAATATAAAGGCTGTTCTACCTACTTACTTAATGTATTTAGAGAGTGAGAGCAGAGGAGAAGGGCAAAGGGAGAGACAGAGAATCTCAAACAGGCTCCAATCTCAGCATGGAGCCTGATGCAGGGCTTGATCCCATGACTCCTTCCAATTATAAATAACCATCAATTAGAAACTGTTGAGATTCCTTTCTCTATCTACCCTACCGCCCATGGATAAAGACTTATTTTGTTTTCTTGTGAAAAAACAGCTTAGCACTTCCCCATATCATTGCGGTTTCATAAAGTGTGAATGGCTTTTTTCTTTATATTTGAGCTTGATTGAATTTTCTCTTGAATTATAATTTGGCTAATTGTATTTCATGAATGGATAGTCAACAGTGATGGGCTAGAAAAGTTTCATTGTATAGTTGTCATGCATTTTAGCAGGTGCTTCCCAAATTCCCATTTCCTTCCCAAATTTCCCATGTTTCTTTCTGGCAGCACTCAGCCAGCTATTTAACAATGTCCTGATTGATAGACTGCTTCAATAATCTTGAAGAAAGTTACTGACCAGCAGGAATTAATATAAATACAAAGACCTACTTAAAAAATGCTTATTTGTCCTTTAACACACAATTGGCTATCTTTCTTATTTTTATAATTCACATAGTGTACTTAAAATTTTTAGAATGAATACCCAAGATATTTTGAGTAAGAATATTTTAGACATTATCAACAATATAGCTCTGTGGGAGGAATAATAAAAAATATTGACATTCAGTTTTCAAAATCTGACCTTAAGCATGCATAAGTACTTAGGAGTAAAATGCATTAACTATTTGAAAATTGCACACATCAACAATATTAATGATTATGGAATTTAGGCTGTGGATATATGGGGATTCATTGACCTATTACAGTTTTCTATAATTTTGAGATTTTTCATAATAAAACGTTGGAAAAAAGCTGTTAGATGTAATGCTCTGCATGAAGTAATTTATTCCCTTTGAAATCCTAGGAAGGTTAGAATGCATGTTCATAACACCAATAAAATTACAAGGATTTATAATGTAATTGGAACGATCAGAGGATCTATGGAACCTGGTGAGTCTAAATTTTTTTAAACACTTCATTTTTACAAAGATTAAAAGAGTAAGAGATAAAAACCTTTAGTCAATCATTCTTTTTTCTCCCCCTGACTGATGAGAGATAACTACATTTGAAAAAAAAATTGCACAACTCTAAAAGAAACCTCTACCTTATAGGGCTGATTTTTTTGTATATAAGAAACTCAACCAAAAGGGGGTTTATTTTATTTTATTAAAAAAATTTTTTTAAATGTTTTATTTATATCTGAGAGAGAGAGAGAAAGAGAGACAGTGTGAGCAGGGGAGGGTCAGAGAGAGAGGAAGACACAGAATCTGAAGCAGGCTCCAGGCTCTGAGCTGGCTGTCAGCATAGAGCCCGATTCGGGACTCGAAACCACGAACTGTGAGATCATGACCTGAGCTGAAGTCAGACACTTAACCGACCGAGCCACCCTGGAGCCCCAAGGAAGTTTAATTTAAAGGCATAAATCACAACTATTTGTAATGTATTCAAAATTGTAGTTCTTTTGATACATTATTTTCCAGACAGGTATGTTATTCTAGGAGGTCATCGGGACTCCTGGGTATTTGGAGCTATTGACCCAACCAGTGGGGCTGCTGTTTTGCAAGAAATTGTCCAGAGTTTTGGAAAACTGATGGGTAGAGGTAAATAATGTTTCTTTGGTAGGTGATCACAAAAAATGACTCACTTAATTTTCCTCTATATTTGGGCAGTATATCTAATTAATGTATGTTAACAATGATTGCAGGCTGGAGACCTAGAAGAACCATCATTTTTGCCAGCTGGGATGCAGAGGAATTTGGGCTGCTGGGCTCCACAGAGTGGGCTGAGGTAAAAATGACCAGAGGCTCTTGTTATTTTCTTGATCAACAGGGAAACAAATAAATCTATTTCAGGGTGATCACAGATTGATTCCACTACCTAAAAATGGTTTTAATTTGGAGAAAGACTCAAAGATTTAAGAAATAGAGGGTTTTTTTCTTTTTACTTTCACAGTATTTTGGCAAAGCAGAATAACTTCTTCATTACTGGGCTAAAACTGAATTTATTCTTATTAAAACATTTTGGTTTCTATTTGTATTCATTTTGCAAATAAGTTTCTAAACTCAGAGAATAATCAAAACTAGCAAGCTTTTCTGACAAGTGGATTAGCCTATGGAAAAATGGGTACAGATTCTTGGAGTTAATTTTCAAGTTTTTGAAGTTTCCCTGGAGCTCTATCTCAGAAAACCCATGATGTTCTGGTAAAATGACGTTACTTGAATTATAATTTCACATGTATAGATTCCATATAAACTGCAGCTGTAGGCCTCTTTTACCATTCTATGAAAGATAAGTGCCTGACTGTGGAGTATAAGATAATTTCGTGAATGGAATTACTTTAGTAAATAGCCTTTCTAATTTCAAAGATTTATTTCTTCTTCAGGTATGATTGATTTTCATTTCACACTGGCCCCTTATGCTTTACCTGTAAGTGTCTCTCCTAGGCCCCCTTCTTTCATCTTCTTCCCTTAGCCTCCCTATTAAGTAACTAAGTTCTGTAATGTACAAGGTAAGGCCACACATTTTTATCAAGCAGGAACACTATATACTTGCTTTACCTGCACCATCTATTTATCTTTTGGGTTGATATTTTATGGAATTGTTTTAAAGCATGGCACATATTTCTTGTTATTGTCTGGTTTTAAAATACTTTTCCTCCTGACTCCTTTCCTCTTTATTTTAAGATAATAATATGAACAAAATAAATATGGGGGTAATGTCATATACAGTTACTTCTCTGCTTTTTTTTATCCTTATATTCAGTTGACATTGCATTATCACATTGGTAATTATCAATATGCACTTTGGAAGTAGATTGTTCGTTTAGATGAATCAAATTTTCTTTACCTAAAGAAATGCAAATTCTCGTCAATGCAAGGGTATATAAATATGTGACTCTGTTTCTCTAATTTTAGCAACTTAAAGATCAAAAAACCTAAGAGCTAAAGTAAAAAATGTACTTTGTATTAATCTAAATAAATCTGGCTTAAAAGACCATTTCAGCACTGTCAGTTCATGATCATATTCAGTGGCATACTTTCCTTAAAAATATTTATATTAAAAATGTTATAATGGAAACTGACTGTATCTAAAGTGAAGAGAGGAAACGTTCCTCACTTGTGCCATAACCACTCACAGCTTTAAATTTTTTATTATAATATATTTTATTTGTTGATTTATTTATAGTTTATTTTGAGAGATTGAACGTTTTCAAGAGCAGGGAAGGGTAGAGTGAGAAGTGGGGAGGAGAGAGAGAGAGAGAGGGAGAGAGAGAATCCCAAGCAGGCTCTGCACTGTCAGCACAGAGCCCAATGCGGGGCTCAAACTCACAAACCATAAGATCATGACCTGAGCCAAAATCAAGCCAGATGGATGCTCTACCAACTGAGCCCCTAGACACCCTGATGTGTGCCATTTTGTGCCATACTGTTTTGATTACTATTGCTTCTTAGTGTAGTTTGCAATGTGGGATGCCAATACCTCCAGTTTTGTTCTCAAGATTATCTTGTTTATTTATAGTCTGTTGTGGTTCCATACAAATATTAGGATTATTTGTTGTAGTTCTTTGAAAAATGCTATATTACTGGTGCTTTGATAAGGACTGCATTGAATCTGTAGAGTGCTTTGGGTACTATGGACATTTAAAAATACTAATTAATCCATTCCACCAACATATTATATCTTTCCATTTGTTTGTATTATCTTCAGTTTCCTACAACAGTATTTTCTTCATTTTAGAGTATAGATCTTTTACCTCCTTGGTTAAATTTATTCCTAGGTATTTCATTCTTTTTGGTGCAGTTGTAAATGGGATTGTTTTTCTTAAATTCTCTTTCTGCTACTTTGTTATTGGCTTATAGAATATTAATATACAGAATTCTGTATATTAATTTTGCACCTGAAAACTTAATTTATTACTCTGTTAGTTTTTTGGTGGAGTCTTTAGGGTTTTCTGTATATGGTATTATGTTATTTGCAAGTAGTGACAGTTTTACTCTCTCCTTACCAATTTGGATACCTTTTCTTATTCTTGTCTAACTGCTACAGCTAGGACTTCCAATACTGTGTTGAAAAAAGTGACAAGAACATCCTTGTCTTGTTCCTAATCTTAGAAGAAAAGCTTTCAACTTTTCGCGACTGAGTGTGAGGTCAGCTGTGGGTTTGTCATATATGGCCTTTATTATGTTGAAGTATGTTCCTTCTAAACCCAGTTGCTGAGATTTTTTATCATGAATGTTGAATTTTGTCAACTGCTTTTTTCTGCATATATTAAGGTGATAATATGATTTTTTATTCTTCATTTTGTTAACGTGTGTCACATTTATTTGCAAATACTGAACCATCCTTACACCCCTAGAATAAATCCCATTTAATCGTCATAAATGATCCTTTTAAAGTATGTTTGGTTTGCTAATATTTTAGCATAGACTTTTTGAATCTATGTCCTTCAGGGATATTATCCTATAATTTTTCTTTCTTTCCTTTTTTTCTTTCATTCTTTTTTTTTTTTTTTTTTTGTAGTGTCTTTATGGTTTTGGTACCAGGGTAATGTTGGCCTCACAGAATGAATTGGAAATTTTACTTCTCTCTCTCTTTTTTTTTTTTTTTGGAATAGTTTGAGAAAGATATGTATTAATTTTCTTTTCATAAATGGTAACATGCATCTGTGAAACCACTGGGCCTGGACTTTTGTTTATTGGGAGTGTTTTGATTATGGATTCACTTTTTTTATGCATAATTGGTCTGCTTAGATTTTCAATTTCTTCCTGATTCAATTTGAGAAGATTGTATATTTCTAGAATTTTATCTGTTTCTTGTAGATTGCCCAGTTTTGGGGTATTTAACCTGTATATTAGTCTTTTATAATACTTCATATTTCCATGGTGTTAGTTTTAACTTCTCTTTTGTTTATGGTTTTGAGTCTGTTTTTTCTTGATGATTCTGGCAAATGGTCTGTCAATTTTGTTTGTCTTTTCAAAGAACCAGCTCTTAGTTTCACTGATATTTTCTCTAAGTTTCTATTTCCTTTATTTCTACTCTGATCTTTATTACTCTTTTCTTCTAATTTGGGGTTTTGTTCTTTTTCTAGTTCCTTTAGGTGTTAAGGTTAGATTGAGATTTTTCTTGTTTCTTGAGGTAGGTCATAGTGTATTGTTTCCATTTTCATTTGTTTCCACATATTTTTTTAAATATCCTCTTTGATTCCTTCATTGACCTAGTTGTTGTATGACAGCATATTGTTTTAACTGCAGCAAATTTGTGTTTTTACTAGTTCTTTTCTTATAATTGATTTCTAATTATTACCATTGTTAGAAAAGGTGCTTGATAGGATTTTAATGTTAAATTTATTGAGATTTATTTTGTGACATAACATATGATCTGGAAAATGTTGCATGTGCATTTGTAAAGAAATGTGAATTCTTCTGTTTTTGGGTGGAATGTTCTGTATATATCTGTTAAATCTGTCTGCTCTAATGATTCATTTGAAACCACTGTTTCTTAATAGATTTTCTGTCTGGATAATCTATCTATTGACATAAGTGGGGTGTTAAAGTTCCCTACTGTTATAGTATTACTGTTAATTTCTACCTTCTTATGTCTGTTAACATTTGCTTTTTATATTTGCTGTATATGTCGGGTGCATATTTACTGTTGTTATATCTTCTTGTTGGATTGATCTCCTTATCATTATGTAATGCCTTTATCTCTTGTTACAGTCTTTGTTTTAAACTCTATTTTGTTTGGTATAAATATTGATACTCCATCCAACTGTTTTTTGTGTATTTTGTTTTTGTTTTGTTTTTTTGCTTCCACCTGCATGAATATCTTTTTCCATCCCTTCACTTTTAGTCTGTGTATATCTTTTGGTCTGAGGTGAATCTGTTTTAGCATATAAATGAGTTTTGTTAATCTATTCAGTCACTCTTGATTGGAGCATTTAGTCCTTTTACAAGGTAATCATTCATAGACATATACTCATTGCCATTTTGTTAATTGTTTTCTGGTTGTTTTTTTAGTTTTTTCTGTTCCTTCTGTCGCTCTCTTCCTTTGTGATGTGATGGTGTTCTTTAGTGTTATGCTTGGGTTCCTTTCTCTTTATTTTTACAGGCTTGGGTTTATCGTTAGCATAAAGTTCATATATAACCTCCTATGTATATAGCAATCTGTGTAATTTGATGGTTGCTTAGGTTTGAAAACATTCAAAAGCACTAAATTTTATATCCCCCCCATTTTATTTATACGATATCATAGTTTAGAAAGTTTGCATACTGCCTAATATTCTAAATATAGTTGATTTTATTACTATTATGTTTTAACCTTCATACTAGTTTTATAAGTGATTCATCTACTACCTTTGCTGTATGTTTGTTTTTACCAGTGGAACTTTTTCCTTTCATAATTTTTTTCTGGGATATCTTTTTCTTTTCTAAAGAAGTCCCTTTAACACTTATTGTAAGGCTGATGTAGTGATGATGAATTCCATTAACATTAGATGTTCATCTGGGAAACTTTTTATCTGTTTGTCAGTTCTGAGTGTGGTAAGCTTTTTCTTCCACTTTTAGCACTTTGAATATATCATGCCCTGTCCATCTGGCCTGCAAAGTCTCTGTTGGATCAGTCCATAGCTTTATTGACTTTCCTTTGTAAGTGCTTGCTTTTCCCTTGGTGCTTTTAAGATTCTCTCATTACGTTTTGACATTTTAATTATTATGTTTCCTGTGTGGACTTCCTTGGGTTCATCTTTTTTTGGGATTCCTGATATTCCTGGATGTCTCTCCTTCCCCAAGTTAGGGAAGTTTTCAGTTGTTATTTCTTCAAAAAAGTTTTCTGCTTCCTTCTCTCTTTCTTTCCTTCTGGGAACCCTGTAATGCCGAAGTTATTATGCTTAATGCAGTGATACCTTAACCTGTCCTAATTAAATTTTTTTTTCTTTTTGCTTTTCAGCTTGCTTGCTTTCCACTATCCTGTCTTCCAGCTTACTGATCTGTTCTGCTTTCTCTACTGTTGCTGTCATTTTGGTTATTGTATTTTTCAGTTCTGATGGTTCTTTTTTGTATTTTCTGTCTCTCTGTTGAAGTTCTCACTGAACTTATCTACTCTTCTTTCAAGTCTGTTGAGCATCTTTGTGACCATTACTTTGAACTCTCTCAGGTAGATGGCTTATCTTTGTTTCACTTAGTTCTTTTTTTGAGGTCTTGTTCTTTTGTTTAGAACATCTTCCTCTGTCTCCTGACTTTCTCTGACTTGGTTTGTTTCTATGAATTATGTGGAATGGGTACTTCTCACAGTCTTGAAAAAGTAGCCTTCTAGAAGAATGTCTCCTGTGTAGAGTGTGTACTTGGTGGCTTTGGCTGGCTGTTTGGTGCTGGATGGGCATGGCTGGGGGACTCAGCACAGAGGCACCCTGTCAGGTCAGCTGGAGCCAGAGCAAGTGTAATCCCATGGTTCCTGGAGTGCTGTGCACCATGGTCACCCTGGAGGATCAGCTCAGGCCAGAGGTTTTTGGGGTGCTCCACCTTGGGGCTGCCTTGGTGGGATGGCTGTAAATGGCATGGGAGCAGGCCGGGTATGATATGAGCCTTGTGCCTTGGGTCACTTGGTGGGACAGCTGGAGCCGGTGTGGGTTAGAGGCCTGAGCAACTCTGCCCCTGGAGAGAGTTCTAGCAGTTATGCCCATTTGGCAGAGATTCTCGGGTTGGTAAATATGGGTTTCCTTCACTTAATAATCTAGTTTCCCTTTAAACTACTGTTTCTGTTTAGTTTTGTTTTTCTGTGTCCCAGGGTGGGTAAGTCTCTACATGGGTCCCTCAGTGATATCCTTCTCTACTATGGGTTGCCACCTCAGGGTGGTTGTTCCCAATGTTAGTGTGTCTGCCTTTCCCACCCTTCTTTATGTGGTCCCTCTATTCTTTGTCATGCAGAAGTTGTTCAGTCAGCCCTCAGTTCTTCTCTAGGAGGAGTTGTTCTGTTTGTAGGTGTAGACTTGGTGTATCTGGGAACAGAGTTCAGAGTATTTCTATGCTTCTATCTTGGACTGTCTCCTACTATATAGTATGCTCTTATGAGGTAGCAAGCTAGAGAAAAGTAAAAGGCTCTCTCAGTGTATCTCTATCTGTGTAATAGTATTTCCTGTGTGTGTGTGTGTGTGTGCGTGTGTGTGTGTGTGTTACAGTGAGAGGAAGAGACTGACCTAATGGCTTCCTTCTCTTCATGTAGTTTTTCTATCCTCCTATTGAAAATTATTTTCTTTTGCATCTCCTCTTTTAAAAATAGATATATGGAAGGGCACCTTGGTGGCTCAGTTGATTATATCCAACTCTTGATTTTGGCTCAGATCTGATCCCAGGGTCATGGGATCAAGGCCTTTGTCAAGCTGTACACTGATAGCACATAGCCTGCTTGGGATTCTCTCTCCCTCCCTCTGCCCTTCCCCTGCTTGTGTGCATGCAGGCTCTCTCTAAAATAAAATACTTTAAAAAATAGATAAATTGACTCTCTCTCACTTTTCAAGTTTTACTTGGGTTTCCAATCTCAGTATCTCTATCAAACTTCAGTGTATGTAAGGATTTCCAGGGATACTTTTTAGAAAATAGAGATTTCCAGACCTTTCAGAAATTCTTATTCAGTAGATACGCAGTGGGGCCCAGAATCTGGGGTCTCACCCCTTCATATTCTAATTCAAGCAATCAAGGAACCACACTGTGAAAATACTTTTTCTCTGAGAATCCTTGCTATTGCTATAAATAGTAGCTACACATATTTTTCTTTTTACTTGTATGAATGTTGTCAACCAACCAGTTATCTGCATTTTGTCAGAAATTAAGGCAAAAGCATAGATACTGGATTCATAAAGGTATCTGTAGACCACTTTTATACTAAATTAATTTGATTATTTTTTATATCTCCAAAATTGTAAATATTGTTAATTAAATAACAACTTTGCTTCAACTATAGGAGAATGCAAAAATACTCCAGGAGAGAAGCATTGCTTATATCAATTCAGATTCATCTATAGAAGGTAAATTTTATTTCTGATTATGAAACAATGCATCATCTTTTCAGTCTGCAAATTTTAACTAACTTGTAAACTAAGATTATTCTCTTAACTATGAAATTCCTCGAGTATCTCCATTTTCCATTTTACCACAGAGAAAATGATTGATTCAAATGAATCATTATGATTCATAACTAAACTACTGATGGTAATTTCTTTAGTATATTTGCCATTTGCCTATCTGGAATTACTACTTAAAACTCTAGTAATGGGGCACCAGGTGGCTTAGTCGGTTAACTGTCCGACTTAGGCTCAGGTCATGACCTCACACTCTGTGAGTTCGAGCCCTGCATTGGGCTTTGTGCAGACAGCTCAGAGCCTGGAGCCTGCGTCGGATTCTGTGTCTCCCTCTCTGTCTGCCCCTCCTCTGCTAGCACTCTGTCTCTCTCTCAAAAATAAAATCTTAAAAAAAAATTACACCCCCCCCCGCCAGTATTAACCATATTCTTCCTGTGGAGATATTAAAGGAATCTGGCTAAAATATTACAGAAGAATGTTTTACAGAATACTCCATATAGAAATACTTTCTGTACGGGAACAATTTGAAGTGAGCACAAACTAGATTTACCTTGGAAACTGACATGTGACACTTGTGTCTCTAGGCTTTCATTGTATGATTATTTCTAGATAAATGTCAGCATACTTAGAAGAAACTGAAATGCTCTAGTCTAATGTCTTGATATATACTGTCAAATTGAGTAAATAAGAAAGGAATGGTATAGCCTTATCACTTCCTTTACCAAAGCCTCTCTCAAGAGATTCCACCTTAAGAATGACCCTACTAAGCGGGAGCTGCTGCCTTAGCAAAGTCCTCCTCTACCTTCCTCTGTACCTAGTGTGCTCCTTGGCCTCTCTTGCCCCCAAAGAACTATTTCCACAATTTTCTTAATTCCTTGGGAATGATGCCTTCGATATCAAGTCTATTATATCTTGTTTATAATTAGAAATAGACTTCTATTGGAATTTCACTTGGAAGTATTAAAATACATTGTATTTTATTTTTTCAGGCAATTATACTCTCAGAGTTGACTGTACACCCCTTCTTTACCAATTGGTGTATAAACTGACAAAAGAGGTATATAAATAGATGTCTTAATGTTTTCTGATGAAAAGATAAGTGAATAACATGTGTTTTCTTAATTTTTAAACTGGTGACAGAGCTGAATTGTAGAAATAGGAAGTCAAAACAAAATCTTTAATACACTATTTATATGACCTCTGTATAAAAATAGCATTGCTAGTCTTTCTAATAGGAGTTACTAATAATTGTGTAACTGTTGCCATGTAGATAGAGGGTATACAGTTTCATCTGGCAGAGACATTTGGATACAACAGAATGAGCTGGAATGGAGAAAGCCTTGGGTTCAGATCCTATAAAATGAATTCCAGCAGCATCAGTGATAAAAGGACATGGTCACTGAATCCAAACACTTTGCAATCTGTAGAGGATACACACTTATGAGGAATTACATGTCAGTATAATATTGGTTACTATAATCAATGGACAACAATTGTGGAACAGAGAAGCTGAAACCCTGGGGTAGCTGGGGAAGCATCAGAAGATGTTTACAGAATAATTAGTTTTTGGGCTCTAAAACAGAAGGATGTGAAGATAAGAGAGAAGGCATTTTCAGCAGAGAACACAGTACCTAAAAAATATGTGAAGATATGAAAGTATTTCCTGAACTGTAGGTGGCTCAGGGTGACCGAAGGTTTTGGTGGAAAGATGGTAAGAAATGGAGCATGACAAATAGGCCAAGGTCAGAAATACGGTGATGGAAAAATTAGAGAATCTGTTTTTTTTTTTTTTTAAAGAGATCTGGAAGATCATTTCCTTTTCATTTATTTATTTTTAAATGTTTGTTTTTGAGAGAGCACAAGCTTGTGGGGGAAGGGCAGAGAGAGAGAGGGAGACACAGAATCTGAAGCAGGCTTCAGGCTCTGAGCTGTTGGCACAGAGCCCGATATGGGGCTTTAACTCACGATCTATGAAATCATGAGTTCATGAGTGTCTGAGCCGAAGTCAGACACTTAACTGACTGAACTACCCAGACCCCAGAGAATCTTTAACAAGGTTATACATTATCATATTTGTTCATTAGAAAGATCACTCAGTATCAGTGTAGTGAATAGATTAAGCTATAGCGAGTCTAAAAGCAAACTGGAAATAATTCTTATAGGAATTTTGTAAATATTGATAGTGTACTCTGAACTCTAATGTACTCTAAAAATTACATGTACCTTTAATTGCTGTGCACTTCATTTAAATGGTTCATTATAGGATTTAGTTACATACATCTTTGAAGTATGTTATCACTTAGATTACAATGTGAAGTAGGTGCACTTTTCTGTAGGTACTATTTTCCATTTTCTCTTAATATTGTCTTTTCCTTTTCCCCCAATAAATGCCTTTAAAAACTGGTTTTCCCAAATGAGAGTCCTTTTATCACTCCCATCCCAACTCTCAACATATTGGGTAGCTTATGTTCTTGATACTTTTATTCGACTGTCCCATAAAAACATCTAAAAGCAAGCTGTAAGGAAACTTCTGAGAGAATCCTTCTCAGGACATGCATTTATGCTTTGTGCTGCCCTACAGAGATGGCTCCTGCCTTTGATGTCAAATGCCCAAGAATTTCAGGGCCAATAGGGAGAAGTTGAGGTCTATGCCCCTTTGTATACTGGCAGATGCTTCTCTACGGCCATATTAAAACTCGGTAGAAAAAGACATTTTGATTCTACTGTGATGGACTATTACAATTTTACCAACCTCTAGTATGTGTTGGCAGAGTCAAACCATGCTGGTGACAGGAGTGTAGGGTGGGAGTGGTAGAGAGGGCAGAGCTTAGAGAGAGGGCAACTGCCTGATTGAAGAAATGGGACAAGGTGTTGAAATACCAGAGGGTCAGCATTTATGACCATGCAGACCACAGAGACAGAAAGTATGTTCTAGGAGGTGCAGGCTAGAGGGTTACGTTTCTGGTTAGTGCTAGACTGAAATGGCGAGTCCAGAGAATGAGCGGGTTTCTCAGGGAATTTAGTGTAAGCAGGATGTAGGAATTGAAGCAGGTTCTCAGCTACTGCAAGTTGGCAGGAGCAGAGTAGATAGGGCCTGGGCAGCAGGCTGGGAAGGAGCAGAATGTCCCTGCAGCCGTAACATGCTGGTGGGGAAGGGGGGACTGTGGAGTGCCCAGACTACCTTTAAGCTGCGTACTCATGTGCAGTGGTGAGGCAACAACCAACTCTGTATAAAGGCCAGAGAAAAATATCAGAGGGATTGATGTTTATGTTAAAATGGGGACCATTATCCCCATCTCCATAGATGAGAAAACTAGGGTTTAAAGAAGGGAAGCAATGCACCATAGGTTATGATGCTTTCAGAGCTGCAAATACAAAATTCAGGCAATACATGTAGTCATGAGGATCTAAAACAGACATGTCAGCCTTCACAGTCCACACTTTTTCTACTGCGTGGCCTTGCTTTTCTCCAGATTGTGGAGTAAGGAGAGTGTAAGTTGATGGCCATACTTTTAATGAGGGGAGTAAAAGAGGTTCAGGTATTCATAGAAGCTCTTAAAATCCCCAAGTAGGAATGTGAGGTTATGTAGAGCTTTTAAAACCCATCAAATTCCAACTTAGTTTGAATACAATTTGACTTTCCAAAACAGCAGTTCCTGCTTGCCCCAGTCCCCCTCCCCGCACAAAACCAGGACTTAGACTGCCCATTTCGGGCTTAGACTCTCTAGCTCCATCTGCTGCCCTGAAGCCTCTCTTTATTAAAGGTTTTCTCAGACAGAAGCGACTTCCTAAAGTAAATCTTGTATCTAAAGATTCCCCGAGTGACTTACCACTCAAGAATATCTAAGCTGCTAAAAATTAAAGTGATAACATTTGTTAAAAATTGGAAACTCTGTTAAAAAAGTTTACCAAAATAAGCCAGAAATCTTACCCCAGGTATGTGGCAAAATTACCATTAGGCAGGCAACAAAAATGAACAAGAATATGGTTGAATTTTTTTTTTGTTGCCATTTGCTTGTGTTTCTATAAAGAGCATGATACACCTCCATATGGTTAGAAGTTGATAACCTATGGTTTTATTATTGGCATAAATTTAGTTGCTTCTTCCTCTAAATCCCAATATTTGACTTTTCTTTCCAGATATCCAGCCCAGATGATGGTTTTGAGGGTAAGTCTCTTTATGAAAGCTGGTTGGAAAAGGACCCTTCATCTGAAAATAAAGATTTTCCTAGGTAAATTACTTGTATATTGTCTACCATAGATCAATTATGAATTCCTTTGCCCCTTGTTTCTCCAGACATGTAATTCTCAGCTGTGTCAACAATTTGAGTAGAAAGATAATCCCAAAGAATCCCTGTGTGGTCTTGATTTTGCTAAGGGAACAGAATAGCTAAGTCTTAGAATCTATAATAAATTCTAGTTTTGCAAATTTTTAGCCAAAATTATTTTGCCATATATTTTGCATTCTTGCATTAAATTTTAGATACGTATTAAATGCATTAGTAAATAATGTAATACCAAATGATAATGATGAAGTAAAAAAATGGGTTATTTGCTTCTAAATTTAAGGGACATTATAAGTAACTGCCAAATTGCATCTTTACCTGTAATGAATTTAGATTTATTAACTTTTACCTTCTCATTCACACAACAGTTTCCCTGAATTTTTTTTTCTCCTGAAATACTATTTCTAAAAACCAGCAGTTGATGGTAGCAGTTTATAGCTTCACTCCATATTCCAAATAAGTCTTGTGAAAGTTTGTGTTTCCATTATAAAAGTTTTACATGCTTGTAAAAAAAAAAAAGTAGAAAAAAAAAGTTTTAAAAAACATCCAATATTTACATCTCAAAAACACATTGGAAGTATATAGTTATTTCCTAATACATCTGTAATTTTCTGCTTTGCTTACCATTTTATTATAAATTTCTCCAGGTTACTGCATATATATTCATATGTACGTATGTAGTGGTTTCTTAACTACATGTAAAAAAATATTGTAATTTAATTTTCTAACTAAAGCACATTTAGATTCTTTCTGATCTTAAATATACGTTATCATGGCAGTTTTCTTACTATAGTCCTCTGAGGGTAGTGCCCAAATTTTATTTTCCCTTTTATGTAACTATTCTAGAAGGCTGGTGATTTCTAAGAGGCCACTGTCATTAGGCTGCTGTCTTTGGTGGTGCTGTTCAACTCTGACTGCAGTCAGTGCAGATTTACAGGTTTAACACAGCAATTCTTGGCACATGACAGGAAAGTAGCTGGGGGTGTATGCCTTCTCCTAATTCTTGTAAATGTGCTGTGCATTTTTCCATTTATTTAATTTCATATTTTTAAATTTAGGCATTTATAATATCCTTGTGTGTGTACATGCATTTATATTCTACATCTAGGATCAACAAACTAGGATCTGGAAGTGATTTTGAAGCTTATTTTCAGAGACTTGGGATTGCTTCAGGCAGAGCCCGTTACACTAAGAACAGAGTAAGCCATTTCATTATTTTGGATACATAGCATTTTATCCAACTTCTTGTTAGGAACTTTAACTGTTTAGTTATTTGGTACCAGGGCACCAGGTCATGTGGCCTGGTAAGAATTCCAGGACTGGAGGCTGACTTCATGTCTCTCTGTAGATGGACTAGGAATTAATTTGGGTTCTTCTGTGAATTTTCTCTGCACAGTTATTCACTGAAACGGTAGGTGGCAGAGTAAAGGCAAGTGCATAGCTGGTTAGCAGAACCAAGTAGTTCATATCCCTGTTCTGATGCAGGCTTTGTTGGAAAATCCTGTTCTCCTCTTTTCCTGAGGAAAATGTGCATGTGAAGAACCTGTTTTGGTCGCAGGGAATGCAAGGCTGTGAGTCTTTATTGTCAGTAGCCCCTCTTCACATCCTCACTCCTGCCTGTCATCTGAGTCCAGGGCTCCTGAGTAGGGAATAAAACAAGTTCCTCCTGATTTTTAAATTATCTTTTCTGTCCTGCACTGATCAGTTTGCACCATCACCATTCAAACACACTGATAGGCAAGTATTTGGATATGCCAACATGTGCCGTTTGCTTGTCTATGTTATAAATTGTGACACACCAAAGATTACATCAGTAAACCCAGATTTGTCACAGATTTTAATAATTTTTGAATCATAATTGCAATATACCAACATCTTGCTTGCCTACCTAGAATACATACCTTTTGCAAATCTGATTCTCCAGAGTATGAGTGGGAACAGAGATGAAAGCAAAATAAATTTCTATACTGATACTCATTAAACTCTTTCAAGGCCTGTTCACTTTTATATTCTGTCACCAATCTGAACCCAGTTGTCTGGTTTCTAAGACAGTGTAGATTAAAAGCAGGATATTAGACAGGAGAGTGAGTGACACAGGGACTCCTTTTAGTGATGCTAAAAGCAGTAAAAGTGATGCTAAAAGCAAAGTAGCAGATAGACCTAAGTAGTAGTCTGTAATAGTAATGACAATACAATAACAATAGTATTACATAGACTACAACTATGTAATAATTTATAATGGTAGCCCTTAACTACATAATAAAGGTTAGATGGGATTTGGTTATACAATTTGGGAAGGCCGAGAAGGTGCTTAAACACAGAATTCTTGAACTATACAGATCTTAGCTGCCCAGAACCTTTCAATTGATAGGTAATTTTAAACTGTGGTAATAAGCAATTTGAGTATGTATGCCTTAATTCTAGTTATCAGAAATACAGCAACAACAATTTGCAAGAAGTATTTTGAATGAAGTTTACGTGAATAATTAAACAGTAGTAAAATTTTAAACAGGTGAGTATTTGGTGATAGTGTTATAGTTAGATATTAACTTTTGCTTCATCATGATAAAACTCAGAGTTCCACATGGCTGTATTTTTTTCTGCATTTTAAAGATTACATAAATATTGTAATTGGAGTATTTAATGTTTGTCTATATTCAATACCACCTATATTTTTTTCCCCCAGAAAACAGATAAGTACAGCAGCTACCCGGTATACCATACGATTTATGAGACGTTTGAATTAGTACAGAATTTTTATGATCCCACATTTAAAAAACAGCTTTCGGTGGCTCAGTTACGAGGGGCACTGGTTTATGAGCTTGCAGACTCTAACATCATTCCTTTCAATATTGAAGACTATGCAAAAGCTTTGAAAAACTATGCAACAAGCATCTATAATTTATCTAAGAAACATGACCAAGAATTAAGAGACCATGGAGTATCGTTTGGTAAGAACGGCTGGGTATTATTTTATAATCTGAGTTAGAGCTTTAAGGTACCATCTCCGATTGTCATCACTGCACACTCTTTCTTCCGAGAATATATTCCTGCATCACTTAATTTTGACTGCTAGAAAAAAACTTGGAACACCTTTAAAGAAGGTCATTTATTCTGGTATTTGTAGGATGAATCCATTTTGCTAAGTTAGTGCTATGAACATTGGGATGGTAAACCTTTTCCCTATATTGCTGTCTTTAGAAACACTTTTACTGTTATAAAAACACAATACAGCACAAAGATGGGAAAATAAAACCAGTTCCACTACATATGTAATTATTATTGTATATTTTTGTTTACATGCAGAATTTTTTACACGGGTTAAGCATTGTTTCATTTTATACATCTTATATTCATTTTATATTCACATTGCCATTTTATGGTTACTGTTCTGTACACTATCCCCAGCAAAGCAGGGATGAAATATAGTATGGTGTAAAGCACTGAGCATTGGGTGTAGAAGCAGTTACCTGGTTCAAATCTTGGTTCTAAGATTTACTCATTGTGTGATGTGGGAAAAGTTACTTGACCAGTCTTTGTCAATTTTCCTGAGTAAAATGGTAAAGAATATAACTTGTTTCCAAGACTGCGGTGGGAGATTCGGTTGGTTGGAAGTATAGACACAGTGGTGAGTAGACACTTATAAATGTTACCTATTAGTACTGTTCACAGTAATCATTTTCTTTTAATCTGGGAGTACATACCAAAATTATCAAATATGTACTCAGTGTCTACTGTGTTAATTCCTGGGAGATAGGAGAATGTTTAAAAAATAATCATTGTCCTCAGAGAGCACAGAATCTCATGTGAGGGAAAAGAGAAGAATGCCAGGGACAAGCTGTTATAGGATACAGAGAGTAATGTAGGAACACAGAATAAGTACAGAAAAGTCAGTAATGGCTTTGGAATATTACTGCATACAAATTAGCAGTCTTCAAAGTCATGAGCAGCAGGTATTAAGATCTAGATGAAATGATACAAAGAAAATTTAGGAAATTGTATTTAGATCAGTGATTGGAGAATGTCTTTTAATGACGAGGCAAATGAAACCGGAAGCATAAGCAGAGTCAACAGCAAAATGGATATTCATAGTTCTGTGGCTATCTGACATCCTCTTTTCCTAGATGCCCCGATTTTCTATTGGTGAATTACCTTTTATCACTTTAAGTTAGGATCCAACTGAGAGAGAAAGCACAGTTACAGGGGTCACTCTTCACACAAGGTGAATTAACCTAGTCTATTAATGCTTCTTTTCCCCCATATTTTCAAACTCTGTCTCGGTGGTGATATCCCGTCCATGTTAAACCCCCTTGTAACCTTCTTATAAACATTTCTTCTACCTGATGTGTCCTACTCCCTTCCCAATCAAAATTCTTGATTTAGTGCCAGTCAAAAGGCAGTCCCTCTGAACATGTTTTAATGAATGAATGAATGAATGAATGAATGATGGATAGGATGGATATATAAGTTACATGGTCCCCTGTTCTTTACTTCCTTTTCCCAATCTACTTATCTTCCCACCACTCTACTGAAATTGCTATTCACCTGTTACTAAATACCAGGGACACATTTTCTTAATCCAATTTGACTACTGTGGTTCAATGGAAATTTAAAATTCTTTCAATGCTCTTTAGCTTCCCAAACATCTATTATTGGATTATTTGGTACTTGGTTCTAACAACATCAACGATAATTAGAGCTTACAGGATATCTAAGGCTAAAAAAAAACCCTGGTCTTTTATATTGAAAGTAACTATTTACTAGCTGTGTGATCTAATAGAAACCCTGTGTCTGGAGCAGTAAATGCTTTACCTGTAAAATGAATATTGTACTCCCTGTACACAGGATTAATGAAGAAGCAAATCAATGCTCTATGCTAATGTTCAGTTTAGAAAAGATGGGAAATGATAAATACATTGTTGTAATAAGAAAATATGCTGAGAACCTTCTCACTTCTTAGAATCTATGTAAACTAAAGAAAATCTTGACCAGACCAGACCTGATCCTATTTCTGAGTCTGCATATACCAGCTCATCACAGGTTGCATTTAAATAAGATCATTTTAATTTGTTAAAAAGAAAGGTTAACATGTTTTATTCTATTAATTGCAGGAACATAGCTCATTTATAGTTGTATCCAGTACCTAGTATATAGAAGTTATATTAACATATATTGAACAGCTACATGAATGATGCATTTCTGATAAATTAGGAATGAAAAGAATTATTTATAGTTACTTCATGAAGAATCAATTTAGACATTTTATATTTTATCCATTGTTACAATATTTTCTGATAATCTTCATGGATCTACAAGAAGGCTCAGTAGAATAATAGTTTCAGTATCTATTCAGTCCTATCAGCCTGGAATGCAGAGGGCAGGAAAGTGAACATCTGAAATAAGGACTTACTAATATACCTTCCACTTTTCTATTTTTAAAAGATTCTTTATTTTCTGCTGTGAAAAACTTCTCAGATGCTGCTTCAGATTTCCATAGAAGACTTACAGAAGTTGATCTTCAGAAGTAAGTTTGAAATGTAAAGTTCCCTGTTTTGAAAAGTAATCTAGTTAGAATGAATCATGTACACTTACCTAGGCATGTGGCTCTAAGTCACTGCTACTCAAATGAAGGTCTGTAACCACAGCATCAGCATTACTTAGGAGCTTGTTACCAAACTTAGAATTCTGCACTTTAACAAACTCCCAGGATGGTCAGTATTCACATTGAAGTTTTAGAAGCACTGCTCTGTCTGGTAGACTAAAAACTCCTCCTAAAACAAGAGCCAGCCTCCTGTCCGTAGGAGTCTGCATAAGAATTGTGAGTGTAATTCATAGTTCTATGGGGATAAGTGCACTTGTAGTGTATTTGTAGTATATTTTACTAATGTCTCAATACTTCTATGACCAGCGTAGAAATTCTTTTACTGATACAATTTTTGCCACTTTTAGATCGAAGTATAATTTGAAAGTTCTGTTCAAAGCATGCATATTTAACAAGCATAAATTGTTCCAGGTCACATTTATTTTTTCAGATCCAATTAGAGTAACCTTTCCCACCACCCATATTGGCAGAAAGACGTATCCTTCTTTCTGAGGGGCATCTCTCTCCTTTGGGTGGTAGGAGAGCCCAGAGAACTCCTGTAGCACCCCAGAAAGAGTTGGCAGATGCCAAGTGTGAAAGGGGATTCCTGGCCCACAATGTGCAACTGTCTCCCACCCTTCCTGCAGACTGCTGCAACCTTCCTTCATTTGATACAGATTGCATTTGTTTGTCTTGGGCTCCAGCGGAAATGAATGGCTTATCAACAGCTTGATAGTACACCCAGTGTGCCTTTGCAGGAGGCCTGGCTATCCTCCTAGAGAGAATTAAAACTGTCTTCCCAGTTCTTTCTGTGGTCTTGAAAAACAAAACCAGCCATTTCCAGTAGGTCTCATTCTGAGTATTAGGAAGATGACCCTCTTTTTTTTAAAAAAATGTTTTTATTTACTTCTGAGAGAGACAGTGTGAGCAGGAGAGGGTCAGAGAAAGAGGGGAGACACAGACTCTGAAACAGGCTCCGAGCCAGCTGTCAGCACAGAGCCCGACGCGGGGCTCGAATGCATGAACCGTGAGACCATGACCTGAGCCAAAGTTGGATGCTCAACTGACTGAGCCACCCAGGCACCCCAGGAAGATGACCCTCTTATATATAGCTTACATATAAAGCATGACTGCTAACATGTATTTTCTTTAGAAGTTTATTTTTCTATGCCTTATGCTATGTTATTTTAAACTCTATTTCCGTGAAAGGGTTAAAGTTACTGTATTTCTTCTTATTTTCAAAGTCCCATTGCAGTGAGAATCAGGAATGACCAACTGATGCTCCTGGAGAGAGCATTCATCGATCCCCTTGGTTTACCAGGGAGGCGGTTCTATAGGTAAGGAAGCAACATATGTTCCATTATAGGACGTTACATACTTCAATATGACTAAAACCAGCATACCCAAAGTCTGCTTTAAACTGTTGCCATCAGATGAACAGAAGGTTAATATGTACGCTGAGAGGAATATATGGGTAAGATTATGCATTAGAACAGTATAATATGTAGCATCAGAAAAATTAATTTCATGTTGTTTACTGCTTTGCTACAGATGTAAATGATTAATGATAGAAAATAACTTTCTGTAAATCTAAAGGATATAGAATCTTAGAGCTTGTGTGATTCAAACTTCAACATTAATTTTCTCTGTAGGATCTGAGGTAAGTAGCTATCTAGCCACTAAGCCTACCACATCATGAGGAAGTCCATCCTATTTTAAGAAAGGTCTACTTTAATAGAAATTTTTCTTCATGAAGACCCTTTTCCCTAATCTAGATCTATGTAACATTTTTAGGTTTTTAAAAATGGCTGCCATGTTCTGCTGAAGAACTCTCCTTTTTGTATCTGTATCTCTATGTCAAGTTTTCTTTCAATATCTTGGCTGTGCCCTTCGGCAGTCTCCAGTTTCTCAAAGTACCTCTTAAATGAGATAGGGCAAAGTTGAATGAAAAGGTTTATCTTCTACATTCGGAGAGGTGGCTGTTTCATCTAATGCGTAGAAACCAACACAGAAGGAAAAAAAAAAATGAGGAAACAAGAGGAATATGTTCCAAATGAAAGAATTAAGATAAAACCATGGAAAAATACCTCTGTGAAATGGAGATAAGTAATCTACCTGATAAAAAGTTCAAATTATGAAAAAAAAAAAAGTTCAAATTATGGCCATGAAGATGCTCAAAATTGGAAGAATGGATGAGCACAAAAGTTAAAAAAAAAAAAAGTTCCAAACAGGAGTCACATTAGAGGGGTTTTCCATCAGACAAGATGAAGCAGAAGACAGAATCACTGATCTTAAAGGGGGGGGGAAAGGCTTAAGAGACTTAGCGGAAAAAAGGCCTATTAACATTCACATTACAGGAATCTCAGAAGAGAGGGAAAAGGGCTGAAAACTTCCCTAACCTAGAAGAGGAAACCAACATCCAGAAACAAGAAGCCCAGAGAGAATTCCAAATAAAATGAACCAAGAGAGACCCACACCAAAACACTTAATTACACTGTCAAAAATTAAAGACAAGGATAAAAGCAGCAAGAGAACTACTTATATATACACAAAGGAACCTCCATATAATAATTATTAGCAGATTTTTCAGCAGGAACTTTGCAGGCCTGAAAGGAGTGGCACAATATAGTTCAGGTGCTGAAAGAAAAAGACTTCCAATCAAGAATACACCATCTTGCAAAGTTAGCTTTCAGAACTAAAGGTGAGAGTATTCCAGACCAACAAAAGCTAAAGGAATTCATCACCACTAAACTGGCCTCCTAAGAAATGCTAAAGGGAGCACTTTAAATTGAAAAGGAAAGGTGCAGATTAGCAACAAGAAAACAGGAAGCGTGAACATTTTACTGGTAAAGATGAACATTACAGTAAAGGTAATAAATGGTATGAAGGTTAAGACAAAGTAATAAGTACAACTACAATAAGGGATACACAAAAGTAAGAGGAAGTAAAACCTTAAACCATGGTGGTAGGATGGATAAGAGTAGAAAGGTAGACCTTTACAATGCCTTCAAAGTGAAACTGTCATATTCATGACTGTCTACTTTAAATTGATAGTTTGTTCTACTTAAGGCTCACAGTAACCACAAACCAAAAAGTTACATAGGCATACCTCTGATCTACTATAAAGCAACTTAAGTTTTTGCTTTCTTAGTACATACGTAAGTTATGTTTATACTGTATTACAGTCTATTAAGTGTATGAAGCACTTCTAGAAGTATGTACCTTAATTAAAAAATACTTTATTGCTAAAAATGCTAGCCATCATCTGACCTTTCAACTAGCTGTCATCTTTTCTGCTGATGGAAGGTCTTGCCTCAAAGTTGATGGCAGCTGACTGATCATGGTGGTGGTTGAAGGTTGAAGTTGCTGTGGCTATTTCTTTTCTTTTCTTTTTTTTTTTTCTTAAATGTTTTATTTATTTCTAGGAGAGAGAGAGGGAGTCACAGACTGAAACAGGCTCCAGGCTCTGAGCTGGCAGTCAGCACAGAGCCTGACGCGGGGCCCGAACCCACGAACCACGAGATCATGACCTAAGCGAAAGTCGGACGCTTAACCGACTAAGCCACCCAGGCGCCCCGGCTATTTCTTAAAAGAATACAACCATAACGTTTGGCTACATCGATTAACTCTTCCATTCATATTTCTCTGTTGTGATGCTGTTTGACAGTTCTATTTCAATAGTTATTTCTCTCAAAGCCTGCTTTTTACTAAAAGCTTATGTAATATTCTAAACCCTTCATTACCACTGTTGAATCTTCACAGCATCTTTTTCAGGAGTAGATTCCATCTTAAGTAACACTTTCTTTTGTTCACCCATAAGCAGCAAGTCTTCCTCCATTAAAGTTTTATCGTAAGATTGCAACAGTTAAAATATAATGATTATGAAAATTAAGGCCAGTATCTCTGATGAGCAGATAAGCAAAAATCTTCCTATAAAACAGCAAACTGAATTCAACAATATATTAAAAGGATCAAAATCACACAGAAGCATGACAATAATACATCGGTTCATGATAAAAATTATCAATGAAGTGGGTTTAGAGGGAACATGCTTCACAATAATCAAGGCTGTATCAGATGTACCCACCCCCACCCCCTACTCCACTGTGAAAAGCTGGAAGGTTTTCCCTTGAGATTAGGGACAAGGATGCCCACTCATGCTACTTTTATTCACCACAGTATTGGAAGTCCTAGCTGCAGCAGTCAGACAGGAAAAAGAAATCAAAGGCATCCAAATTGATAAAGAAGTAAAATTGTCACCATTTGCAGATGACATGACAGTACATACAGAAAACCTAAAAACACCAAAAAATTAGAACTAATGAATTCAGTAGTTGCAGGGTACCAAACCAATACACAGAAATCCCTTCTGTTTTTATATACCACTAACAAAGTAGCAGAAAGAGAAATTCAGAAAAGTCATTTACAATCGCATCAAAAAGAATAAAATACCTATGAATAAATTTAACCAAGGAGGTGAAAAGACCTGCACTCTGAAGATTAGATTAAGGGAGCACAAGACAGACAAATGCAATCCATATCAAAGTATCAACAGCATTTTCCACAGATAATCCTAAAATTTGTACTGAAACAAAAAGCACCCTAAATAGCCAAAGCCGTTTTCTGAAAGAACAACAGAGCAGGAGGTATCATAATCCCAGATTTTCATATATACTACAAAGCTATACTGATGATATAGGCAAGACAAATGGACATATAAGTCAATGGAACAGAAAAGAGAGCTCAGATAAAACCCCATGCTTCTATGACTAATTTACAAAAAAGGAGGCAAGACTATGCAGTACAGAAAAGACAATCTCTTCAAAAAATGGTGCTACATACTAATGAAATGGAACCACTTTCTTAACACAAAAATAAACTCAAATGGGGTAAATGCCTAAGTAAATGTGACAGCTAAAACCATAAAACTCCAAAAAAAAAAAAAAAACCCCAATCAACCCAACAACAGGCACCCATCTCTTTCACATTGGCCTAGGAAACAAAAGCAAAACCAAAACAAACCTGGGAGAATATCACACTAAAAAGCTTTTACATAGCAGAGGAAACTATCAACAAAGACACCTAAAATGGGAAGGCATATCTAAAAGAAGAAGCTGCTACAACTCAACAACAAAAAGCTCTATTAAAAAAAAAATGGGCAGAGAACCTGAATATGTATTTTTCCAAAGAGAAAAAGACATGAAAAGCATGGTCCCCACCTCTAATCATCAGGGAAATGTAAATCAAAACTGAGGTTATCCCCTCACAATTGTCAGAATGCCTAGTATTAAAGAGACAAGTGTTGGCAAGGATGTGGAGAAAAGGGAACCCTCGTGCATTATTAGTGGGAATGTAAACTGGTAGAGTCACTACAGAAAACAGTATGGACATTTCTTAAAAAAATTTAAGATAGAAATACTACATGATCCAGTAATTCTATTGCTGAGTATTTACCCCTCAAAAAACCAAAAACACAAATTCACCTAAATATACTCATTGTTATTTTAATGCAGTGTTATTTACAACAGCCAACAGAGGGATGCAACCTAAGTGTCCACTAACAAAGAGAAAGATGTACACACACACACACACAAACGGAAGAGTAAACACAAAAAAGAATGAAATCTTGCCATCTGCAACATGGATATACCTTGAGGGTATCATGTTAAGTAAGTCTGGGAAAAACAAATCCCGTATGATTTCACTTCAAAACAAAAAGAAAATTGGTGGTTGCTAGAGAGGAAGGTGGGGGGAGTATGGGCAAAATAGGGGGTTGAGTGGTACAGATGTGAAGTTACAAGCAAGCCATGAAGATGAAAAAAAGTCCACCACAGGGAATATAGTCAATTATACTGTAGTAACTTTGGTGGCAGATGGTACCTATGCTTATTGTAGTGAGCATTCCCAATGTATGTAACTGTCAAATTACTACTATACACCCCAGACTAATAACACTGTATTGCCAAATGTATTCCAACAAAGAATATAATAAAGTTTGGAATGTTATAAAAATTACCAAAATGTGACAACAGAAACATGAAGTGAACAAATGTAGTTGAGAAGATGGTGCCAAAAGACTTGCTTGATAGAAAGTTGCCACAAACATTCAACTAAAAAAAGAAAAAGCCAAAAATGTACTGTTGAGCACAATAAAATGAGGCAAGTCTGTAGCAGATACCAAAAAGATAAGAGAAAATCTAAGTATACCATGCCATCAAACCAGAGAGAGAGAGCAAGAGGCTAAGGAACAGGCAGAAACTACAAAACAGCAACATGTACATACCTGTTATTTTACATGTAAGTGGAATAAACGTCCATTGGAGAGATAAGGTGGCTGAATGAAGAAAAAAAACACCGACCTATATGATGCCTAGAGGAGACTCACTGTTTTTGTTTTTTTGAGAGAGAGCACATGTGCAAGCAGGGAAAGGGCAAAGAAGGCAAAGAGAGGGGAGACAGGATCCCAAGCAGGCTCTGCATCACCAGAGCAGAACCCAATGTGGGGCTCGAACTCACTGTGAGATCATAATGTGAGCTGAAATCAAGAGTTGGACACCTGAGTGAGCTACCCAGGCACCCAGAAGAGACCCAGATGAGAAGTGAAGGCATGGAAAAAGACATCTAGTGCAAATGGAAACCAAAAGAAGGCAGGGATAGCTATCCTAGTATCAGACAAGATACTTTAAAACGAAAACTGTAATGAAAGACAAAGAAGGAAATTACGTAATAATAAAAGGGTCAAACAAGAGCATATAGCAGTTGTAAATATTTATGCACTGAACCATATAAATTAGGTATTAACACAGAGAGAGAGAGACAGCAGTACAAGAGGAGGAGACATTAATGGAACACATAAATGGCTAGCTTCTAGACAAAAAAATCACTAAGGAAACATTACCCTTAAGCATCACAGTAGACCATATGAATATACTGAATATTCCATCCAAAAGCAAACCACACATTCTTGCAAGAGCATGTGCGGTATTTTCCAGGATTGGTCGTATGTCAAAAAATGAGTCTTAACAAATTTAAGAACTATCAACCATCTTTTTTGACCACAGTGGTATGAGACTAGTAATCAACTACAAGAAAAGTGGAATGTTCACAAAAGGTGGAAATTAAACAATGTTCTACCAAACTACAGGGCAAGTCATGAAATCAAAAGACAAAAAAATACCTTGGGAAAAATGAAAATGGAAATGGCAGAATTTATGGGATATAGTAAAAAACCGTTCTAAGACTGAAGTTCACCAGCAGTAAATACCCAACCCAAGAAAGGTAAAATTCTCAAGCAACCTAACATCACACCTCAGTGAGGTAGAAGAATGATAAATGAAGCCACAGTTTAGGTGAAGGAAGGAAATAACTAAGAGAAAATCAAGGAAATAGAAATTAAAAAGCCAAAACAAAAGTTCAATGAAATGAAGAGTAGATTCTTTGAAAGATAAAATTTATAAACCTTTCACTCAATTCACCAAGAAGAGAACGGGTTTGAATACGTAAAATAGATGTTACAACTAATACCGCACAAATGCAAACATACCAGACTATCAACACTACTATGCCAACAAACCGGAACACATGGACAAACTCCCAGAAACATATAGCCTCTCAGAACTGAATCATCGGGGCGCCTGGGTGGCTTGGTTAAGCGTCCGACTTTCGCTTAGGTCACGATCTCGCGGTTCGAGCCCCGCGTCGGGCTCTGTGCTGACTGCCAGCTCAGAGCCTGGAGCCTGTTTCAGAGTCTGTGTCTCCCTCTTTCTCTGACCCTCCCCTGCTCATGCTGTCTCTCTCTCTCCTAGAAATAAATAAAAATATTAAAAAAAAAAACAAAAAACTGAATCATCAAGAAATGTATATGGAAAAAGAAAAGTGAAGATATTTAATATAATCAGTAATCATAAATCTCCTAATAAACAAAAGTCCAGGAACAGATGGCTTTGCTCATGACTTCTCCAAACATTGAAAGAAGAATCAGTATTACTCATTTTCAAATTCTTCCAAACTCACTTTAAATAAGGCAAGCATTACCTTGATATGAAAATCAAACAAGAATGCCGCAAGAAAATTACCAGCCAATATGATGAACCCAGAAGTAAAAATCCTTCACAAAATATTAGCAAACCAAATTCAGCAGTATATTAAAAAAAGATCACATGCCATAACCAAATGGGATTTACTCCAGGGATATAAAGATGGGTTCAATATTCACAAATCAATGTCATATACCATATTAACAAACGAAGGATAAAGTCTTACATAGAAGCAGAAAAAGCATTTAACAAAAATTCAACATCCATTTTTATTAAAACTTATTGAAGTCCTATAGAAGAAATGTAACTCAACATAATAAAGGCCACATATGACAAACCTACAGCTAATACCATACTTAAGGGTGAAAAGCTGAAAGCTTTTCCTCAAAGATCATGAACAAGATAAAAATGCTTAGTCTTGCCACTTTTTTTTTCAACATAGTATTGGTATTTCCTACTGAGAGCAATTAGGCAAGAATAAGGCATCCATACTGGAAAGAAATAAAACCATTACTATTTGTAGATGACACTGTATATAAATAAGCCTAAGGAATCCACTAAAAAACTATCAGAATGAATAAATTCATCCTAAGGTTAAGATACAAAATATACAGAAATCTATTATTATTTCTATACACTAATAATGGCCTATCATAAAGAGAAATTAAGAAAACAATCCCACTTCCAATTGCATCAAAAAGAACAGAATACCTAAGAATTTAGCCAAGGTGAATGGCCACAGGGGTATTAGATGTCAGGTCAATGATTTGAACCAGGATTGTGTAATTCTTAATGTCTATATATATCTTACTACACTCTGCCTTTACAGTTTTCCAGTAGAGGGCAAGTACTATACTTATGAATAGCTACAACCTTTATGTAGACTATCTCAACTCCTATATAGGTCAGAATATCAGTGTTTATAAACAGTTCAGCACATAACACGGGCTCCAAGAAAGATCCATTTGAGGCCATGTTAAGATTTAAAAGCCAAGAGAAATAAATCCTAATGTACTCTGGATAATATAAATGGCTTACATTATAAATTTCTATTTGATCATCAATATTGACTTACATAGAGTTCCATATTGTCTCAGACAGTAGATTCACATCTTGAAGAAGCTGTAGGATTTTAACCTAATTCCTCATCATGGTGTTCAATAAAATACGTCCTTTTCTGGAAAGCAGCATTCCAGAGGAAGAGAAGGTAGCTTGATCTCTTCAGGTACTTATAAGATGAAATAGGAAATCAAATGTAAAACTTTCCTTCTGGATCACAAATTCAGTGTGTCTCCAGGCAATTCACATGGACTTCATTCATCATCCTTACCATTTATGATATAGTGGCAATACGTGCTTATTTAATTATTGATTTTTAATATCTAAAGAGTATCGGAACAAGTGTTACTTATTCTTGTTGAATCTCTGAAAAAGACAACGCACAGATAAATTATTTTTCAGTCTCCTCTCACTCTCATTAAATATATCCATTAAGCATACTTCTTGTCACTGTTTGGGTATGTCGGGGTAGCCAGACAACTGATATACACAACTTACAACAAAGAGTCCACCTTCTTCCAATTGGTCTGATCTATGAAACTAATCTTAGTGAATGCATATGAATGCAACTTTCTTTGCTTAAGATTATACTGTTATATATAATACTGTCAAATTAATTATAGGTCTTCATTTTGGTTTAAAAAAGGGAATGCCAAGAAGAGACACAGTATTCTTAAGATGTCCTTCAACAAAAGGGAATGAATAGAGAAGTGTGTAAAATGTAACGTATGTATGCATACTCTATAGCTCAACCTGCCCTGTTTTTTTTCTTAGGCACATCATTTTTGCTCCCAGTAGCCACAACAAATATGCCGGAGAATCATTTCCTGGGATCTATGATGCTATGTTTGATATTGAAAATAAAGAAGACCGTCAGTCAGCCTGGACAGAAGTAAAGAAACACATTTCTATTGCAGCCTTTATAATTCAAGCAGCAGCAGGAACCCTGAAAGAAGTGTTATAGTAAGGTCTCAGCAGCGTGGCCATTAAAGGTGTTACTGAAAGTCTGAATGTAAAATCCTTCCTTGGTTTTTGATAGCTCATGAAACCAGAGTATTCTATAATCTTGCCTTTCATGTCCTATTTTGATTTTAGACTTCCATCCTGTTCTTCTGTAAAGAGTTTTTTGGCTTTTTAGAAACTCATAACTTCATCACCAAATTGTTCATCTAATAAAACCAAAGAACTCTAGTCATGTGGCAGAAGACATAAAGTAACTGAAAATTCCCAAAAACAAAATATGACAAGGAACTTGGTGGTCTCAGACATTGCTGGTAGAAGTGTAAAATGGTACAACCACTTTGGAAAACAGTTTGTTTCTTACCAAGTTAAAATACAGTTAACCCTTGAACATGGGTCTGAACTGCACAAGTCCACTTACAGGTTTTCTAATACACCATTTTCTTTATGATTTTCTTAACATTTTTCTCTAGTTTTATTGTAAGAATACAGCAAAAAATACATATACAAAATATGGGTTAATCAACTGTATTATTGGTAAGGCTTCTGCTCAACAGTAGGCTATCAGCTGTTAAATTTTTAGGGAGTGAGTGAAGTTATATGCAGATTCTTGTCTGCCTGGTGGATTGGCACCCATAACCCTCACATTGTTTAAGGGTCAACTGTAGGAACCTTTGCAAGTTATTGCTTCATAAGTTATTTTGTTTTTATCATCTTTAATCAACAGCTGATTACTAGAACAGAACAAGTGATTAAAGTAATTATGTTCTAAAGCCATGTAATTAAGCAAGGATGTTACATACAGAATGTGACCGATTTCTTTAAAAAAAAATTTTTTTTAATGTTAATATTTTTGAGAGACAGAATGTGTGTGAACAGGGGAGGGGCAGAGAGAGGGACACAGAATCTGAAGCAGGCTCTAGGCTCTGAGGTCATATCCTGAGCTGAAGTTGGACGCTCAACCAACTGTGCCACACAGGCACCGTGCCCCATGAGCTATTTCTTAATAATGTTTTCCCCTAGGAGTACTTTACCTCTAAGATGTTTTATGTATGCCACTTGCTAATGACAAAGGAAAAATCTAGTGATGAAAGAGAAAAAAAGGGGAGACTGAGGAAATCACCTTGGAAATCTACTTTACAGAAACACAGGAGATAAAAAAATAACCAGAAGGGGCGCCTGGGTGGCTTAGTCGGTTAAGCGTCCGACCTTCGCTTAGGTTATGATCTCACGGTTCGTGGGTTCGAGCCCCGCGTCGGGCTCTGTGCTGACTGCTAGCTCAGAGCCTGGAGCCTGTTTCAGTCTGTGACTCCCTCTCTCTCTGACCCTCCCCTGCTCACGCTGTCTCTCTCTCTCTCCTAGGAAAAAAAAAAAAAAAAAAGAAAAAACAACCAGAAGGCAAATAAGAAGACAGCAGTATTTAAGTAATTATGGACTAAATTCACCAAAGTGCACAAAGTGGCTAGATGCAAAAAAAAAGACCTTACTATACACTAAAGGAAATTCATTTTAGTTCTAAAGACATATACAGACTAAAGATGTAGGAACAGAGGATATTCCATGCATGTGGATACCAAAAAAAAGTAGGCACAGCCATATTTATGCCAGAAAAAAATACACTTCAAGCCCAAAACACTAGAGACTAAGAAGTCATTAATGATAAAATGAAAAATACATCAAGAAGATAAAACAAGGGGCGCCTGGGTGGCTCAGTCAGTTAAGCATCCGACTTTAGCTCAGGTCATTTTCTCACAGTTTGTGGGTTTGAGTCCTCCATTGGGTTCTGTGCTGACAGCTCAGAGATGGCAGCCTGCTTTGGATTCTGTGTCTCCCTCTCTCTCTGCCCTTCCCCTGCTTGCGCTGTCTTTCTCAGAAATAAATCATACACACATCCAACATCAGACCACCACAATTAAATGGATTCAACAGTCCTATATAGAATATTCCAACCAAAAGCAGTATAGGGCACATTTTTCTCAAGTACCTATTTACAAGGCAGATCATGTGATAGGGCACAAAACAAATCTTAGCAAATTTAAGATTGAAATCATACCAACTACCTTTTCTGACCACAATGGTTTAAAATTGAAATCAAGCAAGAGAAAGCTAGAAAAACCTGAGTCAAAGAAAAAATGGGAATATGACACATCAAATCTTATAGGATGAGGCAAAAGCAGTTGAGAGAGAAGTTTACAGTCTTAAATGCATATATTAAAAAATTACAAAGACCTCAAACAGCCTAACTGTTGTGGAAGTTATTCTAGGAAGTGTAAGAACAAATTAGGCCTAGACATAGTGGAAGGAAGGAAATAAATCAAAGCAGAGATAAAATCTATTTCAGAAAAGTAAAACTAAAAGCTGGTTCATCAAAAAGATAAAATTGACAAAACTCTAGCCAAACTTAGAAAAAGGCATAAAATTAGAAATAAAAAAGATCCTGGGGTGCTTAGGTGACTCAGTCAGTTAAGCATCTGACTTTGGCTCAGGTCATAATCCCAGGGTTTGTGAGTCTGAGCCCCACAATGGGCTCTGCACTGACAACTCAGAGCCTGCTTCAGATTCTATGTCTCTCTCTCTCTCTCTGCCCCTCGCCCATTCACTCTGTCTCTCTCTCAAAAATAAACATTTTTTAAAAATTTAAAAAAATGAAAAAGGTCTTTTAACTTTTACTACAAAAATACACAGAATTGCAAGAGGCCATTATGAACTATATATTCTAAAATAGGTAACCTAGAAGAAATGGATAAATTTCTAGAAACAACCTACCAAGACAATGAAAAAGAAACAGAAAACTAAGGAGCAAGAGATTGAATCAATTTTTTAAAACATCACAGTACAAAAAATAACCCAGGACCAAATGACTACATTGGCAAATAAACACTCCGAGAATTAACACAAGTCTTTCTCAAACTCTTCCAAAAACTTGAGGTATATAGGATATTTTCAGACTCATCTTAAAAAGCCAATATTATTTTTGTCACTAAAGCCAGAGAAGAACACAACAAAAAGTAGAGACCAATATTGTTGAACACAATTATCAACAAAATATGAGCAAACCTAATTCAAGAACACAAAGATTATACACCTGGACTGAATGGGATTTATCACTGGGATGCAAAAATGGTTCAATACATGTAAAACAATAAACGTCACATATCATAATAAAATGAAAGACAAAAATCACAATCATCTAAGCATTTGACAAAATGCAACATCCTTTCATAATAAAAACTTTAGGCAGACTGGGTATAGAAGGCACATGCTCAACATAGAAGCCACGTACGACAAACCCACAGTTAACATGATACTCAACTGAGAAAAACTGAAAGTTCTTCCTCGCATCCAAATCAGGAAGAAGTGAAACTCCCACTTGTAGTTGATATGATTTTGTATATGCAAAATCCCAGACTCAAACAAACAAACGAACTAATCAGGGATTTCAGTAAAGTTGCAGGACACAAAATCAATGTACAGAAATAAGTTACATTCCTATACACTAAGGATGAAACACCTGAAAAAGAAAATTATCCCATTTGCAGCATCAACAAAATACTTTTAGGAATAAATGTAATCAAGGATGTGAATGACTACAATGAAAACTGTTAAGACTGCTCAAACTAAAGACAGACAAATGGAAAGACCTCCTGTGTTCATAGATCAAAAAGAATGTTAAAATGTCCATACTAAACAAAGCCATCTACAGATTCAATGCAATCCCCATCAAAATACCAATGGCATTATTCACAGAAACACAAAGACAATCCTAAAATTTGTATGGAACTGCAAAAGACCCCAGACAGCCAAAGCAATCTTGAGGAAGAAGAACAGCGCTGGAGGTATCCTACCTCCTGACTTCAAATTGTACTACAAAGCTACAGTAAGAAAAACAGCATGGTGCTTACAAAAAAACTGACAGAGACCAACAGAACAGTGAGCCCAGAATTAACCCCCCTGCTTACACTGTCAACTAATATTTGACAAGGGAGCAAAGAGCACCCAATGGGGAAAGGACAGTCTCTCCAACAGATGAGTGTTGGTAAACTGAATAAACACTGAGCAATGAAACTGGACTTCTATCTTATACCACTCACAGAAAATAACTTGAAATGGATCAAAGACTTCAACATAAGACCTGATACTATAAAACTAGAAAAAAAATGGGGAAGGAGCTCTTTAACACTCTTCGTAATGTTTGGGATATGACCCCCAAGCACAAACAAAAGCGAAAACCAACAAATAGGACTACACTAAAGTTAAGTTTTCACACAGCAAAAGAAACAACAAAATGAAAAAGCAATCTAAAGAATGGGAGAAAATTTTTGCTAATCATCTATCTGACAGAGTTAATTTCTAAAATATATAAAGAACTCCCTACAACTTGGTAACAAAAAACCCAGATCTAAAAAATGGCAGAACTAGACATTTTCTAAAGACATCCACATGGCCAAATATATATGAAAAGATGCTCAACTTCACTAATCATCAAGAAAATACAAATTAAAGCCACAATGAGAGATCTCATTTCAAATCACTAGCATCAAAAAGACAAAAGTGTAGCAAGGATGTGGAGAAAAGGGAACCCTTGTGCACTGTTGGCAGGAATGTAAATTGGTACAGCCACTATGGATAACAGTATGGAGTCTCCTTAAAAAAATTTTAAAGAGAGCTATCATAGGACCTAGTAATTCTACTTCTGGGTATCTATCCAAAGAAAATGAAAACTAATTCAAAATGATATATGCACCCATGTTCATTGCAGCACTACTTATAACAGCCAAAGATATGGAAAGAACCTGTGTCCATCAACATGAATGGATAAAATGTGGTGTGTATGCACACTGGAATAATTCACCCATGAGAAAGAAAGACATCCTGCCATTTGTGACAACATGGATGGAGTTTGAGCACATTATGCTAAGTGACAGAAGTCAGAGAAAGACAAATACTGTATGATTATCACTTCTATGCAGAATTTAAAAAGGCCAAAGTTATAGACACAGAGTAAAATGGTGGTTACCAGGGGGTGAAGGTTGTGGGGTCAAGGAAAGATATTAAGGGTTCAGATTTACAAGGAGTAGCTAATAAGCCTTAGAGATATAATGGACAGTACAAACAATAAATTGTATTATAATCAAACTTGCTAAAAGACCAGACCTTAATTCCAACTACTGAAATAATTATAATTATGTAATATGTAATGTGATAGAGGTGCTAATTATTGCTACAGGGACAAAATCATATTACAACATATACATTGTATACCTTAAATTTAGGTTATTTGTTAAATATATTTTAAAAAGACACCCCATTAGACGGATGGTGCTTTAGCATACTTAGCACCCAGCATGGCACCTCCTGAAGTGCCTTGACTTTCAAATATACAGGTGCCTTCGTGACTCAGTTGAATATGCATCCAACTCTTGATTTTGGCTCATGTTATCATTTCATGTTTCCTAAGTTCCGGCCCTGTGTTGGGCTCTGCACTGACAGTACAGAGCCTGCTTGGGATTCTGTCTCTAGCCTTCTCTCTGCCCCTCCTCCACTTGTGCATACGCATGCACGTACTCTCTCTCTCTAAATGTTAAAAAAAAAAAAAAAAAAAAAAGTGGTAATCCATATAACTGAATATTAGCCATAAAAAAAAGGAAATCTTGACATTTGCAATGACATCAATTACCTGATACTCTGATATTCTAGTATTTTGAAACAGATGTTAGGTTATTAGGCTAAATGAAATAAGGTGGCAACAGAAAGACAAATATTGCATCACTTGCATGAAGAATCTAAAATAGTCAAACTCGGGTAGTTCGGTTGATTATACATCTGACTCTTGATTTCAGCTCAGATCACGATCTCGCAGTTCATGAGATCACGCCCCAAGTTGGGCTGTGTTGACAGTGCAGAGGCTGCTTGGGATTCTCTTTCCCTCTCTCTCTGTCCCTACCTCACTTGTGTGATTTCTCAAAATAAATCTTTCTTAAGTCTAAAAATAAATGTCCTCTTGTAATTTGATGGGACATCTTCCCTAACTTTTCACAAATGAGAACCTATCTAGTTTGACATAATTCAAAGAATGAATTCATTTGCCTAACACACAAATAATCTTAATGCATTGCTTTTCACTCCATTACAGTGATGTGTTTTGTACATAGCCTTTCAATCATATCTACATCTAAGTATACAGATATGCAGAAAATTGTCCCAGAGCCCAGATGACAGTAAGGCCAAGTTTACTTACATGCACAACTTTACAAGACAAATTCATTGCCATGATCCTATTACTTTCATTCAGTCCTGCAGACTCCATCTCTAATTCTTGTTAATTACCCATCAGCCCTTTAGAGGTCCTTCTCAAATAAGTCAATGGCTCCATTGATTACTGTGAAAACTGAAAGCACATGATCTTTTTGATATTTTGGTCATTTGATATTAAGTAAGAAAAGACTAATAAATGGTGTTCTAGTTTTAGGTTTTGCATGGTAACTTGGGTGTGTCTTCAGTGTCTTGGTTCAAGTGTTTAAGGACTTAGGAGTCAAAGTCCCTAATTTTAAAATCTAATTTCACCATTTGCTACTTATGTGACTAAAGTATGCAGCTTTCCTTTGCCTCTACTTTATCAGTAAAATAGGGATAACAGTATATATGTTTTTATGAAGGTGTTCTAAAATTAAGTGAGAAGCTATTAAAAAGCACTCAACAAAGTGCTTGGCACACTGGCTGCCAAGCTACTGAACAAAAACTTAGCTACTGTTAAGTCTACCAGCTAAATTCCTAAGCCTCAATCAGAAAATTTGTGATGTCTTACAACCTAACCAATTGAATGATAACGTCGTTATTAGACACTTACTTTTCCTGATGGCTTTAAATTATCTGCCTGAAAAATTGATCTTAGAATACACCTGAGTACCTTCTAATGCTAACTCTCATTATCCTGATACTGGCTTCCTGCTCCCTTAAATTTTTTCTCCCATGTCCAATCCAGGCTTTTCCTGCTGATAATTTAAGGAGTTTTATGGGGTGTGTGTGTGTATACTGGAAGAATCCCCAAGACATCAAAACCAGTCCATGCTGGCCTCTAATATGAAGTCTACATTCTGGGATCAGTCTGTTTCTAGAATCCAACTTTCATTAGTAATTGTAAGAAACTCATTAACTCGGGGCGCCTGGGTGGCTTAGTCGGTTAAGCGTCCGACTTTCGCTTAGGTCATGATCTCGCGGTTCGTGGGTTCGAGCCCCGCATCGGGCTCTGTGCTGACTGCCAGCTCAGAGCCTGGAGCCTGTTTCAGTCTGTGACTCCCTCTCTCTCTGACCCTCCTCTGCTCACGCGCTCTCTCTCTCTCTCTCTCCTAGAAATAAAAAAAAAAAAAAAAAAAAAACTCATTAACTCTAATAAGCCTAATGCATCAAACACTTAAAACTTGTGGATTTTATTTATTGACGTACATAATTTTCACATTTTCCTCCACCTTAAGAATATATGCCTAACTAAAGAAAACAGTCTGTGGTTAACTTATGTTGTTTCTCTCGACCCAGCCTTCCTTCCCTGTTGTGGCAAAACAACTTTTCTTTCATATAGAAGACTCATCATGGGTGATTTAGGCAGCACATATTGCATGCTCAGGATGTTAAGCCTGAATGATTCTTTACCGGACTTAATTATTTCAGTGCCCGTGCACTCCTACTTCATCATACTCATGGGCAGGGTCTGTCACTGTTTTTTTGGATGAAAAGTAAGGTACCTGCAAAAGTTCGGAACGCTACCAATTTTGCATCCTCAAAGCTAGCCAAATGCAATATTCACTATTACTATTTACTTATGATTTTCAAATCCTAAGAGCCAGACAAGTTCTCACCATCAGCTTCAGAACTTACCAACAGCTTGGACTACTTCACTGGATGTTGTTAACAATCCTTGGACTCAGCAGTCCTCTGTGATAATCACTCCAAAACCTTTTTGTATATTCTCGGTCTTGTGCACAGTTAGGAGTTACACAGAAGTTTCTCTCTCTAGTCCTTAATAAATTTCAGTTCAAGATCTTAAGTCCCTTAACTTGTCCCCTCCTTTCCTGTCGAAGTCCAGCTAAGGCCAGTCCAGGGGTCCCTGAAGGATAGACGGTGTCAGTGAGAGAGGGATGAGAGAGGCATGAGATTCTTTCTGGTCACCAGCCAGACCTCTCCACACGGAGATTCAACTTTATTTTATGCTTCAGTGTTTGGGACAGAAGTGGCATTCCGATGATCAGTTAAAACTTTCCAGAAAATTGATATGCATAGGTGTATGGGGAACAGCCCAGAAGTGGCATTCTGATGACAAATTCTTTGATCAGTAAAAATTCTTCAGAACATTGATGTGCAAAAAAGATATGGGGAACAGCCCAGAAGTGGCATTCTGATATAAACAGAATGCTTTTAGCATAGTAAAGGCAAAAAGTTAGTTCTTTGTGAGAAAGGGTCAATAGCCTGTTTATCATTTAATAGGAGGTTTAAGAAAAACAGGTCTTTCAGGAATGCAGTGTTGCTCCCACAACCACAAAAGAAGTTCCAACAGTAAGTTCCTTCACAAAGTAGAATCAGCGTATCAAGGCCGGGAATACCGATCAACAAGGTGCCTTGGGGGTCTGTGCTCAAGCAGAAACAATTGAGTGGGGGGTGGATATTGGTCACCATCTGACAGGTAAGACTCCCTGCAAACTTACCTTGATCTCACAAGTTTATCTCAACTTAGTGAGTTCAGAAATGGCTCCCAACACTTTCCAACTGCCTTTGTTGCATATTTCATGCCTTTATCCTATATGGTCTTTCCCTTCAACAATTTCCAATTACACCTTCCTATCAAACTGATCTTTCTAAAGTAAAATCCAAGCCTTGTTACAAATACATGGAACAACCTAAGTAAAGGCAAAAGGCGATCAACTAATTCTGAGTCTCTAACAAGTGCAAACCAAAGGAAAAACAGAATAAAACAAACATGAGCACCGTACTCTAGTTGATGACTTTGTTCTCCATGGAAAATTAGGTTAATAGTTCTGATACTGCTATACATGTGTACCTGAATTGAACAATTAAAGTAAATGGACAATAGTTGTCAGAGTAAGTTACAAATAAGCAAAAGGAGGTAGCTAAAATAATGATGTGGTAATGGATTAGTGCTTAAGTTAGTATAGATACAATGGTTACTTGTAGAAATGTAGACGTGTGTATAGACACAGGTTGGCATATACACATACATTTCCTTGCTGTCAGGTCATGGTGTCTAGAAACAGTGTAGTAGCAATGAATGTACACCTAATTCTATTCTTCAATAAACCAGGGATCCTTGGAGAAAAGGCTGATTGGAGCATTTTGAAGTGCCTGAAGGTAAGAAAGTGCAAAACAACACACACACACACACACACACACACACACACACACACACACACACACACAGAGAAAGAAAATCCTACAGTGATAAGACAGTAGTAGGACAAGAAAAACAAAACACACACAAATAAACCAACCCACAAAAGCCAAGTAAAAGGCCATGATAAGCAAAGCTGGAACAATGTGAGAAACAAAACAATGTAACAATACTAGATTAAAACAAAATATGAAACAGTCCATAATGCAATAAATAGAAGATGAAATAAATTAGGAAGAGACAAATTCCTATACATAAAAACTCTATAAATTATTTATGCAGACACTCCACCCTCAAACGGTGGAATATAACCCCCCACTCTTCTTTAAGTGTGGACTGGACATAGTAATTTCCTTCTGAAGGACAGAAAGGAATTAATAATAACTTTAGAGTTAAAAAACTGCACCACCTTAGCCAGATAATCAAAATGTTCAGACATGTTAACAGTATGTATCCTTGAAACCGCTGAGAAATGCTGAGAATGACTCTTTACATCTGTGGTTTTCCTTCTCAGTACACATTCAGTACCCTAAGAAAATCACCAGACAAATCCCAAGTGAGGGCCATTCTACAAAAGACATGACCAGTCAGTTCTCCTCAAAACTGTCAGGGTTTTTAAGGAAGACCGAGAAACTGTCAAAACCAATAAGTGCCCAAGGAGATATGATTACTAAATATAATGCGGTTTCCTACATGGGATCCTGGAACATAAAAAAACACTAGGTAAAGATTAAGGAAATGTGAATAAAGTGTGGACTTTGGTTAATAACATCAATAATTAATCCACTAATTCTAACCAATGTATCATACTAATGTAAGGTGTCAATTATAGGGAAAACTGGGTATGGAATATATGGGAACTCTGTACTATCTTCAAAATTTTCCTCTAAATCCAAAACTGTTCTAAAACAAAAAGTTAATTAAAAAAATTAGTAAGAGGGGAAAAAAGGCAAGCCTGATCACACTTCCATGCTACTAGTACAAACTTCACTGTCTGTCAAAATGAAAATTTTCTGCATATTTTTGAGCCCCATCCCCAGAGTTTGATTTAGTAGGTCTGAGGGGGAGGACCAAGAATTTGCATTTCTAACAGATTCTGAGATATATTGATCCTGTGGGTCTAGAAATGGTACTTTGATAGCCAATGACCTAGCCTAGAAGATGGAAGTCAAAAATTCAAATGATCCCTTGTTATCTGTCCTATCTTTACAATCTTATCTGTCTTTCCTATGCAAGTATCTTTCTTATGTTGCAGACATTTTCAATTATAGAATTGCTTTAAGGTATCATACTAATGGGGAAACGATACAAGATACGTATCGTTATCAATGACATATATGATATCCGTAATGATGGAAGCTTGTTTTTCAAACTGAGGATTCTGAAAATTCTTTGCAGGCTGCTGAGAGAAACTAGAGACTTAACAGTTGTCCAATCATAAATGCGTAGTTTTCAATCCAGCTATTATAACTAAAACCACCATACATAAGGACTACATGTTTTATTTCATAAACTTATCTTCTAACACACATATGTAACTAAACATTTATTTCTGGTGACCAGACACAGTGTTACCAATTTTCCATGCTTTGTGCCAATTCATGGAAACTATTAATTCAACTGACAGACATAAACCACACAGAATAGTTAAAAGAAAAGCACAGAACACAAAGCCAGGCTGCTTGAGCTTGAACTCTCTCCATAACTCACTAGTTTTGACTTAAGGAAACTTAACTCTGCAAATAAATCACTTTCCTCATCTGCAGTATAACAGAACCTACCTCACAGGTTTATCATTAGGATTAAGTGACTGGCCCATAACAAGAGCTGCACTGCTTCTTGATATTTACAAAAGCCAATCAATATGCCAAGCACTGTACTAGAAAACGGAATGGCAATATAATGGTTGGTCAAAACATAGTCAAGGTTATATTCAGTCTACAAGAGAATACAGATATTAACAAATCAATCACGCAAAGAAGATATGAATAAATATGGAATTGCAAACTGAAGTAAAGGATCAGTGTTTTAAAACATTAATACTACTGCACTCATCTAGTTTCATTTTTTGAGGATGACAGGAAAGTACTACAAGTTCAGGTATGTTCCCCTCTTCCAGGCTTCATAGAAGAAATCTTACTATAATTAGGAAAGTCTTAAAGACAACTTAAAAATTTTGGTGGCAGTACACCTACTTTGTCAAAAAGAAATGGAAATCAAATTATTTTGACACAATTTTTAAGTAACAAAAATGTTTAAGGCTGGAAGTTTTATTTCACTTCAAAGGACATTAAACGTGGTCTAAATTGAAAAACTAAAAAAGTCATTAATTAGCATTTAATTAAAATATGCTCTTTAGAGAAACTGTTCTTGAAAGCATTCTTCACCATATAAAAACTTAAAAACCAAACAATAACAAGGCACCTGCATAGCTCAGTTGGTTAAGCGTCTGACTTTGGCTCAGGTCATGATCTCAGGGTTTGTAAGTTAGACCCTTGCGTCAGGCTCTGCACTGATAGCTCGGAGCCTGGAGACTGCTTGAATTCTATGTCTCCCTCTCTCTCTCTCAAAACCAAAAATAAACATTAAAAGAAATTTAAAAAAATCACTAACTGTGCAGAAGAAAAACACAGCAAGCTCAGTACTTCAGAGGTAATACCACCTATATGTAGCCCTAGGCATCTACACCTACATAAAAGAGGCAGGTCATACAATTCCGTAAGTTGTACAATACTTAAGCAGTTAGGACACAGGTAAAAAATCAACTTCCTATCTACCCAACAATGAAAATAAATGAAGGGAAACACCTATTAAAAACAGGCTAGACTTAGCTTGCCATTTCAGAACGGACACTACAGAATTAAGATAAAGGCAAAGAATAAAAATAATACCAAATACAAAGCCAGATCAAAATAATTTGCCATGAAATGAACCAAACTCTGTTTATGTTGACAACATAAAAATACGTGGTTGTTAAAAAGTTAAGAGTACATACCTAAATGCCCTAAACAAATACTGGCACTCCTAAATGAGCTTCTAAAAATTTACTGTGGATGTATGCATGACATACACTTTCAGGCTGGGAAATGGCTGCCTTTTTTTTAAAAGCAAGAGGTGAGAGTAATAACCCAAAGTCATCTTAAAATATTTGCAAGAACTCTTTAAGATTCTCTTCACCCTTAGATAGTTAAAGTCTAATAAAACCCAAACAAGTTATATAAGAATTAAAATCTCTAAGATTAAAAAAATCTCTAGGATAAAATAATAATAAAACAGATCATCAGTCCTTTGCCAGTATATGGGTACAACAAGAAATTACATAGCTGACCTTACCTTCTCTATGGTAAGATGCTTTTGACTTATATTTACAATGGTTCATAAATTACTGGCTGAAATGATCACAAAAAAAAAACTAGGACAGGTTTCAAGAACTACCCTTCAAGTGTTCAACTAAAAAAAAGATGGTCAAAATAAAAATTCTACTTTAATAGCATTGTACTACGGCTAACGCTTTGTTATGTACAAGTTCCATGGTCATGTAAAATTTCAACACAAGCAGAAGCTTAATACAGGATATAAAGACTTATAGAAGTACTTTTTGGGTAACTCTTCTATAAATCTAAAATTATTTTCAAGAGGTTAAAAAACTAAAAGCTCAACTAGTAGGAACTTACCATCTTTATACTAGCAACTGTGCTAAGTAAGAAAAATACTATTTTCTATCTCCCATGCTGAGTTTAACTGTTAGTTACCAAATGTATAATGAAGTTAGCTTTGACTGCTTTCCTATATAAGTAATTTTTTGAACGCTGATGAAGACAAAGCATATTTCCACAGAAACAAACTCAATAAAATGTTTTGACAGATAAAGTAAAACATATTCTACTTAATTGTAACTATGTCTCCTTATACATGAGTCTAAGATAAAAATATCATTTAGATTTTTATTTAGGAAACAAATCAGAGGTTCACAGAAATAAGAAAGGAAACAGAATGGTCACTAATGTAACCAGACTATATAAAGCTACATCTCTCTCACTCACATACTCTCTCTCACATACACACACACTACACACAGTGTCAGTACTCCATCGTAACTAACTCTTAGGTGACTAATCCACTTGCTTTGAATAATAGTTCAATTTCATGTAACATGTTAAGATCTCATTTAGAGGAAAAAAGCCTCAAGAAGAAAACACTAAAAATGATGTATTAATCATTATCTCAAATCAAGTATCAACCTCTCCCCTTAAACAATAAACACGATTTCATGTCTCCAAATGAACCCCAGTTCCTAAATTATGAATGATAATTTAAAGAAATTTAAATACAATCCCAAGTTGTATATGCTCTATTTTGGTCCAACTGTACTGCCAAATATTTCTTACCATGGTATTTCATTAAAATACCATGTGTCACAAAAGCCTGGTTGCCAGACTGTCTTTATTTGTAACAGAGCTAAATCACTGAAAAATTACGTAACCACCTTTAGTAGTTATTTGCTGAGGGTAGTGGTATGATACTAAGCCTCTTAACCTGTACTTCAAAAACTGTTCTTTTGCAAATTTTTATTTTTAAGAACAAAAGAAAAACACTCAAGGGGATTGGGAAATAATCATTTTAATCTACATAAGCATAATTCACACCCAAAATGCTTAAACTGTGCCAAATTTCTGGCCTTCATAACATTTCTTAATTTTAGTTTTCTTGGTGAGCTCTGCACTGCCTCAAAAAGTATCCTTTAATGGGTTCAGTTAGCATAAACAATTTAGGTCTGTGATACCTGTATCTAATGAAGTATAATATATAATCAACACTGTATCACCTAGAATTGTCAAGCTGTTTATGAAAGCCTAAAACAAAATCCCAAAAGAATGAGCTACTTTACTTAACATATAATAGATATTTCTCATAAAGCAAAGCTTAAATATTTAGTTTTTGATACTCTAATGTATTTCCATAAGCCTTTAAGTCTACAGTTTTATAGATACAGTTTTCCATCAGGGATGGAAAATTATAGATATATAATTTATCTTTACATGTAACTAACTAAAGACTTTAAGAGGGTGTAGGCTACAAATCAGGTACAATTTAGTCATACCACCATACAAAGACCTTATAAAATGATCAGGAAAGAGATGTTTAACATTATTGCTTAGTCTTAATAAAACAGCAAAGTTTAACCAAATTGATGCCTCTCTACGCTTATTTATAATGTTTCTGATACATTTAAATCATAGTGCTTGGCAAGTAAATAGGTACTGATACAATGTTTTAATTTAATTAGTTGCAAACAAATTCCAATTTGTTAATCAATGCATACATTCGTTTACTAGTGATACTACACTACCTCAGAATTAATCCTCCTAGAGAAAGTAACCTTCCCAAGTGAGAAAGCAATGCAGAGCTTCATGTCTTGAAGATTTTCAAGTATTATAGGAACACAAACTCATGGAAAAAACTAATTAGAAATCTGATATTCCATCTTGGCTTTACTAATTATGGGATAGTAGGAACAGATGTGAACCAAACAAATGTTCCTTTATACCTGTCTGCTAAACATATTATCATACCAAGAAATACTGTAACTGTTTTCTAGCTTTTCAAGTATAGGACACAACTACAGTTCTAACAAGTAAGAAGAAATGGATAATCAACCGTAGGTAACTCAAAAAGAAGATGGGAGGCACAAAAAGATAATCTGACTTTGGCTTATAAGAACCTACTGTTGACCCTGAAATGCCAGACTCAACAATAACGACGACGATGACAACAGCAACAACAAAAGATTACAGCAGCAAGCCAACATTTTACCACATACTAAGAATTCTGAAATAGGCAAGAACTTTTTCCCCCTGTCAACTCATTCTGTTGTATCTTCTTTTTGTTCTTCCCGCTTTTTGGTTGCAGGGAGTTCAAGGCTTGCCCACTGCATAGGCTCAGCTTTTCTCATGGTGATCTCGATCTTTGTTGCAGTCATAGTTACGTAACTTCGTGTGACATCAATCACCTGCAATAGAGCAGAGACAGCTACGGTGAGCCTGGCCATGGTATTTTTTAAGCCTCAGAGGAAAGCACTGGTCCTGTCTATGCTAATAATCAAAGTTCCAAGCTTCTAAGGGCATTTTTTTACTTAGATTTAAACTTTTAGTATCAATTAATGATAAGTTATATACCTACTTTGCATCAATGATTTCCAAAGTACTGCCTTTTTACTGCACAAATGGGTATTTCAAAGTATATATTAAAAAAATCTGGATCCATTAATACTTACACCCCATAATTTCACATTTTGATGAAATTCCTTCTCTCCTTCAAATACAATATGCACATTTAACTGAAAAATAATACAGAAAGTTGAGTAACTGATGAAATCCAAGTTGAAGAAATAGGATTTAAAACAATGATTATAAAGATAACATACGGATATAAATCATTTAAGGTTTAAGACACTGCCAATTTTTTTTTATAATTTGAGGAAACCATTTACAGAAAAGAAAAATTAACTTGAAACTTCATATTGAGAACTAGGTACTATATTATTGGAAAAATCTTTACTACTATAATACTCCAGAATGCTTCAGAAATAATTTTATTACACAGAAATTTTCATTTAAACAGTTTCTGACAGTAATTTCAAACTATTTTTTCAAATGGAAAAGATTAAAAAAATCTTAAAATTGGCCACATATAATGGATTTATAATACATTAACATAAAGAGTAATATATGAGACAATTTTTACTCAAAATTATTTAGTATACTTACCAATGTACTATTTGCTACTACTTGGCTAAGTTCTGGAAGTGAATTTTTAGCATATACTGAAATGGTGACTTCACCCCCAGTCTGATGCCAGTCATGTCTACATGGAACAACTTTTTTCCCCTGTAATAGAAGAAAAACCTTATGAATTTATAAAGTGCCTTATGACCTCTAAAAAAGAGGAATATGACCCAAATAACTGAGGAAAAAAAATAACCATGTGCAACTGAGCCCTTAGTGTTTTTAGGGCAAGCAACTTCTAAAGTTCTCACCCAAAAGTTTAAACAATAAAACATATCACAATACAAAGAATCTTTATAGTTTTATGGTTGGAGAACATGCTTAGTCTTCGTTTTTGTTTTTTTTCCTTTTGGAGCCATTGCATTAAAATATATTGAAAAAGACAACTTAAGAACTCCTACTAAACTTTATCCAAGTTTAACATTTCTGAAATCCACTAAGCAGATTCATAAAAACATTCTCTGAAGACTAAAATAAGACATTTGCTTAATGAAATAATCCAGACATCTTGACCTCATGCATAAAAGCCTCCCATTTATTTTCTATAGATTGGAATTTGACTACAAATTGTCATTTCCAATTTCACAAAGTGGAACTAATGACTATTTATAACTATCCGCTACTTGTTTCGAATAATTATTTTCCTCCCATAATAACATGCAGAAAAAAGTGGGGATCTGTGGAAGTAATGTTTTGGTTATTATTAAGGAAATAACTATTACCTACCAGTAGAAATAACTGTGCTTTATCAATGACTATTTTAAAAAGAGACAAATTGTGATTTGTTTTATAAATGAGAGCAACTTAGTCACAGAATGCAGGAATCTATGAAACACTATTGTTGAAAAAGTAGTATTTACATTTTGGTACAATTTTGCTAACTGATATGAAGTACTTACAACAATTATATTTTGTGTCCTAAGCTATAGCTTAGACACTTAATACTTGATAACTATGTATGCATTAAAAAATAAAAACATCATTTCTTCAAGGGTTATATTATAATAGGAAACATTTTATTTTTTCAAGCTAAACCTTTTAAAATTTAAGTCCTTAGGGAAAATATAGGGAAACTTTACTAAGTCCTTTTGCTAATAAAATATTCCTAGAAGATCTGTGGCAGACGAATCATTATAACCTGAAGGATATATTTATACTTCCAAAGCATGTTATTAAAAATGACAAACTACAGAATATTCAAATGGAGAATGAATGAATCCCTCAAACAATCTGAAAATTTACAATTATTCTGTAAGTTAAAAGACACATACAATGAAAAGGCTGACTGTGTTAGTCGGGTTGTTAGTGCCAGTACAGCACATAAAACTAATTTAATAATTATAAAATACATTACAGTAGCTAACACATACTTACTAAGCAATAAATTGCTTGGTTATAAGTTAATGGGCTTTTGGATCCTTAATTTGCACAGCTTACCTCTTTTTTAAAAAAACTAGTGAAGTAGGACTAATGCTTTTTTGTTGTTTTGATAAATTACCATGTAGCTCTTAAGCAGAGGCATTCAAGACAATTCCAACAAGTTTGCCTTCCTCCTCTTTGGCCACTAGATGGAGTGTTTCTTGCATCATAAATGGCTGAATGAAGTTTCAAGTGGCCAAAGGGGAATCAGAGGTCTAAGTGATCAATAACATCAAATGAATTCAACAATGATTTTTGAAAAGCAAAAAGTGGGAGCAGGCTATGGAAATACAGAAACATGTTCTTCAATTCTGGCAGGCTTTAGTATTTCACAAAAACCTGTACACTTGTGTCATCATACACAATGTCTACTTTGATCAAAGGGCGGTGCTTTGGAAGCTTGACTCAGATTAGTATTTTTAGGCACGTGAAATCTTTAATGTATGAGACAGAAAAACTTTTTAAAAATCTGAAGACAGAATGATTTTTAATCTTTTACAAATGACTCAGATGAATACATCCCAACATGTTATTCTGAAAAGGCTACTTACAGCGTCATTCTTAGTCCACATGTGTTTTCCTGTTGTACAGCCCTCTTGGGCTAAGAATGTATTGAAATCTGAAGTTTTTCTTCTACAACAGCTCCAGTATTTCATCCTTTAAATTATCAGAGAAAAACTTGTAAGTGTGCAAAGTTAGTATTCTACAAGGTGTCTAATGTACTAAACAGTTAAAACTATCAGGAGACTAATCATTTAAAAACCAGAATGCCATCTACTGTAGCAATTTTGGAGCTCCTGAGTAAAGACGCTTAAAACCATCAGAAAATCCCAAACCTGCTTTTCACTAATTGTTCACATTCCAGTTTCCTCATAGAGCTACCAAAAAGTGGTATAAACAAAGATTTCAAATCCCCAAATTTTAATAAGCCAGGAAAGTGAAAATATGCAAACTAAAAACTAACATTTACACAACTGTGATAGTCCTAAAGTAGGTGATACCCATTATTATTTATATGAGACTAAAAAGACAAAAATTACTGTAAAGCTTTGGGTTTGAGCCCTACAGAATATGGAAAGAGTGGAAGACTTTAACACAGTACTGCATTTCTATCAACTACAGTATAATACAGAAGGGGAGCAAGATCTCAGTTGAGGGCTGTGGAAAGTGTAGGTTTTCTTGGATGCCAGAATGTTGGTGTGTTAGTGCCCCAGGGCCAAAATGCTCCAAGTCCTGTAATGTACAGAACAGTTCTTCACACTAAAAACTACTCGGCACGAATGGAGTATCCCATTGAGAATTAAGGAAATAAGGAAAAACATGAGGTTCGAATCACAATGACCACTTAACCGTAATGTTGTTGTTTTCTCATGTGTAAAAAGACAAAACTCACGTTCTAGGGGACTCTAAAGATGTTGACAATGCAAGTAAAAGACCTGATAATGCTGCATGGCAAACAATGTTTACAGGCATATTAACTTTTCTAACCTCTACCGTAAAGTTTTAATTAATCATGTAGTAAAAGTTACCCTTCATGAAAAATAGGTACTCCAGAATGATACACACAGACTTCGTCTAGACTCTGTGGACCCTGATATGTCTAAAATAGAAAAAAGAGGAAAAAATTACCTTCGTATCTCAACATTATATATCATAAACATCTGTAGTACTGGTGACCTCTAAGAACTATGAAAATGCTTAATAACAATTACCTAGAACATTCATAAATTCACTCCAGGCCATTCCAGTAAGGAATGGAAAATAATTCCTTTTTGGCTACGCTTAAATTTTAGATCCCTGTGAAAAAGGCAAATAGAAAAAGTAGGCAATGGGATACATTAAGATGCTCTCAGACTTTCAGGTATGAGGTCACATTCCAGCATATTCAGGTATTTAAGTTTATAGAACAATACTGAAACCAAGGAATTAGTACTCCCAACAGAAATATAGTTAAGGCATGATTTATGTGTATCGGAAACTCTGTGTGGGCATTACGAATTAAGAAGCAATTCTGGAAGTTCTACAAGTGTTGCTGAATTCTTATCCCTAGGAAGGGTAAAATGAGCTGCAGACCTATAAATATATCCAGGGTTTGTCTGGAAGATCCGGGCCCCACTGCTGCTGTAGGTGAAGGCCCTACAGATGAATTCACAAAAAGTTATGTTAATAAAACACAGATGCAGCCAGTAGTATATTTCTACGTTGGTATTTATAGCAACCACCTACAAGTAGAGAAAATAAAATTCTGTATATTTACTTTTTGTAAATCCAAAGTACTGGGTTGACAAAATGCACATCTCCTAAAGATATTCCATAAGCACATAAAACAGTAGGTTAGATTCTGAACTTACCACTATTTCCCCTTCTCTTCTTCCCACCTACTCCCAACTCCCGCTCTCTTCCCACCTTATTTCATGGCACCATATCCATTGTTTCCCAAATCAAAAAAAAAAAAAAAAAAAGAAAAAAAGTCCCCTCCCTTCATCCATGGTTTCTATCACAAAATCCTATCAATTTAGTTTGAAAATACCTATCAGTTTAATTTGCTAACACGTTCCACGGGCAGACTTTAGACAATGAGACTAAACTACCAGGTTCCAGTTCATTTACTATCTAATTAAAACATGTATTAGTCTCTTATCTATAGTCTTTTAATTACATCCACCTCATACCTTGCAGAGTGATCAGTTCCAGGTGGTTTGTACATATAAATGTGCCTCTACATATGAGGAAATATTCATGGCCTTAAAGCAAGCAGATTTTTAAAAACTACACAAAGGGTGCTAGTCAAAAATAATGGACAAATTGGATTTCATTAAAATTAAAGAGATTCTTTATCAAAACCCATTAACACCAGGAAAATGTACAGTATCTTTCTCTGACAAAGGAGTCTGGCTGAAAAATAAAAAGAATGGCTAAAATACAAAAGACTGATATTACAAAGCATTCCCAAGGTGTAGAACAAATGAAATCAGCCACATACACTGCTGGCAGGTGTGGAAATACAACTATCTTGGAAAACTATGAGGAAATACCTGTTAAAGCTGAACATATACATACTCTATGATCTGGAATTCCTTTTATAGTCCTATGCCTAATAGAAATGTACAAATATGTCCCAAAGTCAGGCACAAAAATGTTCACCATAGCATTCATCAAAAAAAATGTAAAGGACAAAAGGATAAAAGTTGACTGGCACATTCACACCATGGCATATTTTAAAACAATGAAAATGAACAAACTACACCTAAATGCCAGAGATAACTCTAACATACATTTCACGAAGCAAAGGAAGACAGGCACAAGAGCACCTGGTCTGCAATTCTATTCACATTAGGCTCAAAAACAGGAAAAATTATACTGATAGAGAAATGTTGTTGCTTTTGGGAGAAAATAATAGTTGGGAAAGGTATATGGAGGGGCTCTGTGCTATGAAAATTCCTTGAGCTATAATTTACTTTTTAATGTTATTTTTCAATGAAAAAGATCAAGTTTCTTTAATGGCCTCCATTACCTACAGTAAGACCTAGCTTTGGGGCACTGTAAAAGCCCTTCAAGACCCCCTCCTTGTCTCTTTAAGCTTCAACTCCACACCACCAAATTTTGTACCATGATTATTAACGATTTATTGTTCCTAAAACTGCTATCACCTCTGCTTGAGACACACTTTCCCTTTTGTCCATTTACAGGACTAACACTCATTTTTCAAAATTCATCTGAAATGTCTTTTCTCTGATCTTGCTGCAGTACCCTTCCACTTCCACGGTCTCCCCCACCCCAGTACTCAATCATTCTCATTTACCTACTACTTCTACCTTACATACATGTGACTACATTTCCATTTCCATCCCTAAATAAGCAAGGTGATCTCCAATTAACATGAAGGAAAACTATAAACCTGCTCCCCTAATCCTGTTTTCTCCTTCTTGGTTAATGGTGTCACCAGTCACCTAGCTGCTCGAGCCCCAAGTCCCCTTCAAAGTTCATTAGCAATTCCTACTAATACTACGAAATAGTATTCATTCTGCATGATTTGTCATGAGCCAGGCAGGCACTGTTCTAGGCATTCAAGATACAGCAAAGAACAACAACAAAATCCTTTCCTCGTAAACTTTACAAGAGAGGAGGAAGGGAAGGGAAAGTTAGTTGGGGTAGATCTAAATCAAAATACATAAGCAAAAAAAGTAGTTTATTATAAGGTCATTAGTGCCCTGGGGAAAAAAAAAGGGCAGTGAGAGTGGAGATGTTGGAGGGCACACAATTTTAATTTTACAAGGCGGGGGGAGGGAGGATCCTCACTGTGATGTTTGAGTACATCCCACATTTAACCACTTTTAAAAAATACCCTCCAATCCCACTGCCTGGTCTTCTACAAATGTGTCCTACCTGGTTTTCCTTCCTCCAATCCCCTTATTACTCCATTATATTTGCCATGTATCAGCCAAAGAGGTCTTTTTAAATTCCTCCTTACAACAGACAATGGCTTCCCATTATGCTTAAAAAAAAAAAAAAAAAAAAAGCCCAGACCCATCATTATGCCCTAAAAATCTGCCATAATCTTGCCCACCCCTTACTCTTACCTTTCACACCACTAAGTTCCACTGACCTTTCTCCTAATTCCTTGAATAGCCAAGGTTCAAAAACTCTACATGTACTGCTCCCATATCAATTTCAAGGTTTATATAACTCGCCTGTTACATTATTTAGATTTCTGATTTAGTGTCACTTCCAAAAGGATTTTCCTGATAGCCTTACTTAACAGCTTTACTTGCGTGTCTGCTGTATTTTCTTTATATCTACCTGAACTCATAACTTCATTACGTAAGTGTTATCCTTCTCTATACATTATAGGATAACCTCCACAACAGCAGAAATTTTCCCTTTACCTAATACTGTATTTCTAGCCCCTAAAGCAATGTCTGGCACACATTTACTGCGGTCAGTAAATGCTCACTGAATCAGAATGACTTTTTCCCATTATTCTATTAGACTGTTTGTCAGACAGTCTCTTATCTGTGTTTATAGCCCTAGCCCAAGCACACTGACCAACACATAATAGGCACTCAAAAGTTTGTTGAATTGAATGAGTAAACTGCACTCCCTTCTTTGAAAATTAAAATTTTACTTCCATGACTCAACACAAATTTTACAATATATACCTTTGAACACCCTCCATTTTTACATGAGGTCCCAATCTTAATTTCATCACTGTCCTCTTCTAAAACAAAGAAAAGAAAATCAAATTAGAAACATTAAAATAGATTCTATAGTGTCATTCTTAAGTAACCTCTTTCATAAAAAAAGTATTTGAAGAAATATCTAAATATAAAAAACAGTATTATTTTTAAAACAATTTTAAGTTATTAAGTTTTCTATGTGGCCTTTTAGGTAATATATTTAAAAAGTTAAGATAAAATCAATTATTGTGATTAGGTTTTGCCTGTGTCCCCAAATGATACATGACACACTTTTCTATTCTATAATGCAATACAATATCCAACATCTTAACCCTGTAAAAGGGAAATCATGAAAAAGGTACTATGTTCCTCCATGATATGGAGTGTAGGTTAGAAAAAATTGAATATCTTTTATATCATGCACAATACAACACTTATAAAATAAATTTAACTGTTAAAAAAGTGATGAATCATGGAAGAAAAAAATTTTAATCAAGTTTCTCATCATAATACAGCCATTATGAAATAAACCACTTCATTCTGGTATTACTGGTATTTAGAAAGCAAAATAAATTCTTTACTACAATATACTACCTTTTCTTTATATTCAGTGAACTACACTGTCTCTTTTAGATTGGTTAACTGTAGAGGGAAAAAAATTACAAAATAAAATCTTACCTTTTTTATTTTCTTCATTCCCTGATGACAGTTTAAGTTTGTCAAGTGCTTGTTTTAGGGAGGCAGATATTTTTAATTCCAAGTTTGTCATTGGTTCATCTGGGCTGGAGAATTTTTATACTTTATTACCATTTGTGATATACCAAAACTTTTTTTTTTTACTAAAAATAAATCCATTAAGAGCCCATTTATAAAATGAAGCCAAATGCTCATGAATCAGGGTCCTCACATTAAATAATATTTTACAAATAACTGCCATAATGTATCTACACTTCTAAATTTTAACAGGAAAGTTCTGGTATTAAAATATTAAGTTTCAAATAACCATGCTATTGCCAACACAGTAAAATTATTAATGTATTCATAACAGGAAGAAAATAAAGAGTAGGATTCCAAGTTTGCCAATAAGGGGCCATTAAGAACTTTTACATTCCACACCTAAGCAGAATGCTGGGCATAAAACTAACAGGTAATAAGTATGTACTAAGTAGGTCCATATTCCTACCAGTGGAGATAATTCACTTAGTGTGGACAGTGGTATATACATCTATACACTCATATACAATTCTATCACAAGGCAATTTTAGTAGGATTAAAAACCAATGCAATGACCCCTAACACTTCATACTGGTTAAGTGTTGTATATGCAATTTATTTAAGGCCATTCAATAAGTATTAAGAATATTTACGAAAACAATAAAAATAAAAATGCTAGGTTATTCATTCCACATCCTTAATGAAAACAACTACTATAAGGAAGATGTATAAGTATTAACAAAGTATGTAAAAACCTATATTCTCATAATTTCTAAAATATCAAATGAATTTAGGACAAAATACTTAATTTCTCTCACTTCTTCTTAGCTAAATTGTCAATTATTTAAAGAAAATATTAACTGAAATTGTCAATTACAGTAGATACTACTGTGATACTTAGAGCTATGCCAAAATTGTCTTTTTCTCATAATTTTTTTTAACTGACAAGTCAGGCAGGTATTTGATAAAGTCTCTAAGGATTATGAATAAAGTGAAGATGGAATAAAAATCATTCTACGTAGTTTGGTTAAATAAACAAATGTCACTACGTCTCTCAGTCTTCTTATCTTGGTCCAGTATTATTCAATATGCTATAAATTTCTAAATAAATTTACCTAAATAGAAGATCAGTAAAAAAAAAAAAAAAAAAAAAAAAAGTTATGTAAAACATTAAATCCACAGTGTGAATAAAAATATCAACTAGGGCCATATTTGAGGCCACAAATCATCTGTTTTTTTAAGTCTTATATTTTGGTTGTAAAACAACACTGAAGTGCAACACGAAGGCCTGGTATAACAGCAGTAGACAACATGTATGTGTGAGAGTGTACAACAGAGTTTAGCTGACAAGGTGACTATAAAGAACCCGTGTCATCTACTGCAAAATCAGCAAAAAGCATTTTAAAAGTACTTTAATAGATCTGCTATGTAAAACAAATAAGAAGTTTATAAGTAATTAATATTATCAGTATTCAGGCATCTGAAAGTTGAGAGAGGCGTGACTAGGCTTGTTCTCAGTGACAAAGCATCAACAAATTAGAGAGGCAGGATTTGGCTCAATATAAAGAAAAAATATAAACTGACCCAGTAACAGTAAGAATGGAATGCTTTATAATAATAAAAGTAAATTCTTCACTAGAGTTATTTGAAAGGAAACTACACATCCTTCTGTCAAGAATGTCCTAGAAGATGTTCAAGAAAACAGCACAAGAATGGATAGGAACGTCTCTAAGTTCTTTTTCAACTCAAAGTGATTCCCAGACAACAATTCCTTTATAGAATTTCACCATGCCATAGTGAAAAAAGACATGTCACGTCACAACAAAGATGTGTGGTTCTTCTGCTCTGGACAAAATTATGACGACACAGTGAACACACATGTGAATATGTTTACTGTGTACATGTCCCCGGGATGTAGGGGGATAAAAATGAAAGGTATGGTTAAGGGAAAATCAAACAGATCTACACAAGAGCTATAAACAATTTTATATAAAATTATAAAATACCATGATCAAATGCTATTTTATTTAATTGTGACAAAAATTATAACTGTATGAAGTTTACCTTGGCCTTTTTATTGCTTCTACTGGTTTAGGTGCTTGAATGATGTGCTCCTGAAACTTGGGTTTCAATTCAGAAAGTTCTTTCTTCTCAGTAGTCTTGACTTCAGGTTTGACTGGCTCAGGTGGTTTCTCACTATTATGCCTACCTTTTGTACAGCCCTGTTAGTGACAGATTAAGAGTCAGCCTATCATGGTTTTCACATGCCCTGACAAATTAGGTTTTGATTCTTTATTAATAAATTATCTTGTATGCTTTCTCCACTTTCATCACACTGACATACTTTAAGAAACTAAAAAATTGAACTCCAAATCTGCAATATTTGTAAATGAGTTCTTATATCTGAATGTATTTTAAAAGGAGCCTTTAAATTATGCTTCTTAAATATCAAACTTATACTATATATATAGCATAAGCTTGTTTACAACAAACAGGTTCTGGAGATCTCACATGGAATTCTTCAAACTATTTACATAAAAGGGTCTTGATTTGAGCTCTAGTTTTTCTACTTATTAGCCATATGACCTTGAGCAAGTTAATCTTTTTAAACCTGTTTTCTCACCAGTAAAATGTAAGTTATGGCACTTAATATTTTTTGAGATTAAGTAAAACACTATAGAGTATTTGTCAAATATGGCAGGTGGTAAATGGTCAACCAATGCTAGTGATCTTTTCCACATTCCATGGAGTCATACATGCATTTTAACATCCTTAAAAATCATAACTTCAGTGACATGTCATTTCATGAACAACTTTTGTTTTCTTTCTGAAGGGCATACAAAACAAATGGTACATCTTGGTGCATCTTAGATTTGATGATGATGTATTGTTCCTCACTAAAAATGCCCTAAACTGTTGCCTAGTATTCTTTCTTCATGTACCTTAAAGACTACTAACACCAATACAAACCTAAACGTGGGTAATATGTTGAAACTTTTATTTCTGAAACAGATAAATTCCTTATTTTAAAGGCTATCAAGGGAGATAAGCTCCACTTTAAAAGAAGATTCTATCTGCAAGTTAACAGACTATGTGATAGATGTCCAAAACTCAGATTTCTCAAATCTGACCTTCCTACTATATGAACTTTCTCAGGAGATAGGCTAGGAAAAAAATGAATACTTACTGCAATGCTTAAAAAATCAGAAAAATCAGTTGTTCTTCTCTTACAGCAAGACCAGCCCTATAAAACATGAGGGAAAAAAAAAAAAAACCCGAAAATTGAATTTGCATAGAACCACAGCCTGCTAAAAGGGTCTACTTGCACTTATCTCCTTGAATCTTGCAGTGACTGGCACATAAATAGATTTCACAGTTGTAAAGTGGCATAAATGATTCATCTAATCAAGTGAAGTGATTTTTTTAGTCTTTGATTTAAAAAAAAAAACCTAATTAACCAACGTTAGAAGTGATTTGTGTTTTGACTAATCACAAAAGGAAGCACCTTAAGATAGGGAAACAAAAACTGCTTCTGTTTTCAAGACTAGTAATTGATTTTTTTGAATAGAAACACTGTAATTTCTAAAAACATCAGACATTTTAAAGAATGTGGGGAGTAAGTGAAGTGCTTTACTTTAAAAATCTGATTAAGTTAGAGATGATTATAACAATTCAGCTTCTAAAGAACTCACTAGCTGCTCCCCAACAATAAGCATTCTACCTATTTTCAGAACAACATAGATTTATTAGCACAGCAGCCTAAAAATTGTTAGGTCTTTGAAGGTTAAAGGATCTTTTCAGTGACAAGCATAAAAACATGGAAATTCTAATGCCGTGTGTGATTTCTAAACAAAATACCAAGTGGCTTACCAAGAAATGACTTTAAGTTGTCATCTGGAATTCCAACATAGTACAGAGAATAAGAAAATAAAAATGCAGCACTTTTAAAACATGGGATGTTTCAAATTACACTAAGGGCTAGGATTTGCACATGTCCAAATATTTGGGCCTCACTGCTTTTCTCAAGATAATGTATGAAGAATTTGGTAGTGATTTTTTTCCCCCACTCTACGCACTTATAAAATTATTTTTTTTTAAGTTTATTTGAGAGGAAGAGAGTGAGCACATATGTGCGAGCAGAGGAAGGGCAGAGGGGGAGAGACAGAGACAGAATATCCCAAGCAGCTTCTGTGCTGTAGGGTCTACAAGCATGGGCCTCAATCCTACAAACTGTGACATCTTGACCTGAGCCAAAAATCAAGGGATGGATGCTTACCCTACTGAGTCATCCAGGCACCCCCAAAATTATTTTAAAGAAAATGTTAAATACGCTATAATTCAAATTTTCCTTTATTTTGAAATTAAATTCTCTTTTACTCTGAATTGAAATATAGATGAAAACCTACTATAACGCTGAAATATAGAATTTAGTATTGATAATACAGTCATCATTTAAGTCATTCTAGATGAGAAAAAGCTTTATTGCCTTACACATAAAGAAAGAATGACAGCAGATATTCTGGGGGTACCAGGAAACATACAGGATATAGACTAGCTGTTCCCAAATATCAATCTGGTCTATGTCCCCAGTAAAATAAAAAATAAAGGATAAACTTAAATATGTAAGAATAAGGTTGTTTCTTAAGAGGGACTGTCTCCTTTCTTTGTCTATGCCACTTCTAATTTAATTACAACGTTCTAACTTCTCATTTGCCAGTAAACCAGCAACAGGAGACATTACACTGATTTATGTATTTGTGCTTTGAAATCCAATGGTCCTACAAAGTATAGGTCTTCAAGAAATGTTTATAAGACTCTAACGAACAGTAGGATTGAAAAGTAGAAAAACAAAATTACTTCAAAGTGAGATCATTAAGATTAATTCAACAGGGCGATTAACAGCTGGGCAGAAAAAAAAAAGCAGCAAAGTTGAGAGGCTATTTCTGGAATAAGAGTTCACTTTAAAAACTGGTTTGCAGTAGCAAATGATCCACATAAATGGAAATATTTTGTAGAGCCATTGGCACAGAGATGACATTTAAGGGCAGAAATGAATGAACTAAATGAGAGAACTGGAAACCAAAAACAGAAGTGAAGGAGGTTAGGAGACAGAAACATATCATAGGGGAAGAAAAAGAAAACATACAGTAAGACAAATAAACACAGAATAAATGGCAATCCAGGAAAGATAAAAAACATCCCCACTCCTCTGCAAAAGTAAATATTCCCAAAGAAGCAGTTTCCATCGCCAAAAGAGTTTGCAAAGAAGCTAGAAAGATGTAAGGAAGAGTCAGGTCTCAACTTGCCCTATTCTGTTTTCCTCACTTAGAACTAACCGGACTCACATAAACTTTTTATGTGTTTATACATCTTTATTTACACTTGGCTATCTAACAGTTAAATCCCAAAAGGGTCCACCTACTCCCGGGAAGGTGTAATTAGAAATTTGGGTGTGTGGGTGGCTCAGTCAGTCAAGCGTCTGACTCCTGACATCAGCTCAGGTCATGATCTCACAGCTCCTGGGTTGGAGCCACGTCAAGCTCTGCACTAAAAGTACAGAGCCTGCTTGGGAGTCACTGCCTGACCCTCCCTAATTCGTGCTCTCACTCTGCTCCCTCTCTCTACTCTCAAAATAAGTAAATAAACTTAAAAAAATTCAAAAGGCATCAACAGTATTTAAAAATATAAGACTATTTATGTTTCTAAAAACGAAAGTACACCAAGACCTAAAACCACGGCAGCCACACCGCAACATTTTCACGTTATCTACTGAGATAAATGTACCACGTTAACATAAATTTTAAAAGATCAGGGGCGCCTGGGTGGCTTAGTCGGTTAAGCATCCGACTTTCGCTTAGGTCATGATCTCGCGGTTCGTGGGTTCGAGCCCCGCATCGGGCTCTGTGCTGACTGCCAGCTCAGAGCCTGGAGCCTGTTTCAGAGTCTGTATCTCCCTCTCTCTCTGACCCTCCCCTGCTCACGCTGTCTCTCTCTCTCCTAGAAATAAATAAAAAAAAAAAACATTAAAAGATCAATAAACCTACCAAGAAAAACCTGATCAAACAACATTCTATTTTTTCTCCAATTCTCCAGAACATCAATAAAGTACAGGTGGAAAACAGGTGGGATCTGTCCGTCCTGCAACTAGCACCCTTTACTGCTGATAACAATCTCCCTCAAATTCACAGCTGCTCTTATTAGACAGCAGCTGCCCAAGAGACTGGGAAACCAAGATTCAATGCAAATACTTTCACTTCCCCTCAAAATTGAAAAGTGAAGAAATGTAGAGTAGAGAAAATGAGAGCTGGGATGGAAATAACCTAATTTTATACTTGGGAAAACCTTAAGATCACCACCTACTGTCTCTGCCTTTAGTGGAGTACTTTACTTGCTAACAGGCCTCAAAATGGTTATTAAGAAAACACAAAGTCACAAGCTGAGGAAACATGATGAGAAAATATTTAGTATTACACCTTTAAATTTAATCTACAAATACGAAGAGACTGAAATATACCAAGTTCTTACCTTTAAGGCATCATGGAAGACTGGAACACCTGGGTGGTATGTACAAGCATCTGGACAAAAACAAAGAAAAGGAAAACAATTAACTTTATAATGAAGAAAAACCATTATTTTCTTCAGATGTTAACATTTAATCCTTTTTCCAAATGCAGGTAGTGCTTTGCTCTTCCTTAAAAATTCACAAATGCTCCAGTTAGACTCATGGCACAGTGCTTAATATAATATTATATTAAAATGGTAATAGTTAAGGGGTGCCTGGGTGGCTCAGTTTAAGCATCAGACTTCGGCTCAGGTCCATGATCTCACAGTTCGTGGGTTCCTGCACTGGGCTCTGTGCGGAAAGCCAGGAGCCCAGAGCCTGTTTCAGATTCGGTGTCTACCTCTCTCTCTGCCCGCCCCCCCCCCATGCTCAGTCTCCCTAAAATAAATAAATGTTAGAGAGCAGTTGCGTTTGAATGGCTCAGAGTGGGGCTTGGCCCGGGAGGGAGGGAGCCGAGGGACTTTCTAGGCTGCCGGGTGCAGCTCATCAACACCAGGGCAGGGCTGAGGTGCCGCAGTACCATGAGGCTCCTGTATTTAAAAGATTATGGCATCTAAAGCCCAAAATGTTAAAAAAACGAACATTTTGTAATAATACTAACAATCATTCCACTGATCTTCCTAGAAAAAGGATCTCTAATTTTACTAATAAGAACATGAAGGAGGTTAAGAAATCTTCAAAACAGCTGGCTGCTTACATAAATAGAAAAGTTGAACAAGCTGTGAAAAGCCCAGATAAACTACGTAAGGTGATTTATCGCAGAAAGTGCATCATCCTTTTCCAAATCCTTGTTACAGAAAAAAAACAGTCCCCTAGGAGTGGGGGCTGTGACATGGCAAATAAAGAAAATGAACTGGCTTGTGCAGGCCACCTGTCTGAAAAATTACGCCATGACAGTCGAACATATTTGCTTAACTCCAGTGATTCTGGTTCTTCACAGACAGAAAGCCCACCCTCAAAATAGTGGTTTTTTTCCTGAGGTTTCTCAGGACCATGAAACAATGACCCAGGTTTTGTTCAGCAGGAATTTGAGATTGAATGTAGCTTTAACATTCTGGAGAAAGAGAAGTATAAGTGAACTTGTAGCTTATTTGGTGAGGACAGAAGACCTTGGAGTTGTCGTGGATTGTCTTCCTGTGCTCCCCAATAGTTTATAGGAGAAAAAACAATACATCTCACTGGCTGCTGTGTAGATTTGTTGCCTCTAGTCAAGTTCCTACTTAAAAGCAAATTTGATGAATACATAATAGTTGGTTTAAACTGGCTCCAAGGAGTCATTAAAAGGTGGTGGTCAGAACTATCATCCAAAACAGAAATTATAAATGATGGAAATATTCAGATTTTAAGGCAACAATTAAGTGGATTATGGGAACAGGAAAATCCTCTTACTGGTAACATAGCCAAGGATGTAGATGCTTATTTATTACAGTTGCACTGAGACACTGTCTACTAAAAAGAGCATTTGATTATTCAAAATGTCCTCAGACTAAGATATCCAAAAGAAAAAAAAAAGGTCTCATCTGAGAACTGTGAACTGTGGAAGAAAGCAAAAGCTTTTTTTCCCTTAAAAAGCCACATATGAAACCACTAATGAAACCCTAACAATCTACTTCACACTGAAGTGGAAAAATATACAAAAGGAGCAGCTTCAGCTTCAATGAGGTGAAAGTGCACTATGAAGACTGTTTGCCTTTGCTGCATTTGGGACTTAAATGGTTATCTGGTAATGTTGTTTAAGAACTTCTGGATCTTAATGCAATCCTGCATAAGAATATAATTTATACTATGTCAGACAGAAGACAGGATTTATTACTAGAAATCACAAAGACCAATCATCGTTATTTTTTTGAAGATTGTGTTTTATAAGAAAAGATTTCTTACTCTGAAACGACTTTGCAAGTTTAAAACGTCATAGCAAGTAATCAGTACTAAAAATGTGTTGTCCACACTGAGATGCTATATATAAAATGCCTTAATTATTAATAAGCCAATGTGTATGATATGAATATCTCTTTAAAAAATTAAAACCAACCATGCTTCTGGCATGATAAAATCATGGAATTAAATCAGGGGTTTCCATTCATGTAGTAAGTTGTTCTTAAAACTTACTCCCTACCATTCTTAAAACTTGAGAATATTTTTAGTATCTCTGATTTTTTTTGCCAGAATCATTGTCACATATGTGTTATTCCTATATTAAAAAAAAGGTGAATGTGTATTCGTATGAATGCTTAACTAGAAATGTCCATGGAGTTGGCTAATTTATATTCACTTTTTATTGTATACAGATTTCTAATATTTTCAGTTCTGTATCACTTACGCTTTCTTCATTTGAGTAAATTCACTAAATATTTCTAAAAATATATATAAATGTTAAAAATTAAAACAGTAATAATAGTTAAAGTTCTAATTCAAGAGTATAATAACTGTATATAACAATAATACAGGGGCGCCTGGGTGGCTTAGTCGGTTAAGCGTCCGACTTTCACTTAGGTCATTATCTCGCGGTTCGTGGGTTCGAGCCCCGCATTGGGCTCTGTGCTGACTGCCAGCTCAGAGCCTGGAGCCTATTTCGGCGTCTGTATCTCCATCTCTCTCTGACCCTCCCCTGCTCATGCTGTCTTTCTCTCTCTCTCTCCTAGAAATAAATAAAAAAAAAAATTAAAAAAAAAAATAATACAGACCAGTACAAGTATATAACAAACTGTATTCTATTCCTTTAATCTTTGTAGTTAAATCTATTTAGTACCAAAATTTCAAGCTCCAAGATTTTGACGGTCCTCTTCCAATTCTATTTACAAAAATACCATCCAACTTAAGTGTGCTTATGTGCACTGATCCATAAGGAGTCCTCAAGAGATTCTCTACAAAGATTTTTTTGGAGGGACAAGTTCAAACTTTTAAAAACTGATGCAATAACTGATTGCTAAGTTAACTTTCTTAGACAGGGGTCAATATCTAGATACAAACTTATTTAAAAATAGCTTAAGTTCTACAGTCTATTTTCAGGGTTGTCACTGATTGTTATTCTGTATTTCCCTCCCCTCCCCATAACACCATCAATTTCTACAAACTCTTCTATGAAAATGGGCTTAATACAAACAGCAATATAAAGTATTACATTAAAAATCAGATAACAATTATTTCCTGACTAGACACAACCATGACCTTAGAAAAAAACAGGTCAGTTCCACACCTGTGAAATTTTCTTAAAAGGCTACTTTGCCCCACATTTCCTTGTCTGCTTAGCTTTCAATTGCCCACAACCTCTGATTCCTGGTGTTGCCTTAAAATGATTAATTCCTGGTACTTACAGAAATCCTCCTACCCCTAGAGTAATAGCCAGTACAGGTTATTAATTAAGGGTAGTAGTGGAATTAAGGGCTGAAAAAGGAGATTCAAAGTAGAAATGAATAGCAGAGGGATATAAAGTTGAGAACAGAATCAAAGAACAGAGTATTTTCAAATACCAAATGAACATCGTCATAAAACGCATAACGTGTATCACACTAAGAGGCATTAATCATAATAATGGTCAGATTGGGCAGAATGGTAGCAGGTGTGGGTCAGGTCTTAACCATACAACTAGTACGAACAAAATTTGAAAATCACTGTTTTCAAACGTAAATAACAAGCAGATGGTCATTTGCCTCTCTAGCCTTTATCAGGTGTACCAGTTTTGCTCAAAGTTAAATTTTATGGGTAAGAAACTATAACACAGTAGCAGTTAAGAGTTAAGCATATGGAAAATATTGGGTCTTGGGTCAGACCGATGCTCAAATTCTGGCTCCGCCCTTTAGCAGCCCATTCAGTTTCCTTATATATATATGGCTTAAGAAAAAAACTGTAAAGTGCTTTGTCCAGAATAAGTGTGTATAATATGTGAAAGATACCAAGTGTCTCCTTTAAACATTAAATTAGCTTGTGTTTCAAACTAATGATTCGTACCAGCTTAGAAGGAAGGCTTTTTACTTTTGTCAATAAAAAGGTCAACCCTCTTCCATTCTATAAATCTTTCTCCTAATCTACTCCACCGTTTGCTATTAGCTCTTATCTATTACTTCCTATCTCCATTTTCTTAACTTTCCACTCAATCAAGCAACTTACTTGAAGTTAAGTCTCTAACCCCCATTCTGGTAAAGCAACTACATTTTCAGCAACCTTACTGGAGCTCCCTGCTAAATTTAGTACTGTTGACCACACCATGCTTGAGTGTCCACTCTAATTTTCCCACTCCCCTCCACTCCCATCTCTTTCTTAGGCATTATACCATTACACACACATACATACACATACACACACACACACACACACACACACACAACACCCACTGTTGACTTCCAAAAAATTCTTTATCTCCCCTTTAATTTCAGGCTGATATATAACATTCCATAAACATACATACTTATTTGGGAATATTGTGACTCAACACAGCATCAGTCTTTCCCCTTTACTTAATATTAAATTATAATATGTACAGACACTAAGATAATTTACTTTTTATGTAGGTTGTCAACAGCAAGGGAATAAAACCTCTTTTTAAAACCTCTTTTTCCTCAATTTTGCTATCCACTCAAACCTCACCATTTTCTCTTTGAGTAACATACTATTAAATCATAAAAAAGTTGGGGCGCCTGGGTGGCTCAGTCAGTTGAGCACCCAACTTCGGCTCAAGTCATGATCTTCTGTTTGTGAGTTCCAGCCCTGCATTGGGCTCTACACGGACAGCTCAGAGCCTGGAGCCTGCTTCAGATTCTGTGTCTCCCTTTCTCTCTACCTCTCCCTTGCTCGAGCTCTCTCCGTGTCTCAGAAAATAAAATGTTAAAAACCTTTAAAAAAAAAAAAATCACAGAAATGCCATGGCAGTAACATGAGTATTATACCAAGACTGAAAGACTAGATTCTACTTTATCCATAGAATCCTGCCAAGAGTCTTATTTTAAATTTTATGTCACCAATTCACGTGTGCACCAAGTAAGTACTTCAGACATCTCAGAGGTGGGAAAGATTGTCAAAGGCATCGATTCACAATGCAGGAACCATGCTGCTACCATGTTGAACCCGGCTTCTCTATTAAACAGGCCTAATTATACATACTTCACAGGGGTATCCTGGAGATGAAATGAGACGATGTGGGGTATAGAGAACATAGTTACTGCTAGCTGAATTCGACAAAGTGTCACTTCCCACAAGAGTCAAGAAACCAACTCATTTTATCCCATTCACCATTCAAAATTGAAATTCATGAACTGTTCACCTAGTCCGGCCACCAACTTTCATTTTACATCCTTAACTGCACCATCTAGAACAATCACTTTATCCTGAAGACGGCAGGTAATTAAAATCGCAGGATCACAGCGGAAACCCGCAACAAATACGGCTACTAAATAAGTAAAGGATAACGAATGTACCATTCATCCGGCCAGATAGATCAAAACTTTAAAATACAGAATAATGTTCCTTACCCACAACACTTAAGGGGAAAAAAACAAACAAACAAACGTCGAGTCGACGGAGCAAGCCCGAAACAAAACTTTCGGAAAAATGAACTTCTATACTAAGACGGCGAGCCGAGCTGCAAGGCTAAAACAACTCGCCCACTGCCCAACCCTCGCGTGCGTCTCTGGCTCACACTCTCCCACACTCCCTGGCACACGCCAACCGCTAAGCGAGCTCCGTAGCACCAGGTTAACTTTTGCTTCCCCCAAGAGGCGGGTGGGGGCGGGGGGATAAAGATGTTCTAAATTCCAGGCGAATCCGCGAGTGAGCCGACTGCCGGGAGACACGTGGGAGCCCGGAAAGCGGGTCCGTGGGTCTGCGCGGCTGCGGGGAGACGGTCGGACGCCGCTGCCCGGCCCCCGCGCCCCCGCAGGCGGGCTGAGAGGGCGGCCCAGAGGGACCCGGACCGGGGCAGCGCGGCGACGGCTCGCGGGCGGACCCCGGGACGCCCTTGGCCCAAGGGCGTCCCCCGGGTGAGGAAGACACGGGAGGGAGGGCCGGCGGCGCTTCCTCTTACCGTCGGAGTTGGTCTCGGGATCGAAGCGCTGGCCGCAGCCCCGGTTGTAGCACAGCAGGGCCATTTTCTTTCCCCACCGTTACGGGTCGGATCCAGACACACGGACGAGCGAAAGGATGCGCTTACAGTCCCACTGTCGCAACCACCGGTCTGAAGGCTGGGGCGGCTGCCGGCTTCCGGAAACGGCCGGTTCCGCTTCAGGAACCTTCGCGAATTTTCCGGTCGCGCAGGCGCAGAGAAGACGGGAAGAGGCGGAGGGAGCAGCGGGAGGCCGTGAGGCAGTCGAGACGCCGTGGGTCGGGCTCCGGAGGGTGGCGGCGGGGCGGGCACCTGGCGTGCGGATATTTGAAGAGGAGAAACCCTAAAGGCAGAAAGCGATGCTACCCGGGGGACTGACGTGCCGTCTCCAGATTTCGTCACTGGCTGCGGCTCTGTCACTCAGCCAAGCGGCCGCCCGGCGGCCTGACCCCAGCACCGCAGCCTCCTTGGTTTTGAGAGGAGCATAATCATGGCATTGTTCTGTTCGCCCCCTAGCTGCTCCAGCGTGGGTGCAGAACCCCACAGTATTTCCGAGCCCTCTTCCTAGAACGTGGAAGCCTGGCAAACGACCAGAGGACTGGTGGACCATTGTCCCTGGGTGATTGTGTGTCCGCTGCCCCGGCCTCTGGAGCAGGGGAGAAGAGCAGGCATCCGCAGCAGCTGTGACTGAAGTCAAGTCACTTTGAAAATACAAAGCACTTAAAATCAGAACATCGAAAGTACTGATCAAATACAGTGCTAGAAGTGGTCACTATTGCTCTAAGACTCCGGGGGGTAAATAAATCGTTACTATTTCATGTGAGTCTCCATCTGATCACTGTGCCAATACTTCTTCAATCCTGAAACTGCTGATTTCATCAAATGCATTATTTAAAAAAACACAACAAAGGCATGGTAATATACTAACCGGCACAAGCGAAAGATACTTCTATATCCAACTTGTATATTTCCCAAAGTTGGGGCGTTAGAAATAAAAGCAAACTCTTTTTGACAGGCAGGTATACTGAAAGTCTTACAGTAGTAATATCAGTAGTTCTTAAGTTGAAGTAAAAAGCTACATATTATTTCTAGGGATCCCAGATCTTTGGGCTCAAAATCTCACTCCTGTAAAAAAAAAAAAAAAAAAAAAAAAAAGACGTGTTACTTTCCCATAATCCTTTCCTCTTTTTATATATAGAAGTGTTAAATTTCTATGCAGTAATCTCAACATAGAGATATACAATGTATTATTCTTCGTTTAACCTGAGTATTTTTGTTTCATAATCATCATAAATGGAATTGAATAAATTGGCACTATGACCTGATTTCCCTCCAGGGTAAGTTTTGAGAAGTGGCAGTACTGGGGGTAAAGGGCAGAAGTTTTTAAAAACAAATTTAAGATTTTAAAGGTAAGTATAGCCTATTGTTTCCAGTAGGTGGCACCTATTTTCAATTTCACCAGCCCTTGGTTAGAGAAACAAACCATAGAAATTAATCTTACACAATTAGAGAGATGGAGATGTTTAGAAAGTTTTGGTTGTGGTTAAATTCATGGTCTGAGTGTCCTACTACCACTGCAACTTTATCAAGATTATTAGTAAGTTCTTTCAAATACTTTTAATGTTTACTGTCACTTTTTTCAACTACCACATTTTATAATCAGAAAATAATAAATACTTATAGTAGATAATTAAAAAATGCAGAACTATTTCAGGAACAAAACCAATAATTCCATCATCCAGCAGTAAGTACTATATCACTAGAATAATTTATTGATAAATTTATTTCTAGTCCCCTCCACCCCATCCTGGGCATTTATTTATTGGTATGAATATTAAACAAATTTTAAAAATAGCAACAAAACCCCCCAAAGAATTGGAGCTGTGATGTATATTGAAGTTTATGTTCCTCTTTTGGCTACAAAATTAAATCATTCTTATTAAGAGAATGCCGGGAGCCACACTGGCCTCTATGGATGGCAGTCACAGCAAGGAAATCGCAGTGTTTGCACAGCTACCGCGATGAGAAATGAAAACTGGTATCTCCTGCTACTACTGGCTCATGCTGTGCTGGTATTGACCAGGCCTCACAATATTCCATATCAGCCCAATATTCTGAACACAGATACCTCATAAGGAAAAGCATATTCCTGCCTTTACAAGAGAGATTTTAGATGAAAGCTCTCTTCCTGAGGGCCTTGCAGATCCAAGACTTAGGGGGTTAAGAACACAAGAGTTACAACTGAGCCTGGCCCCGAGACAAAGAGCCTAATTTAGAGTTAAGGTACAGATAAGGGCAGAACTTAAGTTAATACTTACACCTTCTCCTAATTGGTGATGTATGGCAGTCCCTTCCCCAAGGCCTACTTTCTGCAAACACCCTCCCTTACAGGTGGCTAGCATGAGGATAGATAAGAGTAGCTAATGCATCACCCACAAACAAAAGGCTGACACTTTTAGGGCCTCCATGGTGTGTTCACACATTCAGCATCAAATAGGTTTCCACAAACAACTTATTAACCAACTCAGAAACATTCATTTGAGAGCCAGACACTTAACCTATGACCTAACCTTAGCGTTATTAACTTAGAACAAATATGTATCCTGTCTTTTACTAAGAATACCCTAATTCTCTAGTTATAAGATTTACTTAACCTCACTATAATTGGAATAGTTCTGCAAGAATATTTCTGTAAAACCTGCTTCTGTACACTTTCCAAAGCATCTTATCACAAAGAGTTATCCATTGTAAAAATTCCTTTTTCTGATGTCATGTTATCATTTAACCTATAAATAAAGACACCAAAACCGACAGGACAGAGATGCCTGCCTGGTGATCAGAAAGAATCACGGGGCTCTCTCACTCTCTCTCTCGCCGACACCGTCCATCCTTCGGGGACCCCTGGACCTGCCGGAGCCGGCTCGGCCTCCAACAGGAGAACAGAGACAGGACATTCTACTCCATTCCCATTATACATCTATTCCATTCCCACACTCCAGTGTGGACTACCACAAACTGTTGGAGAAACTTGTGGTGGTAACACTGGATAATTTACATAGCTTTAAATCCAGGTCCCATTCCCTCCCCCAACAGACACATACTGTTACATAGAATCTTAGGATTTTCCCCATGTTATGAAAGGAATGCTATAGAATAGTTAAGAGTGGACTTTGGGAGCCCCTGGGTGGCTCAGTCGGTTGAGCGTCTGACTCTTGTATGATCTCAGGGTTGTGGATTGAGCCTCACTGTGCGCTCTGTGCTGGCCTTGGAGACTGCTTAAGGTTCTCTCTGTCTCTCTCTTTCTCTCTCTCTCCCCGCCCCTTGCTTGTGCACTCCCCCCCCCCCCAAATAAACAAGATAAAAAGTCTTAAAAAAAAGAAAGCTTTGGACTCAGACCAGTATTCAGACCCTAGCTCTGAAATGCAGTAGCCAATAATCTTTTCAGGAAATCTCTTTGGGCTTCCATTGTAGACTTGACCTGGAAGTCCAATCTCCAGGCTTGAGAAGTGATTTTTAACTTATTTTGACTAGTCATATAATATTGAACACATATATTTATCTCCATTTTCTCCTCAGATCCCACTAACACTGTGGCAAAGGAATAAATATATTAAACACTAAATGAAAGTAAAAATTTTAAAATATATAAACCCACAAGGACAAATTTGAATAGGGCATTGCAACAAATTATATCAACAAATTTTTGTTTTAATTTTGTCTTTATTTTGTATTTAGGAACATTTGTGCTTTTGTTCAAACTGTTCTCTGTATACTAGTACCTAATTATCTCTTACTTTTTTCTTTCTTAGGCCTTCCTACTCACTTTGCCAGATTTGACTGACTTTTAGTTGTTTCCTGTAGGGCAATCAGTGAGATTACTACCCTTCTTTCTTCTTTCCTTCTCCTCCCATTTTTTTAGTTTTTTTTTTCCTACTTTGTTGGAAAATGTAGCATCTGCATATGAGTCTTCCATCCTGATATCTAGTTTTATTATTTATTATTTAAATCTATTATTAATATATTATAGGTTAATATATAAATGTATATTTATCAAATCTCTCTATGTTTATTTATAATATATTCACTGGTCACTACTAGTCTCTGAGTTGAGGTTGCTTGGCATTCTTGTCAGGTGAAGCTTATTTTCTAGTAGGGTTGGCAGAAATCATTTATGAAGATGATATTCTCTGACCTCTTATGTGTTTAAAATAGCTTCTTCTATAGACCTGGAACTTGAAGGAGGGCTTGAGTAGAAATAAAATCCTTAGTTCATACTAAGAGTTCAGAATTACTTTGTTCATCCCAAGTTCAGATTTTACATACAATTACTGAACTAAATTTACTTTTTTGTGCCAAAGCCTATGTGGAATCAAGTGTAAAAAAAAAAATGAAAGAGGAAAACCTCATTGTGGCAGTACATGTTTTTCTTTTTGCTTCCCTGCATCAATCAAACTTTTAGCAATGTCCTAAACTAATTTTACTGCCCCATAAATCTACATAAATGTCCTATAACAGTATTGCACATTTTGTAAATATCCTTCCAAACTTTGGTTATGTTTTTTTTCAAATTAAATGGAATACCTTTAGCTGTCAAGTTAATAAATTTGGATTGCCAAAACCCCTTCAGCTTTTGAAGCCCTTAGACAATTGCAATTAAAGAAAAACAAAGATTACAAATAAGAATTACATTGGGGCGCCTGGGTGGCTCAGTCAGTTGGGTGTCAGACTTCAGCTCAGGTCATGGTCTCACGGTTTGTGGGTTCGAGCCCTGCAATGGGCTCTATGCTGACAGCCAGCTCAGAGCCTGGAGCCTGTTTCAGATTCTGTGTCTCCCTCTCTCTCTGACTCTCCCCTGCTCACACTGTTCTCTCTCTCTCTCTTTCAGAAATAAATAAAACATTAAAAAAATTTAAAAAACCCAAAAAACCCAAATAATAATTACATTGAAATTTATCCCTACAAAAGAGGATATATAAATAAATAATAAAGATTAGAGATGATTATTTTGTATATTAAAAATCATACATGGGGCACCTGGGCGTCTCAGTTGGTTGAGGATCCAACTCTTGATTTCAGCTCAGTCTATGATCCCAGGATCATGGGATACATCCCTGCGTCGGGATCCGTGCTGAGTGTGGAGCTTGCTTAAGATTCTTTTTCTCTCCCTCTGCCCCTTCCCCCACTTGCACATGCTCTCTCTTTCTCTCTCTCTCTCCCTCTCTCTCTAAAAATAAAAAATGAAACAAGCAAACATACATGATGTTTATACTCTAGAATGCATGCACACAGTTATTTGAAGAGTGTAACTTTCTTAATGTTACCCCATATTTGAATTGCACTATAGGCAGCAATCCCAACAGAAGTAATTGTGAAGCAGGTTATCTTATAATTTCTCATTTAATTATATTTTAACCTTTTAATTCACATCTAAGGTAATGTCCTTATTAGCTTTAATAGCCTAACAAAATGGGAGGTGAGATTCATATTTTGTGCTCCACCTCACAATCTTGTGGCCCACCATTTTCCTCCCGTCATTGTGGATGTAACCTGACATCTCATCTATCTGCATCACGTACCTTTCTCTGTCTAGTCCCATGCTTCTCTGGTGCCAATATTTGAAATGCCTATTAGCCATTCTCATGCATACCGAACTTGGAAATGGGAGGAATAAACATGCAATGGTGCAATCCTTGAGCAGCTCTTAGATGGGGACTGGTAGATAAATCTTCCTGATTGTGTCTCAGGTAGACAGTTACAAAGTATATTCTACAAGACTTCTTAGAGGAATTGACCCCCAGCTACTCACTGCAGTAATAATATTGCTCAATAATTTATCCCAGGTGTTAATTTTATTCCTTCCCTTGGTTTCCCAGTTTCTTATTCCTCTTCTTTGGAATAATTTCCTAAAATTATCTGTTGTAAAACTATCTGTTTAGAAGCTTTTGTCTCTAGCGCTGTTGAAAAGACCTAGGCTGAAAGAAATTAAAAGATGTGTGTCTTTACTGAATATCTTTTTAAAAATTAAACCTTCAAAAATGAAATTTATCGTATCTCAGAATTGTATAGACTGAATGCTTTCTATTAGTAGCAAAAGAAGAGACAACTTTACAGATAGGAAGTTTGAAGCTAGTGTTGATTAAGAATTGATTTCCTTGTACAGTAGTTGCTGGCATTTCCATAATGTTACATTTCCTACATTTCTATTACATTTCTACAATGCTGGCTTTTCCAAACAGTTTCAATTTTCATTAAACTTTGGCTCTTTAGATGGTGACTATGAGTGCTATATGACTTGTTCAGATTTGAATAACCAAAATATAAAAATTTGTTGCTGACTCATTTATTTGTTACCCACTTTTCTATAATCTTATTAATACAGAAACAATTACTAGGACTTCCAGTTTCTACAAATTTTATATGCATGGCCCTGATTTTGGAGTATTACACATATTTTTTTTTCTAAAGAGAAAGCCTATGTTAGTGAGAAATCATATGTCTTCTTTCCTTTCAGACTATGAGCTTATGAGTTTGTCAAAGTGGATAACAAAGATTGTTTTTAAAGAACATTAAGACATATAAATACACTTTAGATAGCCAACTAAAATGTAAGATCCTTGAAAGCAGGGATTTTTGTGTCTTTATTCACTATTATATCCTGAACGCTTAGAACAGTGACTGACATAAGATAGGCACTCAATAAATATTTGTTGAATAAATTGAATGAATGAACTTATATTTGCTTATTAGGAAAAGAACTAAAAGACAAAAAATCCAAATTTAAAAGATGGTCAATTACAACTGAATATTTTCTTTAGCCTGTAGAATTTGGAGCAAAACTGAACAAAAATTTAAATACAGAAATTCATTTAGAGATATTTATATTACAATTATCAAAACAAGGGGTTCCTAGGTGGTGTCTGACTTTAGCTCAGGTAATGATCTCACCGTTTGTAAGTTCCAGCCCCACATGAGCTCTGTGCTGATGGCTTGGAGCCTGGAGCCTGCCTCGAATTCTGTGTCTCCCTCTCTGTTCCTCGCCCACTTGCACTCTCTCTCTCTCTCAAAAATAAATAAAAGATTAAAAAAACAATTAAAACAATATTAGACTCCAACAAGATACAAAGTCCATGTCGACTGAAAAGTAAGTTTGCATGAAAGCAGCAGAAGGAATACTTTTAGGTGGATATCTATTTCTAAAAAACAACTATGGATATGGACTCACTAGGTCTTGCAAAACTTAGGCATTGTTATAAAATGCAAATATTTTTCCACAAGATGGCAGCAAAGATTTACTTTAGAATCACTGGACAGACTCCGTAGTTATCCCAAATGATGTATATCTTTAAAAGCTACAATGTTTAAGGAAGTGGGGGATACTTTTTTTATTATTCCTTGGAAGTACCACTTCATTAGGTTTTATCATCGGTACCTAGGGTTTCTGTGACTCTTTACACATGCTCTGCTCTTTCATACTCTCCACTGCCATTTTTTTTACATACTTCCAGATTAATCTTAAATTACAAATCTAAATGTATCACTTAAGTTAAAAAAAGGCTTCAATAATTTCCTAAGCCATATGAAATAAAGAATAATATTTCTAGTTTATTTACTCAACCCATTCAGTAACTATATTTTATGTGCAAGTTGCTATGATAGGTACTAGGAATAGAAACATGAATAATGCTTGGGGCTTTTCATTTCAGGAATTACAAACATGTAAAGATACAGCTGCAACAAAGTGCTTACCTGGGGAAAAGTTTAATTTGGGGACTGGTGAGGCACAAAAGAGAGATGAAAGTGAGAGATGTGTTTGTCCATGGGGCATCGAATTCAGGGAAAAATTCTGGGCTTGAGGGAGCAGTTTGAGAATCATCATGCAAGTATAATTGAAGGGCATAGAAATATAACTGGTGAATTTTTTACTGATTCCCCAATTTAAAAATGTATTCATCGTAATTATAAAACACATTTTAAAACTGTAGAAATGAATAATGTTAAATTCACTAGAAAATATATATATATTCAGACTTACACATAAACACAACTTATGCGGTGCTTGGGTGGCTTAGTCAGTTAAGCACCTGACTCTTGATTTCTGCTCCGGTCATGGTCTCACAGTTTCATGAGTTTGACATGGGTCAGTCTCTGTGTTGACAGTGTGGAGCCTGCTTGGGATTCTGTCTCTTTCCCTCTCTCTCTGCCCCTCCCTTGTTTGTGCACTCTCTCTCTCAAAAATAAGTAAACAGATTTTAAAAAATGTAAACACAACTTACATGCTCATTCTCTGAATATTTGTCTATGTATCTATAACAGGTCATAATAAGGACATAACACACAACCTGTTCTTGTAACTGCAATTCACTGAATAAGTTGAGATGGTGAAGCTGGAGGGTGTGACAGATGAGACTGAAAAAGACTGGCTGTATAAAAGGAAAGGAAAGCTGTCTAAGAATCCAGAGAACAGTGACATGTATGACAAGAACTGAATGACTTTTAGGAATGGAATAATTTAGTGTCAAGTTCTACAGAAATGATTAACTGAGAAGAGAACTAAGAACAATCGATTGGATGTGGCAATTAGTATCTGGATGGTGACCTCTGCCAGAACAGCTTTAGCCTGACTGCTATGTGACAATGAGGGATGAGAAGAAAGGAAGGGGTGGCAGTTGTTGTGAACTTTTCCTGTGAGAAGATTCACTTGAAATGGAAGAGAGTAAAGCATGAATATAATTGGTGAGGAAATAATCTGGTGGGCAAAGAGAGGTCTAAAGTATAAAAAAACAGAGAATAACTCATAAAACAAGATTCTGGAAATGGTCAGATGTGATAAAAATAACCAAACCAAACCAGACCAAACCAAAACAAAACCCAGGTGAAGTATTTGTTTATACATGAAAAGAATTTTGTTTTGTTTTGCTTTTTCCTAGCATAGTTAAGTTTTTAGGTGTAGGAGTGAGAGTTCCATTCAAGGATCTCAACACTATGGTCTCAGTCTTTTATGAATACACTTCAGGTGGCTTATCCATGAATGAAACTGAATTATTTCCTCTTGCCCTGGTATAGCTATCTAACGATTTCCTTATTGGTTTCTTTACTTCATTCTCTCTTCTCCAATCTCTTCATGTTAAAAGGTTATACATTCTTTAAGTTCCATAACAAATTATTCTTCCTACTGGAGCTATCCTCACCACATGATCTAGTTCAAGTGTGACTTTTCACTATCTGAAACTTACAAGTTAGTCAATGTTATCTCCAAGAACACCACCAATATAGATAGAATACTGGAGGAAAGCAAGGCAAATATAAATGGCAGCGGTAACTCAAGACGAACCTTCCCCGTGCATGATCTTTCCTGATCTGAAAACAAGAGAATCTTACAGGTAGTGAAAGGGGTTCTTTGCTTTTGAATCTGGCTCAGCAGTTTTAGAAATTATATTCCATTCTCTTAAGGTTTAGTTCAATCCACTGACGTTTTAAAGCACAAACTTCACTCCTAATATTAAACGTAAAATATAAATTAAATTTGATTTGTCAATGAGGAAATGTTTAATTTTTGCTTTCAGTTTCCAAAAGGTGGTTTGAAAATTTTATTAAACTGTTTTCATAACATATACCTTATTAAGTTTTTAACATTTGATCCATTGATTGTTTTTTGCCTATATAAAATATTATTGTTTATAAGATATGCTACTTGAATTCTCTTTGGTGACCATTATTTCTACCAAATCCAACGTGTTTGCATCAAATTAAAATATATCCCAATGTTACACCTAGAGTTTTATCTATTTACAAATGTATTTGTCTTGCTTATTTGTACCAGTCATATTCATCAGAATCTTAAATACTGAAAGTTTATATTCATTTGTTGGCTAATCTTAGAAAAAAATATATAGAACAATTGCTTTCAGATAGTTTAAGATTAAGCCAATGTCAAGGGCTGGTTTGTTGTAGGAATAAGTCAATTCTCTTATTTTTTTCCAATCATTTTGTGTCTTAGCAATGTTTCTATTTGATTTTTATTTTTATTTATTTATTTTTAAATTTTTTTAAAAAAGTTTATTTTTGAGACAGAGAGAGAGAGAGCGAGCGAGCGAGAACGAGCAGGAGTTGGGGGGGGGGGCAGAGAGAAAGGAAGACACAGAATCTGAAACAGGCTCCAAGCTCTGAGCTGTCAGCACAGAACCTGATGCTGGGCTCGAACCCATGGACCACGAGATCATGACCTGAGCCGAAGTTGGACGCTTAACCAACTGAGCCCTTCTGGAGCAGGCTGGCTGCAGGAGCTGGCCCGCCGACTTGAGACCCCCTACTACCTGGTGGGCCACAACCCTGCCACAGGGAACAGCTCAGCCCAGAAGGACAACTGCAGCAGTGTCAGCAGGGAGGCCAACAGCACGGGGCTGGAGCTCCTAGGCGGCCCCTCCCTACGGAGCGCCTACATCACCTCGCTCTACTTCGCGTTCAGCAGCCTCACCAGTGTGGGCTTCGGCAACGTGTCTGCCAATACGGACACCGAGAAGATCTTCTCCATCTGCACCATGCTCATTGGCGCCCTGATGCACGCGGTGGTGTTTGGGAACGTGACGGCCATCATCCAGCGCATGTACGCCCGCCGCTTTCTGTACCACAGCCGCACCCGTGACCTCCGAGACTACATCCGCATCCACCGCATCCCCAAGCCCCTCAAGCAGCGCATGCTCGAGTACTTCCAGGCAACGTGGGCTGTGAACAACGGTATCGACACCACTGAGGTGTGCAGGCCTCCAGAGCTGGCCCTTCCAGCCTTTGCTCCTTCCAGGAGTATGCACTTGGCCTAAAGTTCCCGGAAGTGGGCTGGGGGGCGAGAAACGCAGAATTCTGGCTTACACACTCCTGGGGTGGGGTGGGGGCAGTAGTTTGGGGCAGAGGGCAGAAAAAAAAAATAAAAAAATAAAAAATAAAAAATAAAAAGTGCCCCAGGCACCCCTCTATTTGATTTTTAAACTATATAATGTACTTTTTCTTTTCTTAGAGTCTGCAAAATAAGCCAGCTTCAGTGATATCGTTTAAGTAGATATTTAGAAGTCATATATTTGGTCAATTATCTGTGGTCCTGAATGCTTAGGCTTTTTTCCATTTCCTAGAATAACTCAGGGAATATAATAATTTTGTGGGAAATACTATCTCATGAGTTGGTCATGAGATAATTGAATGAGAAATTCATAAAAATCAAAGCAGAATATGTTTGAGAACTGAAGAGAAATATAATACAAGAATAGAAATTTTAAATAAATATAGTTTCAGGAAAAATGTTCTAATACTAAAATCATGCTATGAAATATCCTCCCATGGGAAATGTGAACACTTCAGTTATTCAAAACCAGCCTGGAAACAGCATTAAAAAAATGTACCCTTGGGAGTAATTTTATATAGTGGTTGAGCTGACTAGGATCCTAATAGGCCTTTACCATATCTACTTGGTATGACTTAAATAAAACAGCAACTTTTACAGTATTTGCCATTGGAAAGTAGAAATTTAAAAATAATGTGACCAGTGCAGGTAACATGATTCCTTTAATAAAATGCGGTCACATTTTACTAACCCATCAAATATTAGGAGTAATGATGATTTTCAAAGGAGTTTGGAAATAAAAAATGTTATGAAGTGTTGTCAGGCTCTATTACACATTTTTATTCACACATATTACTTCTCTGGAAAAATAATTCTATAAGCTGAAAAGTGGAAAAGCAAGGGGGCTAATATAAGAAAAAGAAAAAAAATAATGGGGAAAGCAGAAAACATCTGCTAAGAACTCTGACGGACAACAGACTTTAATGGGACCAGTTCCAGCATATGTAAGCATATATTTTTATTCATTGGTAGCATTGCCATTTTCAAGATGTAGTATAAAGAATATTTCATTGGTTAAATTTATGAGTATATGTTCCATAATATTTCAGTTCATTTTTCATCTTTGAAAATAGGTAAATAGGCCTGAAAAGAACTACTTAAGCTACAAGTCTAGAAGTTTAAAGTAGTTCTATCAACATGTATTTTCATAACAGAGCAGTCCCTATTTATTAAAATAAATAGGACTGAAAGTCCAAGGCTCTTTAAAAATATCAAAAGTCATCAAAATAATGTCTAAATATATGCTTGTTTAAACTTCAGTTGAGCTATCTAAATATGATTTCATAATTTTTAATAACAGCTGTGAACACGGGATCATTCTGTTTTCTTTTTTAATTCATTACTAAATATGACAAGAACACTTCAGCGCTTATCCTGACTCAGGCTCTTTCCATTAAATAATTCCCACAAAAACTGAGATGGGTACTTTATTATTCCAAGTTTTCAGATTATGCAAATGAGGCATAAAGGAGTTAATTAACTCACCTAAGTTATCACAGCTGGCAGGTTGCAAAGATCTAATTCTAACCTAATCATTCTAAATCCAGAGCTCATGTTCCGGGGGTCTGTCTAAAGTGCTTAAAATGAGCTTATTTAATAGTATCTGGGCATTACAGAATTAACACAACAGAATACTAATATATTTTGTAGTAGTTGTGTAATTAATTGTTATTTCTTCGTAGTAAGTGTTCTTTTGTAGCTGCAGTTAAGTCTTATTTTCACTCCTATGTGCCTAATACAATGTCATTATATAATTCTGTGGATACCTAATGCATATTCATTGAATAAATTATGTCTTAAAATTTCACACAGAAAGTTGCTCAGATAAAAAGCAGGGGAGAAATATTTGAAAGCTACTTTTATTTTATGAAGTTTAAAAAATTTTTAAAATTAAATTCTGGAGTATCTCGGTGCCTCAGTCAGTTAAGTGTCCAACTCTTGATTTTGGTTCAGGTTCTGATCTCTTAGTTCAGGGGTTCAAGCCCTGCATCAGGTTCTGCGCTGAGAGCACAGAGCTTGCTTTGGATTCTCTCTCTCCCTTTCTCTCTGCACACAACCCCACTCCACCGCTCAGGTTCTCTCATTTAAAAAAATGAATTAAAATTTAATTTTGTGATGATTGAAGATTCACATGCAACCTTAAAGAATAATACTGAGGGATCCCATGTATCTTTTACATGGTTTCTCTTCACATGGCAATATTTTGTAAAACTTATAGTATAGATACTATGCTTAAGAAATTGTGATACAACCAATTCATGTTCTTCAATTTTCCCAGGTTTACAAGTACTCATTCCATGTGTGTGTACGTGCGTGCATGTGTGTGTGTGTGTGTGTGTGTGTATTTAGTTATATGCAATTTTGTCACATGTATCAGTTCAGGTAGCTAACTGCCATCCCAATCAAGATACGAAACAGTTACATCACTACCAGAGTACCTGTTATACCCTTTAAACGCTCTCCGGCTCCTCTGCCTTCCCTAATCCTTAACAACCACTAGTTTAGTCCCTATCTTTATACTTTCACCATTCTAGAATGTTATATGAGTGGAATTTTATAGTATGAAATCTTTTAGGATTATTTTTTTTTCCACTCAGCATAATTCCCTGGAGACTTATCCTAGTAATTGCATGTATCAATACTTCATTGCTTTTTATTGCTGGGTAGTATTCCACAGTATGTATGTGCCACGATTTGTTTGACCTTTCATCCACTGAAGTACATCTGAGTTGTTTTCAGTGTTTACCTACTACAGGTAAAGCTGCTATGAACATCTGTCTATAGGTTTTTGCATGAACGTAACTATTCATTTCTCTGGGATAAATGTCCATGAGGGTAACTGCTGAGGCATCTAGTAGGTGTATGTTTAGCTTTGTAAGAAAACTGCCAAACTGTTCCACAGGGGCTGTGCTAATTCACATTCCCACCAGAGATATATGAGTGATCAGTGTCTCTGTATGCTAGCCAGCATTTGGTACTGTCACTATTTTTAATTTTAGCCATCTGATAGGTGTGTAATAAGAGCTCATTACACTTTTAATTTTCACTATCCTCATGGCAAATCATGAACATTTTTTTACATGCCATCAGTTTATCTTCTCTGGTGGTGTATAGATGGCCAATTGTATTTTATCCTTTGGTGACACTTCCATTAGTCTTTGTCTATTTTCTCATCGGATTATTCTTTACAGTTGAGTTTTGCGAGTCCTTTAATCATCCAGATACTTATTCTTTGTCATTTTTATATTCTAAATACTAGTCCTTTGTGTGGTTTGCAAATATTTTCTCCCAGACTGTAGTTCATCTTAAAAATGTAGAACAAAAGTTTTTAATTTTGATGAGGTTCAATTTATCCATTTTTCTTTTATGGATTACCTTTTGTTTCTACTTACATTTCCCAAAGTCAATTCTAAAATTTTATTAATTGTTAACATAGTATGTGAGTTTTTATCAATATAAAGAACAATAAAATTAAGAAGTATAATAAAAAGCAGTTGAATACTAATATAATAATCATAAATGTAAATTGGGTATTGAATTTATAAAGCAGTTATTAGGTTTCAGATGGTCTTCAAATGATATAGAATATGCTTTATTAAATATCTTAACATACACATTAAATATTAATGTTAAAAAATCTTATAGACAATAACCCCATAAATATGGGCACAAAACATCCATTTAGGAAATGCTGATCTGAGATGTTTCTATTTAAAAGCTGGCAGCATAGTCTTGTGAAAATAACATCTGCCTAAACATATCTGTAGACTTTTTGAAAAAACCGGTATATATATCTACAGTAATGCTTTAGTACAATTATTTTATTCTGAATGATTCACATAGAATCCTTGTGATCTAGAATCTGATTTCTCATTAGTAGTATAATGTCCTTCAAAATACAATTTACTTTGTATTATTTTTTCAACAGGTATTCACTGAATACCTGCTGCATGCTAGGATTGGAAGTGAAAATAAAATTAATGCTTGGTCCCTGCCCTGGAGCAATTTATTAACCAGGTTAGGAAACAAAACATTCACATTAAATTTGTAATATCAGTAGCTAGCATTTATCGAAAGCTTACTATTTTCCAGGTTCTTTACTTGTATTTTTTCTATTCCAGATTCTTTACTTGTATTCCATCATTTGCTCATACAAATAACATTATAAGGTAGGGACTATTATTTTTCCTCTTTTACAGAGGTAACTAAAGGGCAGACAGTTTGAATAACCTGCCCAAGATCCCACAGCTAATAAAGGCAAAGTTACCATTGAAGTTAGGTAATCTGACTCAACAGTCTGTGCCTTTAATATTCTCTTAATATTGTTTCCTTAGAAGGGAAATAATATCATGAGGATGACTGACCAGGGCCAACCTTTAGGTCAACTGATTCTATAGTTTACATTTTACCAACTTATACCCCTTTGCTAATTCAATCAGTAGATTAACACAACCATTTTTGGAAATTATATATTTGGGGAAATTATTTGTTCACTATAATGGCCAAATTGGATTACATATTTGGGAAAACTCCTGCTATGTAAACACTTTCAACTTTTTTTGAGGAGTCTCTTTCAGAACCACTCCCTCTGTTTTGGATGGCCGTTGGTTGGACTGGTAAAAGCATTGCATTCACATGGAGGTTTTATTTCCTGACTGGCCATGTTGAAACATAAAAGGAATCAGGAAAACAAGGTATTATGTGATCAAATAAGCCTACTAGAGTTAAAAGTTATTTGGTTTATACTGATATATTTAAAATTTTTTTTAATGTTTTATTTATTTCTGAGAGAGAGAGAGAGAGTGAGAGAGCAGGGTTATACAGACCCCAAAACAGGCTCCAGGCTCTGAGCTAGCTGTCGGCACAGAGCCCAATGCGGGGCTTGAACCCACGAACCATGAGATCATGACCTGAGCCGAAGTCAGA